TTCTTTGAGAATGAACCGTCCATAGGAATCCAATCCATAACTTTAACAGGAAAACATAAAGCCTCGTTTGTATAATGTTCTACAAGTTCTGTATAAATGTTAGGGTCTAAAGAGAATGACTTTGGATGAATGAAACATTCATTAAAATCCATCTTTGTTCGAAATAGTTGCTGGGTTACAGTTGTAATAGTAACTGTTCCACTAGCTTCTATTGCCTTCGTTATCATAGTGAATGGTTCATTCCATGGAACAAATTTATTTGTCGGTGGATTTGAATCTGAAGCAAATGCAACTTTAAGAGTTGGATTGAAAGCAATGATATCATTTACAGATATAGATGTGCATTGTAATGCGTCGCTACTGAACTTTACTTTAAGCTGAATGTTACCAGCAAATGCAGGAATAAATCTTATAGCTTCTAATGGTAAAAACTTTCTAACAGGAATTCTTAAACGAAGCTTAAAATCAAATGATTTTCCTGCTGTAATTGGACCACTAACAATTTGTCCTGTTCTGCATGTTCCCGAATGACTCCATACATCTTCATGTCGAGTCTTTGAGAAAACATCTACTTTCTTTATTTGTTCGGTAGTTTGTGAGTTTGAAGTTATATATGCTTCTTCTCTTGCGTTGTCTTGAGAATATACGATACGACCATTTGCAAGGATTTGATATCCAGCAACTGCATAGAAAGCGTTATCGAAACCAATCCAAAATCCTGGTGGGTTTGTTTTATTGGAACCTGAACCAATTTCTTTATCTACAATAAATTGACCTTTGACTCGGTTTGCATTCGCTAATGGAACCTTTCTTTTTCTTACATATATTTTACCATCTTTACTCTGACTTACGTAATAGAAAGGATGTTGTATTCCTCTTGCGTCATTTAATATAATAGACTCTCGCTCTGATTTTGACAAGCTCATTTTACATCGGTTAAAGTTTTAATTTTGTTTTTTATCTGCAGTCAAATGACTCAGACAAGCCCTACGGACAAGACCCAAGGGGTCATAGATTTTGAAGCATTGAAGAAAGAAATTCGCGAGCAAATTTTATCCGAACTGAAGGAACAAAAACAAGAACAAAAGCCAGAGAGACCAAAGAGAAAACTTAGTGAAAAACAACTTGCTGCATTAGCTGCTGGAAGACAAAAGAACCCAAGACTACTGGCGAAAAAAGCTAGAGAAGAAGCTGAAGCAAAAGCTAAAGAAGCTGAAGTGAAGAAAGAGTAAATGGTTTATTTTTATTGGAACTAAATGTAGACAAATACCTTTATCTGTTGCGTTCAGTAGTGAAAACCCTGACGTCAAAATAAAGGGGAACAGAGTAACGTTTAAGTTTCCAACAGACTGGATTGTGAACATAAATGAAGAAAAATATATTGGCATAACAAATATGTATATAACACGTGCATTTAGGAAAGTTGACTTTATACTTCAAGTCGAGATAGAAAATGACGAACAGTCTTTAAGCGCCCAAAACATTCACATATACAAATACTTTAAAGACGATACAACATTGTTGCAATGTATGATTTCATTTAATGAAATGTTCGAGAAAAAGTTTAACATTGAAGTACAAACTTTACAGCCTTTACGTGAGTTTCTTGCACAACTGAAAGAAGAAGGTAGTCAGCCACAACTTATAGACTTTCATTATGAATTTAATGAAAATGAAGATGGAACACATGACTGTCAGTTTGTTATATATTCACCATTCAATGAAGTAGCTAAAGAGAAAGAAAATCCATTACGTATAAGATTTCAAATCTCTGAACCAAGTGATGATTTCAAGAATGTTTTCAATTATAATGCAATGCTTCCGAGGAAAAATGAATTTTCAAAGATTGTAACACCTGGCATTTGGGATAGAAAGCAAGCTATTCTTTTCTCTAATATAGCCAAAGGCGTTGAAAATGAGTTCATTGGTCATACAAGAACTTCACCACTTCCTAACCCTAAATACTATAAATTAACTGGCTTCAATCGTGAGTTTTGGATAGACATGTTCTCCACTCATGACCATAACTGCCCAGTGTTCTTACCTCCAGATGGGAAAGATTGTCTCTACATTGAAGCACAACTCTTAAACTCTACCATCGCAGTATTGTAAATGATCACATGGGCTTCGCCCTTGCCGCTAGCGGCTTATTTTTATCACGAATGACCTCATTGCTGACAAAAATAAATGACCTCAGAACTTCAACTTACGAATAAAGCTTGTTTTAGTCGTTATTGAGAAGTTAAACTTCTCTTCAAAGCAAGGACTAGAAGACTTACATAAGTCAAATCCAATCTCTTGACCATCATGAAGTGCTTTATATAATTGCATAACACTGAACTCAGAGTCTTTGTCAAATTTTCCTTGCGGAACCATTAAACCTTTATCTTCATCATAGAAACACTGAACAGAGTCAGGAAACATTTCATTAGCGGTTAAAGCAATAACATCTTGCTTCACGCCTTTCATTCTGCAGTGAAATGCAACTTCATTTAAATCGTTAGTGAGTAAGTCTATGTAGGTCTTCTTTCCACAGAAAATACTTTTATAAGCTAAACTTTGTTTATCTTTTGTGATTTCTGCAAAGTCGCTATGAAATTGACCTAATGTTTTACCAATAAGTTCTCTACCGTATCTCTTCTTAAATTCATGAGCTAAACGTGGTATGTCTTCATTGTAAATGTGCATCGAATCTGTATCCTGATAGGCTATATACAAGCCCATGTCCTCAGCAGTACAGAATACTTCATTCATAATACGTTTTGACATTGATAGAATATTTACACCAAGTGGGCAAAAGTTAAAGTGTCTGCAAATGCTTTTCGTTAGCTTGAAAATAGTTTTATCTGAACCATCCAAACCTTCGAACTTCACTATATGGTTGTAATTTCTTATAGCATATCTTATAGCATCTTTGTCATCTACTATGGTTATTTTTGACTCAATAGGAGATAAAATGGTTTTGCCATAAATGCTGTTCAGAATGAGTTTTATAATTTCTTGTAATGGGTTTTCTTCTTTCTTATACTTTAACCTTAACTCAAACAATTTCTTAACTTCATCTCTTATTCTCAAATCTCTGTTTCCATCGTAATAGTATCCTTGCAACACTTCACATTTGACACCTTGATATTTTATAAGGTCCTGTAATGTTATATGGTCAACATACATTAAACAGCAAGTGTTTGAACTTCTGGGAACGTTAAGTTCTGGATTTAGTTCAGGGTCGCAAACTATTAAAGGAAAGTGTCTATGTATTCCAATCTCTGTTATCTTAATGAGAACAAAGAAGCCAGACATAAACTTTTCACCAATGGGTTCCTTTTGGTCGTCATCGAATAAATGTCTCATGAGATACTCTGTGCTTAACATCTCATCCTTCAATACTTTTGGAATTCCTTCTAAAGTATAAAGTCTTGCTATAGCGGATGGATATAATGAAACAGCGTCGAAGTCAGCAATGAGTTTCTTTTTGCTCTTTTGTTTAATGTTATCTGACAACATGCATCTTCCACCTTGAATGCATCTCGAAATAAATTCTCTTGGTTTATTTGAGAGGTCATAAAGATTTCCATTCGGGAAGTATACTCTGTTCTCAAACAATTTGTTAGCAATAGAACAAATACTAACGTAGTCATAAACGTTTAAATCAAACTCTTTCAATAAGTCATTGCGGAACTTTACAAAACCTTCTCTTAAAATTCTTACATCTTGTTTGCAATAAAATGAGCTATATTTTTCTAAGTCGAAGTGGTTCTCATCTATTCTGCAACCTTTGATGGAATCTATGTTCTTCATGAATGTATCTGCATCCTTGACAAACTTACATGCTTCAGAAATGACACCAGTTCTGTTGTCATTTGCTAACAAAGTACTGCTGTAGTAGTTATATGGAAATACTTCTTTCGGTCCTGTTTGTAAGTTAAACATAGCAGGAAATAGTTTAAGCTTCTTATTTATAACACTGTAAGAGTCTTTTATAATAATTGCCCGTCCTTTATATAAACCAGTTATTTGCATTGTTCGTGAACCTTTAATGATGGGAGTTCCTTTCACTTCTGTCATGTGTCTTAAGATGAAGTTTATATCATAACTGAGGTTATGGAAATATATTAAACTCTTGTCAGGAAGTCGTTCCAAAAATTCTGTTGCACAATTCTGACCCCATATGCTTTCACTCACTGAACCATTTTCACTGTCGTAACAGATGTTAAAAGCTTTATGAAAGCCATCGGTACTACACTCAAAGTCAGCAAAGAAAACGTGCTCAGGAATGAACTTGCACTTATTTTTATTTACTTCTTTTGACTCGGCTTTCTTCTTCAGTTGTACACAATACTTTGGAGCATATGTCAAATCTTTAAATGTTGCAAGGTTCTGTTTATATAAGTCAGTCGTATATGTGAAAAGTTCTCCATAAGAAATAGGTTCGAAATATTTGCACTCCCACAATGTTTTCATAACATCCCATAACGGTTGTTCTATCATAACGAACTACATATTTATCTTCTCTCTTTGTATAAATCTTCATCTGTTTCTCAATGTTCATTCCACCACAAGCTTTGAGAATTTCTTTATAGTTTCGAATGAAATATGTTGTCATTGGTAATCTTTCATTTAGCATGTAGTGGTCTTCAACAAGAAGTAAGTCAATAGTTCTAACAGTTTCTCATTTTTTTGGTATATATCTCTTTATTTCATTATGTCTTGAGTCATTGAAATAACCAATGGTAACATTAAATGCTATACCTGTTGTCGGAAATTTCTTGTACTTTACTTTTTGAGGAAAGTCTTAACACGAATGACTTCTCTCATGTGGTCAATAGTTTCTTCATTACTCCAGCCTGAATGCAAGCATAAACGAAACAATTGTCTTCTGTCATAAGTGCTGCAGTTCTTTTGTTCAGTTCATTGAAGATTTGGTAGCGTTCAAGATTTATAGGTAATGCAAAGATACTTCCAGAACTGACCGCTTCTCTTCTTATAAAACTTCTTTTCACCATTATCTTTCCAAAAGCTTTCTATAAGTGCTGGGTTTCCTGTTTGCTTAAGAGCTTCCAAAATGGCTTTCTGGTCATTTGTCAGTGTGCTTTCATCTCTATATGGTCTCTTTTTTGGTTTGCCTTTCTTTACATCTGACATCGTTAAGCCTTCATATTCTGTTAAATCATACATCTTTATTTCGGTAAGATTCTTTATGTTTGTCAAGAAGAAGTCATAGTGCATTTCAACAATACCTGCGGCATTTGCTTCTATCTCTGATATAAAGTTCTCCTTCAAGAGCTGATGTAGTAATGTTCCAATATTATTGAGGTTTAACGTAGAACATTCATACTTTCCACCAAGTTTATAACATACCATCCATCTCTGTTGTGAGTTTATTTTAATTTTCTCTAAGAGTCTCATGAAAACCTTACCGAAATGTTTGTGTAAGTAGTCTCTGTTTGGTTCATCTAAAGCTTCGATGTTAAAGTCAATGAGTCTATTGCCTGACTTCACATTTCTCTTCCTATTCTCTTCATCTTTCTTTAACCATCTCTCACCTTCTTTTGGTTTGTCGTCAATGGAACGAATGACATCATTAGCTTTGCGAACTTGTTCTATAGCACTTTTAAACATCTCTCTTCTCTGTTGTTTCAGTGTGTCGTCTCTTCTTCTTGTTTCACCAACGTTTGCATTTGTTATGTCAAACATTTCACGCCTTACTTCATGTGGTACAGCTCTTCTTGTTTCACCAACGTTTGCATTTGTTATGTCAAACATTTCACGCCTTACTTCATGAGGTACTGAACGTCTATGATATAAGTCAATAGCAACGTCATTTAAAGGAAAAGTTCTTGCATGGACTTCGTCCTCGCCGCGTTGCGGCTTTATGAACTCATGAATTCTATCATAAGTTATTTCACCATTGTAGTCTTTAATGAAGTCAGCGAGTGCTTTTTTGTTTGTTGCGTAATGCTTTGCAACATCTATATTAGCTTCTGTAAGAAGTTGTTTTATTTCCGAGTGTTCTAACTTAGACAACTTCCGATACATCTTTAGTAGGAAATAAAAAAATATTTTTTTGAAAAAATTAGATTAGATTTTTTTTTAAATTATTTTTTCAAAATAATTTAATATTTTTATTTTAATGAAACACATGCAAGATTGCAAGTTCTTTTCATACAATGCTCTCGCTACTGCTATCAAGAATGAGTTCAATGGTGCTTCAAACGTTAATGTTATCTTTAACAAGAAGTTTGTGAAAGAATCTAAGTTTGGTCAGTATGTCAGACCATTAGCTATTGTCATTGACCGCAAACGTTATACTTCACAAGAGTTAGCAGTAGTTTTGAAACAAAAGGGTTTCTTCGTGAATGTCAAAGATACTCATTATACTGTCATAAAGAACTCTAACATTGAATTCTTCAGTATTGCTATGAATCTTTCCGAACAGAAAGAATATAAGAAGGGTGAAACAAATGTGAAATATTATCCTTCATCTCTGAAGACAATAACGAACAAAGATGTTATACAGAAATTCTTACCAAAGGTTGAAGAAGCTTCTATTGACATTGACGAAGAAAGTGAAATGGTTGAAGAAATTGACCCTGACGTCATTTAAGCAAAAATATATTTTTTTTATTCTTCCTCTTTGAAGTTATCGAAATATTCTGTTATTTTTTCCTTCAGTAATGGTAAGTCTTCTTTGAATGTAAGTATTGTGCAACCTTTGATGTCATAGTGTGTTTGAGGAAGAGTACTTTTGACAATTTCCTTTATTTGCTCATTCGGTGTCATTGAAATCGGTAAGTTTTCACGATAGAACCAATTTCTGTCAGATTTGTAAATCTTAGCAAGGTCATAAAAGCTCTTGTTGTTTCTTCTGACTAAATGCAACATAACCATATCTTTATCTTCTTCTTTCTCCAACTCTTCAGTATATATCATATACTTATAACTCTTTTCCTTTCCTTTTGGTACTGAACGTGGTATTCTTTTCTGTATGCTTTTGTCTTTGGATTCAATGACTTCATCTTTTGCTTGAAGTTTCTTTTCCATCTCTCCACGTTCTGCTTTATATAGTTCATCTAACATCATGAAAATATAACAAGCATAACGAGGTGAAGCCCACATTGCTACAGCATTTACTAAAAGTCTATGAACATAATATCCTTTCAAACCAGGAGCCAAATTCTTGCGATTTTCGTACGGAATCTCTTCTCTCGGTTTTCCGAGGGAAGCAATCATATGAGGAAATTCTTCTAAAAGTTCTTTTGTCTGTTGGTTTTCAAACCAATGATATGCTTGCTTTGTAGAACGAAGAGCATTCATTATACTTTGCATTTGGTACATGTCATCTTTGACCGAACGAATGAGGCGAAGTTGTTTGTTATATTGTATGTATTCGTATTCTTCATTTATGGCTTCATGAACGATAGCAGTTGTTGTGTTCTCTAATGTTGACATTACTGTCTTTACATACAAAATAAAAAAATAAATAAAAATAAAACTAACTTTATTTTCTGACTTTCACAAAAGACCAAAAATAAACGCTTTACATGTATTTTTCAGCAACTTCGTCAAATAATTTTATAGCTTTATCTATCTCATCTACTTCAAACGTTTCTTTACCTTTCATGGGAGCACCATACATTTTCTCAAACTTTTCAAGTAGTTCTGTTTCAGCAGCTCTCATATCATTAACGAACACAACCTTGACTCTATTGACTGTACTGTCATATCTTTGAGTTATATTATATGTTCTTCCTATCTTATATCTCTTTGTATTGAAGTCCTTCGGTTTCTGAACGATGTAAAGTAAGCCTTCACTGCAACGTTCCGTATCGAATGAACCATAAGTTATGAAGTTATATCCAACAACTGGGTCAATCCATAACAAAACTATTGGTATAAGACTTTTGTCTATAAGATATGCTCTTGTTCCATAGAATCTTACTGATATCATAAGCTCAGGATTTCTTGTCAAAATTTTCTGAGTTGAAGCATTTCTAACCCAGTCGTTTGTTTTCTTTTCAGATGGAGATATAATGTCTGACAAAGAATATTTGTTGTATTTCTTTGAGTATCTTACGTTTAAATCACCTATTCTAACCACTTTGGTGTCATTGTCTATCTTTCTAACTGTTTCAAACTCAATGTTTGTCATTACTGTCTTTACATACAAAATAAAAATTTTTCTTAGAAAAAAATTAGCGTTATTTTTTATCTTAAGGAAAATTCATGATTTTTGTTGCTGAATTCAATAAAAATATATTTTAGGTGAAGAGGTGAGATTTCACCTGTTTTCTCACCTAATTTTTCACCCCAGTTATTTTATAAGCGTTTTACATGAATTGTACGATGTATATTTGAAATTCTAAACAATTTCGTAGCTTCTATTTCTTCTGTCAGTATGTCAAAAGTTTTAACAATGCCGAAAGTTTCTTTATACTTCTTCTTGACATCAGATAATAGGAAATCGTCAGCTGTTGGATAGTTTTTGTTCAGAAATGCTAACATGTCCATTTTATCTTCTGCTGGTTTCTCTACTTCTTTCTTTAAGTCAGCATAGTCGTTTCTCATACGTTCTATCTCTTTGACGGAGTAGTTATATTTCCTCATTGCTGCTTTACATTTTGAACATTGCGGATTCATTTTTGCGTTATACATTGAAATTTGACCTGCTAGAACAACTAAGGCGTCAATGGTTTTCTTTAACTCAAAAGTTGTTGGTTTTATTTGTCCATTCCATATTTTACATCTTTTATCTTTATCTCTTATCTGCCATACACATTCAGCAACTAATGAAACAAAGTTGTCGTATGTCTTAAACTCCCCAGATTTATATATGTCAGAGATGTTCTTATATACCATGTCGCAATCTTTGTCCATAACTTTATGGTTGCAATGATATCCTAGAAACTCATAGTTTACTTTACGTATGAACTTCTTTATTTCTACTGAGTCGGTTGGTTTCACTTCTATTTCATCGAATTCATGAATAGTGAGCTTTTGTTGTTGGATTTCAGGCAATTTGGGTAAATGGTCAATAATGTCCTGCATGTCATAAAGATACTGTTCATTTGTTTCATCTTTCGCACTACAGTCGAAATTACTTGTTAAAAGTTCTTGCTTAATTCTTTGTATTTCTGTCTCAAAAGTATATGAAGAAGGAATGAAGCTTTTCATCTCTACTAACATAGATGTAGGATTCATGACTAAAGAGTTTGGTGCTGTAGTTGTTTGAATTGTTGTAGAACCTATTGTTGAAATCATATCATTACATACAAGATAAAAAAATAAATAAAAATAAAACTAACTTTATTTTTTCTATCTTAAGGAAATTCATGAAAATTCACGAGAAAGCAAAAGCAATCTGAGCCGCTAAGCGGTGAGGGTGAGAAAACAGGTGAAAAAACAGGTGAGAAAACAGGTGAAAAAACAGGTGAGAAAACAGGTGAGAAAACAGGTGAGATTTCACCACTTCACCTAAAATATATTTTTGTCTGATTTACATCCAACGAAAAAGTTTAGAAGAATTTTCTTATTCTTTCTGGTAAATGCTTTGTCTGATTTACATCTAATGAAAAAGTTTAGAAGAATTTTCTTATTCTTTCTGGTATATTTTTGTCTTTCCAGTACTCCTGCTCTAATGGTCCCAGATGTGTTGGCTTTGACTCTCTCAAGTTCTTAGATGGTATAACATCTTCAACGCCTCCTTCATATCTTACTTTATAAGTGTCATCGTTTATGTTATAGTCAAGTATTTCAATAACCACTCCTCGCTTTGCTTCGTCAATGGTTTCAGCAAGTTTGCCATTACTACTTTCGACTAATTTATGACGAGGGTAAAATGCTATGGAGTCGTCGGCAGCTTTTATAAGATATCCATTACCTTGCGTAGAGTCTACGATATAATAATTTCGACTTAACCTTAAACGTTTCTTTGTCAACGGTTTGTCGTCAAGAACTACACGAACTTTTGTACCAGGAATGAGGGTAAATTGTGTTGAATTTCTGATATTTTGTGTTTGGCTTCGTTTCTTTTGTATATACTTTTCTTCTTGTTGTTGTGTCATTGAATTTGGTGTATGTCCTGTTGTAGAATGTGTTGAGGAATTATATACTTCGAGAAAATGTTTTATTGTTTCTTCGGTAAAGTCTCGCTCTTGATTTAAATCTCTGAGCGTTCTTATGAAGCGATTAATGATGCCGAGTATGTTATGGTTATGGTCTTCAGTAGTGTAGTGAGTTATGTTATGCTTAATGAGAAATTCTGTGATTTCGTTGCTGAGGTATGCACTGTCTTGGTCTGATGTTAAAGTACTTGGGTTATGTTCTGCTACAAACTTTTGTAAAACTCTTAACACTTCACGAGTTCCTTTATTTCTCATTATATACGCAAAAGCTTTGCGAGTGTTAACATTTATGAAGATGAGGAATGGTTTATGTCCTCCTTTTCTGCTTTGAATGAGAGTGTCAAATTGGTATGCGTCAGGAGTGTTGGAGTAAATTGGTAAAAAGTAGTCGTAAGGATTTATTTTTGTTTGATGTACAACATTTTTGTTAAAGAACCTTTTCACTTCAGCTCTGTTAGTAAATCCCGAACTCTTTGCAGCTTCATTGAATTTCTTAAATGACCTCCATGGATGTTGTTCGAATACTTCTTTCAAGCTCATTTATGTAAAGTTAAAGATTTCATTGAACGCGGTAAGCCTAGATCCTTTGAGTCAAGGCTCAAGCGAGTTCATTGAATTCGGTACCATGCGAATACAGTCATAAATGGTGGCATATAATCTTCACCCGAGCCTGTTGAATTTGTTGTGAAAGTGTGTGAATGATTTCCTCCTGGTTCAGTTGGTCGAAAAGTCTTTTTTGCTGCATGGTTATAATCTGGAGATAAAACGTCATCGCCAGCTTTATATTCTGAGTTGTATAATGGATGGTCTCTTAATGAGTGACTATGGTCACCAGAAAAGTTTGTAGTTCCTGTATGAGTGTGCGGTGGAAGGTTTGCTTCTTTAATTTTCTTCGAACCACCTGTTTGCTTTGAAGAGTTCGCACAATAGAGGAATTTATCTACAATCTGTTCCCACGTACCAAAACCTAAAACACTTGCCGGATTTGTTGAATTCATTGATGTATAAATAGAGCCTATAGGATATATGGTTTCAAGAATCTGAGTCTTCATTGTTAGAAGTTCATGTTTAACGTTTATAGTTTTATTGCCTTCTACAATATTTATATTGTTTGTTATTAAACCATTAGGAAAAGTAGGAGGATAAATTCTTTGTTCTTGTACAGTTGCACCGTCTCTTCCTGTTTTTGTTACTATTTCGATGCATGCCTTAATTTCTTTAATCTTGATTGTTTGAAATTCTTCATGCACGTGCTCTTTATCGGCTTTTCCATTAAGCGCAGCATTTACTTCCGACTTCTTTGCATAATTTTCATCTACATAAGTTTTGTCAGCTTTCTTATCTAACATTGCTGGTAGTTCATGTGCTTCAAAGTTTCTGGCATGACCTTCAATATTCCTGCAACTGTTATCTAAATTGTTTAGTGTATCTTTTACGCTTGTACTTGGATTCTCTAAAGGTGCACTTGAACCAAGGGTATAGTTCAGTATTATGTCATCAGCTCTAACAGTAGTGAAGGATTCATGTGTATGGTTTTTGTCTGCTTTGTTGTCTAAAGAAGTTTGAAGTTCATTTATATCGGAGATATTGTGTTTATGAGATTTCAAAACTTTGTTCGTTGTGTCAAGTTCATTTTTGTCAGCTTTACTTTTAATAGCATCTTCAAAAGTTATTTTTGCCTTAACTCTTAACATAAATCTTGGTTCAACTAATACACCGTTAACAAAGAAGTATGAAGCATAAATTTCAGCGTTATAACCAAATGTTTGTGGTGCTATACCTGTGTCATACTGTACAGTACAGTGTATGTCATAACCTTTAGCACGAATGAATTTATATCTTCTTTCATTAACATTTTTCGTCTTCACTTCTTCATCCTGTGTTAAATATCCATGATAGTCCGTTATAATCTGTTCATCTGAACTTATATAATGAACATGGTTCTTGTCCGCTTTACTATTTAATGTAGCTTGAAGTTCATTTATATCGGAGATATTGTGTTTATGAGATTTCAAAACTTTGTTCATTGCGTCAAGTTCATTTTTGTCCGCTTTACTATTTAATGTAGCTTGAAGTTCATTTATATCGGAGATATTGTGTTTATGTTCTTTATCTGCTTTTTCGGCTAATTTCTCTTCTATCTCATTTATTTCAAGTTCATGCCTACCACCACCTCCCGAAGAAGTATTTTTCTTCAGCTCTTGAAGAACGTCCACTTCGCCATCTTTGGTGTCAATAATGAGACTTTGAGTTAAAACCTTTCCTGTCTTAATGGATGTTTGTAAAACTTCTTCTTCACCGTGTTCGGGGTCATGGTCGTCATCATATCTTGTGAAATCAGAGATGTTGTCATACATTAAACATATCTGTCTCAAAAGTTCTGCTATTTGAAACTGGAACGAAAGATATACAGAACTTTCATCATCTCCTAAAGTCAAGTCTGCTTTCTTAAGTATTTCTTGAATGTATGCAATGAGAACAGAGTACCTTGGAAAATATTCGAACAATATTTCATTAGCTGTTGGTTTTGGTGGTTCTTCTGGAGTTTCTGTTGGAGTTTCTGCATCTCTTGACTTCAATGCTCTTGCTTTCAAAGACCTAAATGTTAGAGCACCGGGTTTTACAAAGGACTTTATAAATGCTTTAATAGTTCCTGGTAAGTTATTGTTAGCATTAAGTAAGTTCCTTATGCTTCCATCATGTACGTCCATAGCACTATGTAAAAAATCTATACTTTTCTTGTAGTCAGCAATAGACTGACTGTGATTTTTTAAAGATTTGTCAATACCTTTAAGCCAATCTTCATGCATGTCTGATACTGAGCCAAGAATATCATTTGCTTCCTTTAGTGTATTTTGTGCTTCTCATAAAGTATCCAATCCCGTACGTGCATTGTTTGCTATACGTCTTACAGTATCTATTTGACTCCTTGTTTCTTGCATCCAACCAGATAAAGTTTTAATAGTATCAGAACCATTTGAAATGAAGTTCAAAGCATTTTTAACGTCATCTAAAGCTTCTTCACCAAGTACTGCCCATATCTTTCCGATTTGGTATTGAAGAACTCCATATGAAGCAGCTGTTAAACCAGTATTTATAAGGTCCCATATCCATGATTTAGCAGTTTTTCCATCCTTTCCATCCTTTCCATCCAAACCGTTTTCGCCTTGAGGTCCTTGTATTCCTTGTGGTCCTTGTGGTCCGGTGTCACCCTTCTCTCCTTTCAGTTCATCTTTATGTTCGTTATAATATTCTAATGTCATAAGGTGTACATCATTACTGCTACCAGCAACGCCGAGAATTTGTTTCTCATTCATGACTAAATTCTTTAGGCATTTAATGTTGTCGTCAAATCGAAAGCTCTTTAACAATTCAATGAGAACATTCAGTACTTTCACTAATGAGGCATCTACTGTTGAATTTATATATTGCACCGTTCCTTCATTTATGATGGGAACCTTGCTTGTTGTAATGAATGGGTCATAAGTGTTAAAAGTATCGAAATCAATGACTTTTTTAGTTTTTCCATCGTCAATGACTAAATCATTGCCTTCAATGGTTAAAGTTGAGTTTTCGTTTACTAGTTCATGTGCTCTTCTTGCTTCATTTGTTTCATACGCATATGCAGCAATAGTCATATTTTAATGAGAATAAAATGTTGTTCTATTTGCAAAGTACAGACCCAAACGAATACGGGACAGTAAAGCTACAAACAAACTTAGGTCTTCAGAATGAAGCGCTTGCTTTCAGAGTTGTTGACTTTAATACTATTGCTTCATTCGTTATAACTGACGAAACAGATTTCATGGAGCTTGAAATAGATGGAAAGAAGCATGAAATAAGATTTCACAATAATGTAGAATATAAGATGGAAACATTAGCTGGAGTGTTAAATGCTCTCATAAATACTACAATAAACAAGGATAACGAAGAAAACTTAATGAATGTTAAACTTATTGCAGGAGTTTTGAAGTTCAGTTATGCGAAGGAGTTTAAGATAACACGAATGAGTCATAGAGTTCAATTGCTTCTGGGAGCATACCACCATATGACATTTCCTTTGAAAAGTGTTGACAAAACGATTGAGATGAAATCCGTTCCATACGTATGTTATGGCAATTGTTTGTACATTGAGTCAAAAATAGCTAATGTCACAGGTATTTCAGGAGTTAATAGTAAAGGTTCAGTAGAATATAAGTCTTTCTGTTATGAAAGTAAATTCAATGTTCATTCCAAACGTTCCTGTCATAGTAACTCATTTAGGTAAATGGGTTCGCATTAGTCCTCATAATTTGAAAGACATGCAATTCAGACTAGTTGACTTTCAAGGCGAGCCCGTAGTACTGAAGGCACCAGTGCGAATGACTGTTGAAGTTGACTTTTTAGAAAATATTAAATGCAACAGCTTACAAGAGAACTCAGAGCTAAAAATATAAAGTATGAATGTTATGTATTAGGGCATGAACTTTGGTTGTTGCTGTTTGATGAAACAAATGAGTTAGTTATGTCAGTCAAGAGAACAGAAAAAGGCGTCAAAGGCGCCGAGCGCAAAGCGCTATATTGTGTTAGTGAAAACTGCACCAAGTCAATAAGATTAGGTTTGCATTATGAAGATGAGTTCGATACTGTTGAAGAAGTTTTGGATAGATATTACAAATTGCTTTAATTTACTAAAACATATTTCAAACAAAGCTTATAGTAAGTAGATAGTTTTGTATACTCGTTCGAATATTTATACTTAAACTCAACTCCTGGAGTACCTGGTGTTTCAATGATGCGGATGTTACCTATTTTCATGAATATTGGAGTTTGACCACAGCATTCGATTTCAGGGTCGAGATAGTCAATGACACATTGCTTTCCTGTTATTCGTGATATAATATTTTCAAGGTCCTCCTTTGTTAGAATTATTTGGTTCTTACTTATAAGATTTGTCAAAAGCTTCTTATCGTCTTTGAGTAAAATTGTTTGTATAACTGAAGAAGGTAATGGTCTACGTTATCTGAAGGATTTGTTTGAACATTTGTGTAAGGGTTGTCGTTGGCTTCTCTTGAAAGAACTTGGTCCAGTGGTGGATACTCTAACTTAACATCTGATGTAGCGTTAGCGTTTGAAGCTGTGTTTAAATTCACCGACTTAAGATCTGGTTCTTTTTCTTTCAAACACTCGAACTATAGTTCTTTATGACAATATTGTTTGTCGTTCGTGAGTCAACATTTGATGTTGGTTCAATTGGAACATTAACGGCACCAGCTAAGATGGATTTGCTTCTCATTTCATATAGAATAAAAACCTTTTATATGTATGAAATGAACAATATACTCGACAAGGGTTTGAATGTAAAGCTAACGAATGAAAATATTGTTGAATTCACTGAGACAGGAGCTGTGTATAAAGATGTAGAACTACTGAACAAAAGAGCTAAGGGAAGAAGCAGGAATATGAACAAAGGGTGGAAGCCTATAAAAATTTATGTCAATGATGGCTCAGGAGGTTCAAACATAAAGTATGCAGAAAGTTATAGAGTTTATGCTCTCAAAGGTGAAAAGCCTTCATTTAAGAACAGCTATTCTAACGCATATCCTCAAAAGCTAACGGATGGGGAAGTGGATGATATGAATGACAGCAAAAATATTAACAGAAATGGCGACAGAGATGCATGGAATTTGTTTACCATCAGTCAATTGAAGGTTAAACTTTAAAACAATGTTGGTCGTTCCCATGGAATATTTTTGACTTTAATGGTATTAGTCATGATATGAATCTCAAGGTATGAACGAGGAGAGATGAGAGACTTATATGCTTCCCAAATTTCTTCAAAAGGTAATGTTATACCTGACTGTTTCCAAATGAGTTCAATATCATAGCGTGAGAAACCTTGAAAGATAACGAAGTCAGTTATGAGACGTTTTATGTTTAAAGCAAGGAAACGCCATGTTTGCATAAGTATTGCTACAGTTAAATGGTAATGTCTGACTTTAGTAATGATGTTAGCTAATGGTGAGTCAGGCTTTGACACTAAACCTTTTCCGGCGAAGTCGTCACAAACGAGCAGAGTGTTTGAAGGATACTTTTTGAAGGGGTATTTTGAAAGTTTTGATAGAATGTAGTTTGTCAGTCGTTTCATATCGTAAACTCCTGAGTATTGACGTAAGTGGTGTTTGTCAATAATTCTTTCCATCTCTTCTGAAGTCTTTTGCATTCCTGACTGTATGAACTCTACAATAGCATAATATTTTCTCTTACGTCGAATGTAACGTTGAAGAAATTCAATGAGTTCGCTATCTGGAACTTTAACGACAGATGCTTGAACTTTACTCATGAATGTTTTCGCTGTTGAATCCATAGAGTCTGAAGTTGCTGATATAATGATTTGGTCATAGTAAGAGTCGTTTCCTAAACGCTCTGTTATGAGTATATGACGAATGAGGTTAAATGTCTTACCTGAACCCATCTTTCCACAATAGAAATACACACCATTTGAACAGAATTCATAATCTTTGCTGAAAGGAAGAATAAGAGAAGAGTTAAGTTTGTCTGTAGTTTCATTCATGTCTTCATCTACGTCATGTATTAAATGCTTCATTTTATCTCCATTAAAAATGCAAGTCAGAAATATTCAGAACATAGCACCGAGTCTAACTGACAAGAGTATAAAGATATACTATGAACACGTTATGATGAAACCAACCAAAATTCAAGAAAGTCAGTATACTTATGAATATCCAAGACACTGGGTAGAGTATGTAGGAGGTGAGAAAGCTATTGAAATAAGACAAGTTAGAAGTATTCCAGCAGGAAGGACAATATTATTGAAGAACTTTAATGTTTTGAGATATAATGATGAAACAAAGAAGCAAGATAGTTTCCCTGTTGCTGTGTATGTGAACTTAGATACAGGAGATGACATGAAAGTTTTTAACACAAAGCTTCAAACGGTATTGAAAGAACAACTTATAGCAGAAGGACACCCATTACCTTCAGAAGTTACCATAGCATATAATTTTGAAACAAATGCAATAGATTTTAAAATCGTCTCTGCAAAGAAGTCAGGTTTTACATTTAATGAAGCAGATGTATATTCGAATGAAAACTTCAAAGCTATTGCATGGTTAGATAATGACGATTGCTTTAAGAAAATATTTAAATTCAGTGACTCAAAGATGTCAATAGATGACCTTCGTGGAATGTTACCATCGACGTTTACAGTTGAAGGTTCAGCAGGATTGCTTACAAGATTGTCAATTGGTGGCGTTTGGTCTCGTGAGAACATTGTTATAAAATCCAGTATAAGTGAATTTGCTGAAGAATCTATATTATGTCTTTCAAACTACATGTATTCGCCACCGAAGCATTATAGTATAACAAACTTTGTCAGTAAGTTTAACATAAGACTTGTCGAACCTTCTTCAATGAAAGATGTTGTGCTACCTAAAGATGGAAAGGATGGACTCATTATTGAGATGATTTTAATAGCATATTAAATGAGCTTGTTCTTGAAGGTCATTCATGATGAAATAACTGTTGTAGAAGATGTTAGCAATTGTTCAGACATTTTGAAGCGTATAGATGATATAAGAAAGAAGTTAGATAGACCGCAAAGCGGTGAGGACGAAGCCCGTGAGAACGCTTATGTTTCATTGACTTTCTCCAGTAACGAGAACTTTTATGAGATAATATTGAAGAGAGATGATTTTAATATGGTGTAAATGGTAGCTTGGGCAGCTTTAGGCGCAATGGGAACAAAAGCATTAGCATTTGGAGCAAAAGCACTTGGAGCTTATGACGCAGTAAATAAAATGAGTGGAGGAAGGGTTTCAAAGACATTAGATGCAAATAAAGGAAAGATTGGAGGCTGGGTTGCAAAGAAGTTAAGATTAAATAAAATAGGGCTCATAAATAAAGCATCCAATTTGGTTGCGACTGAGTCAGAAAATGCTTTAGGAAAGGACGATGAGTTTGCAAAACACACAAAAGACATTAATGACCAGATGAAAGGTGAAACAATGCATTTAAATAGATTCTATGGAACTAAAGAAAATGTTTCTTCTCCACCAGCGGTTTATCCATACGGACCTTATGGAATGTATGGAAACCCTTATGAACGACCATTTGACCCATTGACTGGTGGAAGTAATTGGTATCATTATGGACGAAGAAGAAAGACAGTCAAGTTGGAGACAGACGTGAAGAAAGCAACTAAAAAGAAACCAAGGAAGAGAGTTATAAAGTAATGAATTCAACAGGGTGAAAACCGGGTGAAAAAAGAGGTGAGATTTCACCGCTTCACCTAAATTTATTTTTGTGCTATGTTTTCATACGCGTGAGGGTGGTGATATCATTTATTTTTTATTTTATTTTTTTAAAATTATTTTTATTTTATTTTTATATAAATGACAGAACAAAAGCAACTCATTCGAATTCCACAGTATAACAAACATACATTTAAACATTTATTCTTCCTTCCTGAGCATAACATGTTCTTTCAAATACATCCGAGACCAGTTGACTTTTCATTGACTGTGTATAAAGATAGAAATAGTTATATCATTAAACCATACGATGACGAAGGTAAGTTATGTAAATTGTACGTTAAGAAGTTAGAGAAAGTTTATGTCTTCAAGTATGACTACAATAGGGTTAACACTGATGATGAAGATATTGAGGAAAATTTATGAGAACATTAGTGAAGTCGTTAGTGAGAACGATAGTGAGGTGAAATTGTTGGCGGCTTTGTAAAGTGTCAAATTCACAAGTATTGGGTAAGGTGGAACGCAGTGCCATCATACCCAAGACTTGTATACTAACTAGAGTCTAAGTGATAAATTGGTGATTTTTCATGAATTTGAGAGATCATATCATTATCAGAGTAAATAAAAACCAATTTGTCTGGAAAATCAGTATCTTCACCTTGAATGTCAAAATAAATAAGGTCATCATGTTGATCTTCCCATTGATTAACATAGTTTTGTAAAGATTGAAATTGATTTAAAGATATGTCTGGTAAAGATCACATAAGATCTTTTTGTTGTAAATAATATTTCAATTGATTGATTGCAGTTTGTTTCATAGTCATGTGAATACAAGTATGATCTTTAGGTATTTCAAGCGTTTTGTTGACTTCTTGTGTTGCATTAAGTGGACTTCCGTGATTCATGAGAAATTTTTTAATCCAAGCACGGTAAGTACCACTTGTAGGTGTATTTTTATGTTGTGGTGGTGGTCCTGAGTGAATATGAGTTAAGTTTGCAGATTTAAAAATGTAATTGTCGAAATTTTTAATAAATTTAAAGCCTGCTGGGCAGCCTTCGTATTCGCATCGGTGGTAGATTAATACTCCTGTTCCAATTGATAGTTTTTGTGGGTCTTTGACAAATCTTATGTTACCATGCAGCTCTGCAGCTATAACAAAACGAGAATATTCTAAATATCCTATGGCTTGATCAACCTCGCATGGAGGATCGGGTGGAGGATGTTGCATTGAGCAGCAAAAAGGAAAAATAAAATTGAAAACTCACATTGAAAAAATAACGGTTTAATAGAAAATATTTTTTTTCTTCTGAAAAAGAATTATCTTTGAGTATTTAAATTGGGATAAAGAATATAGAATAGATAACTAGTACTTAATATATGATACATGTACACGAAATGGAAGAATATGTACTAAAAGAAAGAGAAATTTTAGCTTAATATTTTACATACGAATCAATTATCTTTGGTTAAAAGGTAGAATTGTTGGCTATGATGTACTGATTCATGATCAGTACATCATAGCCAACAATTCCTTATACAAAGTTCAAAAACTTGGGTGCAATCAGTTCTGATTGCATCCAAGTTTTTGAACTTTCTTGAGGGAATTAAAGGGTGAGAGATTTATAGTCTATATATATATCTCCCACCCTCTAATTCCCTCCCTGACAGTGGGAAACTTTGTCTGAATGTTAAACTATTCAGACAAAGTTTCCCGCTGTTTGCGAAGGAATTGTTGGCTATGATGTACTGATTCATGATCAGTGCATCATAGCCAACAATTCCTTATATAAAGTTCAAAAACTTGGGTGCAATCAGTTCTGATTGCACCCAAGTTTTTGAACTTTCTTGAGGGAATGGAAGAGTAAGAGGTATACATTATGAATATATACCTCTTACCCTTCCATTCCCTCTCTGACAGCGGGAAACTTTGTCTGAATGTTAAACTATTCACACAAAGTTTCCCGCTGTCAGCGAAAGAATTGTTCCATCTGGTGCATAGAGTGTGAATCTATGCACCAAATGGAGCAAGTCCCTCGCGAAATTGCCAAAACTTGTGTCGCATTTCAAAGATTGCGACCCAAATTTTGGCGATTTCTAGTAGAGATGGAGTATTTTGAGTCACTGACCTATATGCAGTGGCTCAAAGGGCTCCATCTCTACTTTGAAGCAAGGAAACTTTCCTCGAAATTTTGATAATTTGAAGAAAGTTTTCAAGCAATTAACAAAGGATTACTCGCTATGAGGTAAAAATTCTAGATTTTCACCTCATAGCGAGAGCTTCCCTTTCATTGCTTGAAAACTTTCCCCAGCTTCAAAATTGGGGAAAGGGCTGTAAAGTCGACTCCGATACCAGCAGGTACCAGAGTATTTAAAAGAGAAGCCCTCGTACGAGTTTCTAAGAAGACCTTCTCATTCAAGAAGATCTTAATAGAAAATCGTACGAGGGCATTGGAAACTCGCGTCTGGTACATGTTGGTACCAGAGTGTTTGAGATTTGAAGACTCTGGTACTAACATGTACCAGAATTTATGATGAATTTAAGATGGACCATTATAAAATGGTAGCGGTTTGTTTCAAAAAATTTTAGATGAGATTTGCATAGATATAGATTATATGATTTATACATATGAAAAATAATATATAAAAATATAATTTTGAGATAATTATGTAAATAATATTTTAAATATTTGAATTTGAGGTATAATTTTATAGTAAAATATATTATAAAGAGTATTTATATAAATAATGTAAAATAATATAAGTAATAAAAATTGAGACCCCCTCCCTGTTTTTGATGTTTTGTCACTTTTTCGGTAATTCTTATTGTTTCTTGAATCTGTTTTTTTGGGCTGAAATCTTATAAGAAATGGCAGAATAATAGCTACAGAAATGAATATCAAATTCATTATTAAGAATTTGAACCTAGAAAACATTAGAGTATTTGTATTTTTGACGTGTAAATGAAAGGTTTTCAACTCTTCAAAAAACAACGTGAGGAATTGATTTATAGGTTTATATTGCACACACTCATGTATAAATTAATATTCATTAATAAGATGAAAATTAATGGAAAACAACACAGAAATAATTCGAAATTTGATAATTATGAAAGATGATAGATTTCCATGAAATCTCTACCAATATAAAAGCTTTTCTTACTTCTACTCATGCTCAAACATCTAGAAAACCAATATTTTGCATCGATATCGGCCATAACAATTTTATATTGAAGATATTATTTGTAACAAATGAATAAGTAATATATTTATATGATTATTTCTACCGCTTTCTATTCATATTTTGGTATTTTCTTGACACGTAAAATCTATTTTACATAGCAAAATTAATTCAATTTCTTGAGAAAAGTGACGATTGGTCCGCCTTTCAGATGCCAGTCAAGAGAAGGAATCATGGCCGTTCCAAGATGAACCGTGGCCACACAAGAACAGTCAACTGCATGAACTGCGGCCGCCAAGTTCCAAAGGATAAGGCAATCACACGTTTTGCCATCAAGAATATGGTTGATGCTTCATCAGCTAAGGATGTTTCCGATGCTTGCATCTATCAGGGCTACGAGCTTCCAAAGACATACCAGAAGCAGTACTACTGCGTTTCTTGCGCTGTCCACCGCCACGTTGTTCGTCCACGTAACGTCAACGTTCGCCGCAACCGTGTTCCACTCTTCCTCAAGCTCAGACTTGAGAAGCTCGAACAGCGCAACGCTCAACGCCTTTCCAAGGAGTAAATTTTATTTTTAATTGATATTGAACGATACAATCTTCATAAATTATCATCAAATCAAATCTTTACGATTCTAAAACATATTTAACATTTACAAAAAAAAATCAAATTTGATAAATGCTAATTACTATATATATGAGTGAAATAATATGATAATTATAATCAAAATAATAATTTTATTTTTATTTCATGCACTTTTGATCTGAATTACATTTATCATATATCCGATAATCAATAAAGCAGCGCAAGCAATTCCTGGAAGACAAATGAGAAGAAGACTTGCTGTGTTGCGTGCTTTAGCAATCTGAAGTGTGTTTTCGTTTTCGTGGAAATCATTTTCCATTGAAATGACGCCAATGATTTCTTCGGACATTTCTTCAGATGTATTGTAGCTTTCGGAAATGAAAAGAACAAAAATACCGGTTAATGACAAAACCATTGACATAAGATAAGCAGCGGACATTCCGAAAAATTCATTGATGTAGGCCTTTAAGAAGGCGCCAACGAGTGGTGTAATAAATAAGCCAAGAGCTGGGAAGAGATCAAGGAAAAGTGTCCATTTGCATTTTCCATTGTTATAACCTGCAAGTCCGATGAATTCGGCAATGCAAAGAAGGATAAGGATCTCTAATGGTGATGATGCTACTTGGAATGGCTGATTAATGCCAAAAAGTGCAAAAATTACGAAAAGACCTAAAACAACAAAGCCAGAGTAAAGATAAACGTAGGATGGAATTGCACGATTAAGTGTTTGAGTACAGAGGTGATTGATAACGATAAAGATGACAAGTCCGAGTAACAATCTATAAGAAACAAGTCCGATCTTTTCAGTGAATGCTGAGAATGCAACAAAATGTAAAATAAAAGCGCCTGCAATTAATGGCTTTGAGAAGCAATAAACAGCAAGAATAAGTGAAATGAAAGGAATAATCTTAGAATGCGTAGAAGGTGGAATCAAAAAGACTGTTTTGGCTTGGATTGTTTCGAGAGAGTTAGCTGGGAACTTGATTGTTGTTTCAAGCTCTATGTTGGATGCATTGTTATAAATTGTGGAAAATGCATTAAATCCTGAATATGTATTTCCTGTAATTTTGATCATCGCTTGATTTGAGTCTGTGACTTGTGAATATCCGTTTGATGATTTAGACATAAAATTAACTGCCATGGTTTCCGAATTAAATGTTGGCTTCAAGTTGAATGTCATGTATGATTCGACACCTAATGGAAGAGTTGATGTTGTATTAAAAGTCACGTTATAAGTAGTAGAATCGCTATCTTGTGGAATAACCAATGTTTCGGATTTTGTCAAGAAGAAGACAGAAAGCAAGGATGATTCTACTGCTAAAATTCCTGTAATTATTGACATATAAGAGAAAACATATCTTGGGTGGTTGCCCGTGATTTTGAACATTTATGTATGTTGTCAGTTTTTTTTATCAATATCTATCGATTTCTGATATCTGAACTATTCATTATGTATCCTTGATTTAAGATAGAGGATTGTGTATTTTGGAAAATCTGAAAAACAAAAGATATGATTCTGATAATTTCTTGACTTATGTTAATGAACAGCTATTGTATGTTAGAATTATCTTAACATTAAGTCAATTCATTGTGATGCCTATAATCTTACACAGGTGAAATCAAATATAAATCTCATTAGACTCAATGATCAAAATTATGGTCAAATCATTATTTGTCATGTTTTCTAGCTTCTTATGAAATAAGTATATCAATAACAAATGATTCACTCAAGATTTGAGTTTGAATTTGAATTTAAGGAAATCAAAAGTAGAATTTATAAGATATGGTCTTTTTCTAGCATATTAAGTGTTATAGTGATGAAAAGTATTTTATCGGAATTAAGCTCAAGCTATGAGTTTATATAATGAAGCTAAAAGATGCTAAATCTAATATAACTGATACTTATTTTGCAAAGCCAGACTGATATTGTAATCAAAAGTCCGAAATATTTCCCACATTTATTTTGATTGAGTCATTCTTGAATGTAATGAACTCATGGGTCTGGATCACATACTCACAGCAAATAACCATGAAGAATACTGTCCGGATCATGTTAATACAGTCAAGAAAAAAAAAAGCTATTTTAGACTGTTATTTTAAAAAGTGACAAAATGAAATCAGTTTTTGAAGCAGTTAGTGATGATGAAAATGAGGAAGAAATTGAAGAGGAGCCTGTTGTTAGAGAAAAGCCAATATCATGGGCTGATAATAAGTACTGGGATGAACGATATACAAAAAATCCAAATCAATTTGAATGGTATTTACCTTGGAAAAAGCTGAAAGGCTCACTTGGAAGATATATTGATGGATGTACTAGTGCACTCCATGTAGGATGCGGAACTTCAACGTTAGGAATAGATATCCAAGAAGATGGAGTTAAAAATGTTCTTAATATTGATACATCAGAAACTGTTATACAAGAAATGTCATCTAAATATGAACGAAAAAGGAATAAATTCGAAGTTGGAGATATAAGAAACCTTGAATATCGGAAAAACTCATTTGACTTGGTTATTGATAAAGGCACAATGGATTCTATGATGTGTGCCGAAACTTCTCAGCATGATATTGGAAAAATGTTCAAGGAAATTTCTAGAGTTCTCAAGCCTGGCGGAACATTCATAGAAATATCTAACGCTTGCGAAGAACTACGTTTATCATATTTTCAGCCTACTCTCTACAACTGGAAAATACTTGGCGTTATCAAAATACCAAAACCAATTCTGAAAGATGATTTCTATTATGCTTATATTGCTAAACTCAATGAGGCTCAAGAATAATGAATTGGTCAGTATATATTGTTGTTAATTTAATAAAGGTTCATATTAGTCAATATATTACTTATTTTCTAGAAACTTTTCATTACAATAATGATATGTAAATGTATCTTTGCATGCTTGTTAAAGTATTACGAACCCAAACTAAAAATATTGAAAATTTGATTGATTTTCCCATATTTTGAATATTTTATGCTAAACAATGATAGAAGTTAACTGTCTGAAAGGGATCTGTGATATAAATTACATGTTATTCATTACAAATTTAATTCGTCCGATTTTTGATTAGTCTCTGAAGCATTATGAATGAAATCTGGATCATGTTGATTGATATGCTTGTATTTTACTTGATTATTAAGCCCTTATGTTCTAATTGAGTATTTCAGGTAACACTTTCAAAGGGTTTACAATTCCTAACCAACAATATTTTTATCAAAAAATTTTCTTAATTATTTGTTGTTATTAGCATGTATTTGCATTATTGCGAACACCGAAAATCAAAAATAAAATTCAAGGTGAAGAATGAAATCAAATTTTGGGAAATATTTTCGTCTATAGTGTGTAATAAGTCATATATTTTTTCGAGTAAGATTTGGAACGATCAACTAAAAGTCAATGTTTGACCAACTGTGATCTCTGAAAAAATTAAAGGTATTTTGTTTAATTCCATATAAGTACTTGCTTTATTATGTACACCTAGACATGCGATTCCATCAAAGTTGATATCTGACAATTGGCTGGCTAAACTTTTCTCCTTATCAAAAAAATTATTCGTTTCAGAAAATTTTATTGTTAAAATCATGTATTCAATTTATGGCAATTAACAAGATTTTAAAAATATTTTGATGATGGCTCATAAAATTCAATTTTACATTTCGTGATAAAGTTGCTTACTATATCATATAGTACATGAATATCGATGAAATTTTGAATAAAATTTTTCAAGGGTATCCTCAGAAATTATGAACAAACAGAATCTCAAATAAATTGATAAGATTGAAAGGAAGAAAGTCCAAAATCATTTTTCATCTTTCCCTCTAGAATGATCTACAACAACATCCTCGAGACAATCGGAAACACACCAATGGTCCGCATCAACCACCTTAACCCAAACCCAAAGGTTCAGATGTATGCTAAGCTTGAAGGATTTAACCCAACAGGCTCCGTTAAGGACAGAATCGCTCTTAAGATGATTGAGCAGGCTGAATCCGAAGGACTTCTTAAGCCAGGTTCCACAATCATCGAAGCCACATCCGGAAACACAGGTATCGGTCTTGCTATGATTGGCCGTGTTAAGGGCTACAATGTCGTCATTGTCATGTCAGAAGGTGTTTCTCTTGAACGCCGTAAAATGATCAAGGCTTTCGGTGCCGAAATCATCCTTACTGATAAGAAGCTTGGTACAGATGGCGCCATCCGTAGGGTTGCTGAAATCCTTAAGGAGAACCCAGGCAAGTACTTCAATCCAAACCAGTTCTCCAACGAGTACAACAAACTCGCTCATTACAAGACAACAGCCGAAGAGATCTGGGCTCAGACAGAAGGCAAGATTACACACTTCGTTTCTGCTGTTGGCACATCTGGCACACTTATGGGCGTCGGAATGAACCTTCGTGAAAAGAATCCAAACATCAAGATCGTCGAAGCTCAACCAACAAAGGGACACTACATCCAGGGCCTTAAGTCCATGGAAGAAGCTATCGTTCCAGCTATTTACGATCCATCCAAGATTGATGAGCACATCCTCATCGAATCTGAAGAAGCATTCGACACTGCTCGCGAAGTCGTTGCTAAGGAAGGTATATTCATCGGTATGTCCGCTGGTGCTGCTATGCTTGCAGCTCAGAAGGTAGCCGCGAAGCTTGATGAAGGCGTTATCGTCGTTCTTCTTGCTGATAGAGGTGAGAAGTACCTTTCTACAAAGTTGTTTGAGACCGAATAAATGCTATTATAATCTATAAATAAATCATCGAGATTTTTTTGAAATTTTCTATAATTTTTTATTATTTTACTAATTCGTTATCTTTCTTTTCATGAGAAGATGTGTGCAAATAAGATATTTGAAGCTGAAAATCAAATAAAGTACTCACAAAATCTAGATTGAGAGGCGGTCAATGACTTTTGAGGGGAAATTAACGCATGGAATTTAATATTATTTAGGTTGATATTCTTGCTTATTATTTCAGAAAAAAATCTTAAAAATTTCAATATGAAAATTGAAAGCAATTCAAAAAAATTGCTAACATGTAAATTTTAATATCCTATGCATAATTTCATATTTTGAATATTTTTTATTTTTGTTTAAAACTTAAAATTTTGCGAATTTAATATAATTTATAAAATATAATACGTATATATATTTAAAATACACTAAATTTAATTGTTAATTGACGTTTTTGGGAATGAATTTTATCAAAACATGCCTGAATCCGAAAATTTGAAAGAACGAATTACACAATCATATATGTAGAATTCAAAATACAAACTTAAAGATTGTATACGTTTAAAATTATTCAGATTGGGTTTGATTTCCACTCATTCTGTTTCTTTTGAACTCTAACACTAACATTTCATGATGATTACATGATCCATTTATACATGGTTGAATTGTTCCAGATTCTACCAGAAAATCAATCCAAATTTCTCAATGCATTCATGTTGATTGGACAAAATTTAAAATTTATCAGCCTGTTTCCAGAGAAACTCATATATTCCCTAATGAAATGTAATTTTTGCTACATTTATTTCAATCAAATTTCAAAAAATTGACTGCAGAGCTTGAAAAGGTGATGAATCATGTTGTTATTAGATGTACATATTAGATTTACTATTTCCAAAAAAATGCTCAAATTTGAATAGTTTTTAGAAAATTTGGAATTACACTCCTTACATTATATATAATTAAATGTTTAAATTTTATTTATTTTTCCCTTTTAATTTTATAACGTGCTCTATCAAAACTAACCTCTCAATTGAAGGCCACAAAATCTAAGTAGTGAGGGTACACAAATTTTGTATGGAGTCCGGTTCAATTTTTGAGAGCCTCACTACTTAGATTTTGTGACTACCTTAATTTTGGTAAATCAATGTTCAATTGAATTCTAAAATATTGACTCAGTAATACAATATAATTTTAATACGTCAACATTTTTCAGATTTAGTCTGTGCGGTCGAATTGAATTTTCTCAATTTCAATTGAACTCCTAAAAAAAATTTCTTATTCCAATAAATGAAAGCATTCATTGGTCACTCCATGTTAGTAAAATTCCTAAAGTTATCAAAATTGGGCTGTAGTTTTTGCAAAAGGAAAGCATCATTCAAAATTTTGCCCGGTAGATCCATTCAAATTATTCGAACATTAATTAAAAAGAATAGTAATATATTTCGGATTAACAAGACAAAATCCAAAAACGTTTTTTTCTCATAGAAAACTTTCTGCATAATCATTGAAAAATTTTAAATTCAAATGCTCTATCTCTTTTTCGTTTTCTCCAACTCCGCAATATTAAGAAGTGCTACATCTGGTACTCTTACTATTACCAATACAATCTTTCAGAATTACGCTAATGATAGAGCTATAAATACAGATCAAAATGCAGCATTAACGGTTTCTGACGTAACTTTTTTCAACTTTAGAGGAGGATATGCTCCTTGCATTAATGCAGCCGGAAGAGGCACAACTACAGTCACAAAAGTATGTTGCCAGTATTGTTTTGCTTCAGATTCTTGCAGTTTCATGAGACAACTCAATAGCCAGTTAGAAATGACATATACTATGATATCTTACTGTGGAGCCGCTACAGACTATTCAAATAATGATGGTTTGATTTTTGAATCATCAAGTGGTTCAACCATCAAATATGTGAATGCTTCTTCAAACAAACCAAAGTACTGCACATTGAATGTATTATACGCTTCTCAACCAGTCCAATTTTGCGAGTTTATTAATAATTCTCACGTTTATCAAGCTCTTTACGTCAAAGGCGGTGTTACGGAATGTAAAAACAATATATTCCATAAGAACGTAGGTATTGGACTCTTTGTTGAGTCATATTCCAGTTATTATGTCAGAAATTGTTTATTCACTTTAAACAACAATTATGACATTAAAGCTCAGTCAGCAACAGTATACATTGAAAGTTGCGATTTCTGGAATAAGAAAACCGATGGATCTGTCATTGAAAGCGGATCAAATAATCATTTCTGGGGAGAACATAATCCAACTGAAGTAATTGTTGCTAATCCATATTGGGGAGAGCAAAACAACAGATGTCCATATAATCCTTTTACTCCTCCTACATACCATCCCCTTCCATCTCCTTCAACTCCTCCTGCAACGATGTATAAAACTCCGGTAGGAACACCATTCTTATCACCAGTTGTAACACCTTATAATACACCAGTAGATACCATTGATTCTACTCCTTTCGGTACTCCATTTAATACATTTCATGAAACTGCCAAAGAAACACCGAATGAAACACCATTAGTTACACCATTTATTACATTTGAAAATACTCCACATGATACACCATTTTCAACTGTTGTTTTAACTCCAAATTATACTCCATTTAATACTTTCTCAGAAACAGCAAAAGAAACACAATATGATACACCATTCAACACATTTATAAATACTCCTAATGATACTCCATTAGTTACTCCATTTTCTACGCCTTTCCAAACGAATTTCATGACATTTGATGAAACTCCTTTTATAACAGCTCATGAAACTCATTTTGAAACTCCATTCAGTACATTATCATATACACAAATAGAAACACCATATATTACACCTTATGACACTCCATATTTAACCAATTATGAAACAATCAAAGAAACATTAAAAGAAACTACATTTTTGACAGAATTTGAAACACCTTTTGTTTCTCCTTTCCAAACAATTGAAGAAACATATAAAGAAACACCAAGAGAAACTGTATTTATAACTCCTTTTGATACTGTATTTTTAACTCCATTTAATACACCATATGAAACTGTTTATGAAACACCATTTATAACAAACCATGAAACAATCAAAGAAACATCAAAAGAAACTCCATTTGATACACCTTTTATTACAGTATTTGAAACACCTTATTTAACTTATCAAGAAACATATAAAGAAACACCATTTGAAACTGTATTTGATACACCTTTTGATACAGTTTATTTAACACCTTTTAATACTCCATTTGATACTGTATTTTTAACTCCTTTTAATTCTCCTTTTGAAACTGTTTTCGAAACACCATTTATAACTAACCATGAAACTGTTAAAGAAACTAACTTTGAAACACCATTTAATACAATTGTTGAAACTCCTTTTGATACTCCTTTTGTTACAAATATCAAAACACCTTATGAAACACCATATTTAACTGAATGTGAAACACCTTTTATTACTAATTTCCAAACAGAAAAAGAAACACCTTTTGAAACTGTTTTCGAAACACCATTTTTAACTAATCATGAAACAGTTAAAGAAACAAATTATGAAACACCTTTTGATACACCATATTTGACTGTATTTGAAACACCTTATATAACTAATTATGAAACACCATTTTTAACAAATTATGAAACACCAATAGAAACTGTTTCTAAAACACCTTTTGAAACATTTTTGATGACAAATATTATGACACAAAAAGAAACTCCATTTGAAACACCATTTTATTCACTCAAAATGACAATGTTTGAGACACCTTTGATGACAATTTCTCAAACACCATTTAATACAGCAGTAGAAACAGTTTATTCAACACCAATTTTCACTGCAAATAAAACACCATTTAATACAATGTCGATGACATTGAATCCAACAAAAACTCCAAAAGAAACAGCATCACCAAGTAAATCACCAACACCAGCTCCATCATTGGATCCAGCATTACTTGGATGGGAGAATCCAATAGACCATATTTCTCCTTATTCATGGATAGGTATTGGTGTTTTGGCTTTAGTTGTTGTTTCGATTATTGTCGTTGTTGCAATTTGTTTGAAGAGAAAACCAAAGGTAATTGTACATAGATTGGAAGGAGCTTCTGAATCATCAACAATTTATGAATATACAGAATCCAGCTATGAAGAAAATCATGAGGAAGAAGAGCACGAAGTAAATGAAGAAAATGAAAGTTTAGTTTTGTTCTCTGAAAGAGAATTAACTGTAGAAACTGGAGAAAATTCTGTTTACACAAATTCAAGGGATTACGGAAATCCACCAGAAATTATCTTCTCAGATAATTCTGATTGCACCGATTCCAAGCTTTCTAATGAATGCAATGGAATCAAAAACCATAATATTAGTTTGCTTATATTATAAATAAAATGTTTGTATTTATCTATGCTATAATCAAATCTAAATTTTTTAAAAAAATCTTCTTGTAATCAAATGGTATGATCAAGTCCATTAAACTTGATATCGAAGAAAATCCAAAACACGCTCAATAATGAATTTCACATGTTTATAATCAGTCGAATTTCGTTACGAATATGTAGTTGATTCTTTCAGTAAAGCAACAACAAAATACATTTAAAATTACGCGCAAACAATTAATACATCTTGGGCTCCATAAGCAAAAGCATCACTCTCCAAAATGCTTAAATCAAATAAGATGGTAGTTACTCCATATTGGGCTATCTCTGTGGACATCTGTTTTCTTGAAAATATGGAATCCAAAAAAATATGCAAAGATATTGTAAAAATTATAAATTTGTGGGTTTATTTTCAATATACTGTGCATATTGCTTACATCCTTTTCAATTTAGAGTTAGTTTTTCTTTTTCTTTTTGGTATGTTTAACAACTGCCATAGAAAGGGGAAATTCAAAAATATGAGCCCTATATAACAATGATGAATATAACTAGGAATAGAATTTCATAAAACAATGATGAATATAATCAGGAATAGAATACGATAAAACAATGATGAATATGAAAAGAAGTAGAATTTCATAAAACAATGATGAATATGAAAAGAAATAGAATTTCATAAAACTATGATGAATATGAAACGAAATAGAATACGATAAAACAATGATGAATATGAAAAGAAGTAGAATTTCATAAAAATATGATGAATATAAAAAGAAATAGAATACGATAAAACAATGATGAATATGAAAAGAAGTAGAATACGATAAAACAATGATGAATATGAAAAGAAGTAGAATACGATAAAACAATGATGAATATGAAAAGAAGTAGAATTTCATAAAAATATGATGAATATGAAAAGAAATAGAATTTCATAAAACAATGAAGAATTCTATAATAATCACATTCTTCCGCACCATGTTCAACTAATAAGTTAATAATTTCGTCTGATCCTGCCTTGCGTGCAATTGAAAGAGGACATTTACTAATATCAAGAGAATTTGATTAAACAACATTGAATATGAAAAGAAAAAGAATGTATTGAAATAATAATTAATTTGAAATTTTATAGAATTTGATAAAACAATGATGGATATTAATAGAGAGATAATGTTATAAAATAATGATTAGTATGAAAAGAAAGAAAATGCGATAAATAAAGGATGGATATTAGAGGAAAGAAAATGTCATAAAAAATTGATCAATATGAGAAGAAAGAAAATGTTATAAAACAATTAAGAATATGAAAAGAAGTAGAGTAGTATAAAACTATGATTAATATGAAAAGAAATAGAATTCCATAAAAAAGTGATGAATATGAAAAGAAACAGAATTGAATAAAACAATGAAGAATATGAAAAGAAATAGAATACGATAAAATAGTGATGAATATAAAAAGAATGAGAAAAAGAATCATGTTAACATTTGCACCATGTTCAACCAAGAATTTAACAATTTCAAGCGAACCTGCTTTGATTGCAACAGATAGAGGGCATTTATTACTATCAAGAGAATTTGATTAAACAACATTGAATATGAAAAGAAAAAGATTTTCATTAAAACAAAGGTTAATTTGAAATTTTTCGGAATTTGATAAATAAATGACAAATATGAAAAGAATAAGAATTACATATAGCAATGATAAATATAAAAAGAATAAGAATGCTATAAAACTATTATGAATATGAAAAGAGATAGAATGTAATAAAACAAAGAAGAATATGAAAAGTAGTAAAATTGAATAAATAAATGATGAATATGAAAATAAATAGAATGTAATAAAACAAAGAGGAATATGAAAAGAAAAAGAATTCCATAAAACAATGATCAATATGAATAGAAATAGAATTCTATAAAACAATGAAGAATATAAAAATAAATAGAATGTCATAAAATAATGATAAATATGAAAATTAAAAGAATGTCATTAAATAATGAAGAATATGAGAAGAAATAGATTATAATAAAACATTGAAGAATATGAAAAGAACGAGAATGTGATAAATGAATAATCAATATGAAAAGATGAAGAATTAACTAAAACAATGATAAATATGAAAAGAAATAAATTGTTATTAAACAATGATAAATTTGAGAAGAAACAGAATGTAATTAAAGAATGATGAATATGAAAAGAATAATAATTCCATTCAACATTGATGAATGTGAAAATAAATAAAATTGAATAAAAAAATGATGAAAATGAATGGAAAGAAAATGTCATAAAGCAAAGATGAAAATCAAACTAGATAGAATATAATATAGCAATGAAGAATATGAAAAGAAATAGAATACGATAAAATAGTGATGAATATAAAAAGAATGAGAAAAAGAATCATGTTAACATTTGCACCATGTTCAACCAAGTATTTAACAATTTCAAGCGAACCTGCTTTGATTGCAACAGATAGATGACATTCATTACTATCAAGAGAATTAGATCAAAAAACATTGAATATGAAAAGTAAAAGAATTCCATAAAATAATGATGAATATTAATAGGGGAAAAATGTGATAAAGCAATGAAGCATATGAAAAGAAATAAAATATAATAAAACAATGAAGAATATGAAAAGATGGAGAATTAAATAAAACAATGATGAATATGAGAAGAAAGAGAATGTCATAAAACAATGATTAATGTATAAAGAAATATAATTCCATAAAACGATGACAAATATGATCAGAATGAGGAAAAGTATCTTGTCAACATCTGCACCATGTTCAATCAAACATTTAACAATTTCAATTGATTCAAATTTAATTGCAACAGATAGGGGACATTCATTAATCTCAAGAGAATTTGTTAAAATAATGACGAATGTGATAAGAAAATAAATGTATTTAAACAATGATGGATATGAAAAGAAAAATTATGTCATAAAACATTGGTGAATATGAAAAGAAATAGAATTATATAAAAGAATGATGAATATGAGAAGAAATAGAATTCTTTAATACAATGATAAATATGAAAAGAAATAGAATACAATAAAAGAATGTTGGATATGATTAGAAATAGAATAAGATAAAACAATAATGAATATGAAAAGAAATAGAATGTAATAATAGAATGTTGAATATGAAAAGGAGTGAAATTTCATTAAACAATTATGAATAAAAGTAGAAATTGAATACCATAAAGCAATGATAAATATGAAAAGAAATAGAATTTCATAAATCAATGATGAATATGAAAAGAGATAGAATTGTGTAAAGTAATTATGAATATGAGAAGAAATAGAATTTCATTAAAAAATGATGAATATAAGAAGAAATAGAATTATATAAAAGAATGATTGATATGAATAGAAATAGGGTGTAATAAAAGAATGTTGAATATGAAAAAGAAATAGAATGTAATAAATGAATGATGAATATGAAAAGAAATAGAATGTAATAAATCATTGATGGATGTGAAATGAAAGAGAATAAATTCCTCGTTGACATCTATTCCCTTCGAAAGTAAATACGAAGCAATATCAAAATTTCCGAAAAACAAGCATTCGGCCAATAAACAATTAGGGGATTGGCCCAAATTTGTCCCAAAATAATCAGCAATTGCATAATTCCGATATTTTAATGCAGTGTTAATCATTCCTTTAAAAGATTTACCATCTTCTATCATCTGCATAAAAATATTTTGATTTCCGCCTTGAACGGCCTTTTTTTCCGAAGAATTTGTATATTTAACTCCTTTATTCTTCAAATAAATGAAACACAACTCTGATCCGAATTTAATTGCGCAATTAAGTAGAGTCGAGTGATTATATTCTTTCTTCATATTAACATCAAGGTTTGGGAATTTGCTTTTAAGATCATCAACTTTGTCCCATACAATGTAGTAATAAGGAGAATCTTTTGGATAAATATTGAGAAATTCTTCTTCTGTTTTCTTGGGTTTGAATTCTTCAAACTTGCCTTTATAATGTAATAAGGCAGTTAAAACAGAGTTATCTGGTTTCTTAATGATTGAAAATTCATCTAATATCTTGTTGTAAAGTTCTGCAAATAATCCAAGTTTTTTAACAAGCAAATTTGAAAAAACATCAATCAGACCAAGTGCTATTTTGATAGATATTTTATTAGTTTTGATTAAATCGATGATTTGTGATGATGATTGTAAAATATTATTGGAATTAATGTCCCATATTATTTTTGAAGCTTGACAAGGATCCGCGAATATTTCAGTAGGTTTGATATCACTAAAAAACGTTTTGCCTATAATTGCTGCTTTCTTATATCTTGACATCGAAACTTAGAAAAATTTAAATCGCGACCAAACCGTTGTAATCACCAATGAATTCAAATTTTAAAGAGGATAACTTTAGCTGTTTTAAAAGGCTCATCATTAGACAATTGTTTGGGTAAAGTATTAAGTCCAAACTCTTACTTTTCAACCCTGAATAATTCAGGATCTGGGAAAAGCATATGAAACGTATGTATTTTTATCACAAGTAACTTATTGATTATCTCAATGTGTCATAAATATTTACATAAAATAGCATTTGGACTTTTTTCATGAAACAATAAATGAAAAAGGGTATTCCGAACATTTTCCTTAAAATTTGATTTATGCATCATTATTCAAAATGTAATTTATGGTAATTAGCTGTTAAATGCTGAAATCGTTTTAGTAGTAGGATAGGATGGGTTGTGTGACTTTTTTTGTAAACGTAAGAATTCATACAATATCGAGCGATTTTGTATCATTTTTTTAACATATTAATTTTAAAATAATTTATTTTTTTATTCTTACATAAATGACCCAACAAGTAAAACCAGATAAAATAGATTATCGAATTTTAGAGGATGGTGTTCCTGTTTATATTCAAAGATTTAAAGGGAAGCAATATTATAGAATTGTTAATCCTGAATACATAAAACATTTATTTAAAAAGGAAGACTGTGAATTATTAAACGCTAATGAATATGAAACCAATAAATCAAAACTGAGATATAAATATATTGGAAGTGATGAAAGATGCAAAGATAAAGATAAAGTTTATACAGTTTCATATAATAAATGGAAAACCAATAAGATAAGAAAACATTTAGGAGATTATGGGAAATGCTCTGAATTCTTCAAATCTAGTATGTACGAGAGAATAAAAGAAATTAGAAATAATTATTTTCATGAATGAAAGATTCACTACCATAATGAAATAAAAAAATAAACTTTAAAAATTCATGTCTTACATTTTTGAATAATTTATTTTTATTTTGTATGAAATGAGCGTCAAAACTAACGACGTGAAAACATTGGGATTCACAAATGAGGAAATAAAGGATATATTAGATGAGATGTGTTATGAAGTTAGTAAATATTATTTAAGAAATTGTCAAAAATTTGCCGAGTTATTAAATGATTTAGATTATGATGGAAAAATGAATAAAGATGATGTTATAAATTTCTTATATCCCACATCTGAAGAAGAAAAACCTAAAGAACCTGATGTTTTCCCTGAATATTATGAAGAACGGATTAAAGATGATGAATACGATGAAATTGAAAAACTGGAAAAAATAAGAGATGAAATAGATGAAAAAATTAAGGAATTAAGAGAAGTTGAAAAATATAATGAAAATGAAGTAGAGGGTTTAATGAATATCCCAGCTTCAGAATCAGCAGTTCAGAAATCTCATGAAGAAAGATATAAAAATTATGTCTCAGAATCAACACAAAATTTATTAGATGGTGAAATAGACGAAACACTTTCAGAAGAAGGTACTAAATTTATTCGTAAACATAAGTTACAATTTATTGATAATGAAGAATACCCTTGTATCCTACTTTCACCACCTTTAGATTCCGAAAAATTCAAAAAAGCTCTTAAAAACGTGACATATGCAACTAATACGATTAAGAAAGAAGATCATGATATTTACACAAATTATTATTTAAATAAATGCACGGGTGTTGATAAAGTTTTTGATTTATTAGATAAAATATCAAAAGAAACCATTGGAACCTATAAAATTTTGTGTGATTGTGGTTTCATTATTGAAGATACCAATAATGTTTCATATGAAAGAACAGCACCGAAGGAAGACGAAGTGGAAAGGTCTATACCATTCGTTATTAAGAACATAAAAGATATGAAAACTTATAAACATTATATTTATTCATTTATTTCAGAAAAAATGGAAGCAACCCATAAAACATCTTCTCATCATTTTATAGCTATTCATACATTCCTTTTCAAAGTTGTGAAATTAAATAAGACAGGAATTAGATTTAATGTATCAGGGTACGCATTCTTGAGTAAATTAAAATGTATTCGTCACGTCGCAGATGATAAAAATTTATGTGTTCTTAATTCATTTTATGGGCTTTAAAAAATAAACTTTATTTTTATTTATTTTTTAATTTTTTATTCTTACATAAATGAACAAAAACGGAACAGCTAAAATGAATGATAATCAAATTAGAGCAGAAGGTAGAAGGTTATTTAAACGCTTCTATAACATTCCTGATGGCGTTAATCCTAAAACTCGTAGAAGTTATTTAAATGAAGCAATAGATTCATATGAAGGGTTTGACATTTCATCAGAAAGTGAGAGATTAGCGAGAATGTTAAATGTTAATATTGATTTCTATTATTGTGATCCTCAACCAGAAGACGTGGACATAAATAAGGTAGACTTTCCATTAGTGGAATCAATAATGATAGATCCAGAATTTGAAACAGTAAATATTTTATTAACACAGAGTCCATGTGGAAAACTTCACGCTGACAGAATAACAGACGTTGAAGCACTCACCGGCTATAGAGTTTGTCCATATTGTAAAGAAGAAGTTTATTCTATCCGTGATGATCCAGAAAGGAAAAACCAAAGAAGATTTTTAAAGCATTGTGAGAAATGTAAAGAAAATAATGGAAGATTAATTCAAGACGTTCAATTGCAAAAGACCCAGCAACCATATGCACCACATATTACGAAACAGAAGATATATCAGTGGTTATTAGCACATAATTTGCAGGAATATTATAAACCGACAAGATATTATATTACTTTTGACTTCGAAACATTAGAGACTAAAGAAGAATTACAACTTTCTGAGTGTGCAACTTTGAACGCTTACTTAAAACCATTCATGGTATCATCAACGGTTAAATTAAATGATAAAACATATACGAGGAATTTTTGCTTAACTTCGAGTGATTCTTTTATTTCTGATTGGATTGAGTTTTTATTTTCAACCTGTTCATTAGTTGCTAAATCAAATATTGAACAATACGATGAATTATTGAAGTCGCAAACGGACTCTTTGAGTCCTGAAGGTCTTTCAGACCAAACGGTGGGGACTTTGTTCCATACATTAAATGAAAAACAGAAGGAAGCATTTAAAGAACTTCTAGATGAGGAATTCAATAAAGTGAATATCATAGGTTTTAATTCGGGAAAGTTTGATTTAAATTTAATTCTTCGTGATTTAAACACTGCAAAATGGAAAATAAAATCAATGCTGGGTTCATCTTCACAATTTAAGCAAATCATTGTAAGAAAACAAACGTTCCATATGAATTGAGATTTATTGACATCAGAAATTATATAGCGGGTGGGACATTAGACCAATTCACTCAAGATTTCGGAAACAATAAATCACGTGTTAAATCCTTTTTCCCTTATCAATTCATCACATGGGAAAATTACGAAGAAGAATTATATAAAGAGGAACCATTCACGAAAGATTCATTTTATTCAGCATTAACTCAAGAAACTATATCAGATAGTGATTATCAAATATATCTCAATGATGCTAAAAACTTTAAGAATAGATTAGAATATTTTATTCATTATTGCAATAAAGATGTTGAAATTATGATTAACCCAATTGATAAAATTATTGAAGAAACATTTGTTTATAAAATTGACATGCTTCATAATCTTTCTTTATCATCGAATGCTTCAATGATTCGTTACGCTTTAGCATATAAAGACTTTAATCCTAATGAAAAATATCCTGAGGAAGAGATAGAATCAAGTTTTGAATTAACGAAAAAGTATTGGAAATATAAAATTGAATCATATAAGAAACAAGATGAAAAAGCAGAAAGGGATACTAAAAATAATGTTTCAATGGATGATTTTCAATACTATCACGATTTAATCCTTTCATCTAAATGCAAAATGTGTGGTAAAGCGTTTACATATGCAAATAAACCAACATTGGATAGAATCGATAATGAAAAACCACATACTAAAGAAAATTGTCAGTTAATGTGTTGTTATTGCAATGTCGTAAAATCAAATAAAGATGAAGATGTTCAACGTTTAAGAATCAATTTAAGAAATTATGCATTAAAAAATAATTTACCAATGACTTTAGATTCAGTTGAAGCTTATCACATTCTCCGTAATGGAATTACTGGTGGTTATCAAATGTTCAACATAGAGTAAATCTTAAAGGAATCACGCACATTAATAAACTTTCATATAGTCCAGAAACTAAAACTGTATCAAATGAGGACACCACCAACATTATGACTCATTTCGTGTGGTGTTGACTTTAATTCATTATATCCTTCATCATTTTTCATCTAATCCTCATGATTTCATTCAATATACTGACCATAAAATGTATATGCCGGGAAGATTGAATGGTGTTATCATTTGTGATACAGCAACAAAGAAAGCAAAAGCACTGGGAATAATTAAGAAGAAAAATACTTTATTCGTGGCTGAAGTAAAGGGTCACATTGATGAAAAATACATTAATGATTACATTAACTTTTTACCGATAATAAGAAACTTCGATATTATCACAGATGAAAAAACAATTGGCAGTTTTATGTATAATTACATGAAATCAAATAATCTACCAGTTGACCAGAAACAGAGAAAATTAACTCAGTTAGCATCAACACACAACCAATATCAACCATTTTCTTCTTATTATCTTTGGTATCTAATAGACAGATTTCATTTTATCATTGATGACATTCAATCAATTTTAACATTTACGAAAAACACTTGTTTTAATGAATTTGCGAACAAATTTATGAACGAAAGACAAAAGGCTGAATTAGAAGGAAATAAAGGAAAAAGTTTATTTTGCAAGATTTCACTTAATGGATCATATGGTTACGATGCAATGAATACACAAAATTACGCAAAGACTAAAATAATGAATGCACAGAAGGCACGCGTTGCATGTATGTCAAATAAGTTTAAAAACATAAGAGAAATAGGTGAAGATACATATCAAGTGATGCTTAAAGATAGATTTTATAGATGTGATACATGTTTACAAGAGGCATTCTTCACTTTAGATAATGCTAAATACTGGTATTTAGTTTTCATTTATGATTTTATGTATAAATGCATGGATGTTAATCGTTTTCATTTCATTGAAGGTGATACTGATTCATCTTATTGGGCAATCGCTGGCGATCCAAGTCTTCCTAACACTCAAGCATTTCAAGCAATTGTTACCGATAAAAAATTTTATGATAAAAACATTTTCAAATTCGCACCTTTTGATTTCTTCTGTTTTGATGAGAAATTTAAACCTAAATTAAAGAATAAAGCTGAAGAAAAAGCACATGAGAAAAAATTATTGGGTTTAGCAATTGAGAAACAAGGTGATAACATGGTTGCTTTATGTCCTAAGTGTTATACATCATTCAACGGTTCAATTGATGGAAGTGATTTTAAAAAGATTGCACAAAAAATGAAAGGTGTTAGTTTACGACAAAATAAGCAATTAACACCTAAAAATTATTTGGATATAATAAATGATAAATTGATATTTGATGGTCAGAATATTAATTTACAACTTAAAAACGGGTCAATGACTCGCTTAACAATCGGTAAGACTGCATTAACAGGAGCACACACTAAGGCTGTATGTTGTGAAAATGGATGTTGTATGCCATTTATTTAATACAATTTAAAATTTTATTTTTAATAAAATGCCACAGAAGAGACAAAAGGAACCAAATGGTTTTGATACTATGATTCAAAGAGGTGGGCACCCTTAAAACATTGATTTTATTTTTATATAAATGGATAACGTAGATTTAAAAATTTTAATTGATGATTTAGTACTTAATCAAAATTTTCTTAGTTATTATGAATTAAAATCATATCTCCAAAAATATAATGAAAATATAACGGGTGATGATATGGAATATTATTATCCGTATTATAAAAATGAAATTTTGAAATATCATGATAAAATAATTTCTAAAATTAAAGACAAAATTAAAAATAATGAATATTCAAAGGGAAAAACTAAATCACAACTTAAACAGTTGAAAGATTTCAAAAATAAAGTATTAACAGAAGAAGATATTGATGAATTATATAATTTATATAATCCTGAGCCGCAAAAGCCAAAGGAACAAAAACAAAAGATGCAAAACACCCAGGTCCTTCAGACCATAAATGAAGCACAAGCTTTAATTTATGATTCATTAGTTAAACCATATTCAGCCCGACTTTTAAATGAAGATCAACTTTTGGAATTCATCCTTCAACATAAACTCGAAGCGGGAAAGTATATCAAACCTTTATATACAGCATATTTAAAACAAATGAATAGAATACATCCAGAATTAATGAAGGGGGAATGAAATCCAAAATCAAAGCAGATAAAATTAAACCACTTGCAACACCAAAACCTCCAACGACAGTACCGCCTCCTCCTTCAGTTAATCCTTCATCATTCACTTTATTATATCCATTTCAAACATTAAAGAAGCAAAAAGATTTTAAAAAGTATTTCAAGATATTAAATAAACCAATTGACCCGAAAATTCAACCGTTAAAGGAAAAATTTAGTCGCCCTTCATTTGCTCCATATCCATATTCATACGAAATCGATCATCTGGAATATTCAAAAGGAAAAGTTACTTATTTATTTGCCATTAACATTAACACTAGATATTTATATTGCATTCCAGTGAAAGGGAAAACAGAACAGGAAACAAGAAGAGCTATTCAATACTTACTAGATCATGAAAGAGTAGATAATATCAGGGGTGATGGCGATAAAGGATTTCAGGCAACTATGACTCATTATTTCCCACAAATTAATTTTTTCTTTTCATCCTCTCCATATACGTTTCATAATAAAATAGTTGATGCGGTAATGAGAACTCTTAGAGATGCGTTAGGGGTTAACGGTCAGATATACTGGGATGGAAATCATGACTCCATCATACAACAGTTAGTATATTATTATAATAATACATGGCATAGAACTATAAACATGAAACCAGTGGAAATGAAAAATGATATTTCAAAAGAATGGGAATATATTAGAAAGCAAATGGAAAGGTTGAATGATGTTAAACGTGAACAAATTAATTCGGGGCTCATGAATTTTAAACAAGGGGATAAAGTTTTGATTCATCTCGATTATGGAAAAACTGATAAATCAATGACAAAAAGAAGACGAAGATTTGACACAATAGCTGAATTTGTTAGATATATTAACGGCAATGCATTAGTTGAAGTTGACAATAAATTAATAGAAATTCCGATTTATTTTATTACTCCATTATATTTAAATAATATTTAATTTTTTTTATTTCGTAAGAAATGAGTGACAACAAAGCAGTCAAGAGTCCAGACGATGAATATAAAAAGAAACTAAACAGAATTAAATCAAAAATATGCTATTACAAAAAGAAGCCGCAATGCGGTGGGGTTGAAAACGATAAGGAAATAATCGAAAAATTAGAAACTTATCGTTCAATCATTAAACTGAGTGAAGCAAAAATAAAAGAATTTAATAGAATAAATAAATTGATTGGAAGAGATGAATTTAATAAAGATGAATTTTTAAACTCAATCCAAATTTAATTTTTATTCCTCTTCGACAACATCTCTCTTTCCATCATTACTGCATAACCACATTTTCTCAATTTTAGTGGTTTGTTATTTTTAACATGTTCTTGCATCATTTTTATCATTTCCTCCCTTGTTATGATTCGTGGTAAATTTTGAGCTTGTGGGGTATTCATTTATGATAAAAATAAAAATTTGTCATAAACGACCAAAAATATATTTTATCGTTAAGTGACTCAAAGAGTCCGGAGACAAAGTCTCATGGTTTTCAGGTCATTCAATAATTAATTATTTTTGAAGAACTGAAGGTGCTACCATGTTACCATGTGCTACCAGGTTAACTAACTTCTCTGAAAAAATGAGACAACATGACATTTAGACAACAACACAGGAGGAAGGCAGTTATGAATTATTTTTGAAGAACTGAAGGTGCTACCATGTTACCATGTGCTACCAGGTTAACTAACTTCTCTGAAAAAATGAGACAACATGACATTTAGACAACAACACAGGAGGAAGGCAGTTATGAATTATTTTTGAAGAACTGAAGGTGCTACCATGTTACCATGTGCTACCAGGTTAACTAACTTCTCTGAAAAAATGAGACAACATGACATTTAGATAACACAGCAGGAAATATGATGCAGTCCAAAAATAAAGTTAGTTTTAAAATTATTTTTATTTTTTTATTCCTATATAAATGACAGCAACAAACAACAACAACAACTATATCGTTTCTGATGAAAAAGTTATTGATTCATTAGCTGAGGAATTAGTTGTGGCAGAAACTAAAACCCTCAACGAAAGAATTGGTGAAAACAAGATTGATTTACATAACTACCTCAAACACGATGGAGGAAGAGGAAGGAAAACTGGTATGGCTTTATTAGTAAATAAAATTTCAAATTTAACGATTATAGATGTTGATATCAATAAATCATACAATGATGAACTTAAAGAAACAGTTAGAAAAGACATTTTATCAAAACTTTCGGATAAAGATGTTATCGTTAAAACCGCTTCAGGAGGTCTTCACATTTATTGCAACACTAATTTCTTCTATGCAGTTTCGAACAGAATGATTAAATGCTATTCCTGCAATGATTACGATATTGATATAATGACTTCTATGGATGATTCAAAGCGTTCTTTAGTGGTTATGGCTGATTCAAGAGTTCGCAAGAATGCATCAGAACCAATCAATACATACTCATTCATTCGTGGAAGTTATGATTCAACATTAACTAGAACAGTGAATGATATATTAAATGATTTGAATATTAAGGTAAGAGTTGAACAGAAGAACGAAGAAATAAAGAGTATAATGAATGAAAACAAAGATGTAAACATTGACGATAAACTAGCTCAAAGCATAGTTGATGGCATCTGTGATTTTGAAGTACATAATGACGGTGGAAACATGAATTTAGAAAAAGAAATAACCTTATTCACACTGTTTCAAGCAATTAATTCGTTACCGGATCATTTGATTAATGAAGCATACGATAACGTTTATAACTTCTGCAGCTTAACAGAAAATGCAAAAAGTAATTTTGAAAAAGCACGTAGTAGATATGCACATTTAATGACTTCTCCATTTGTTTTAGTGAAGATTCTGAAACTTTATCAAAAGGAATATTATGATGAATATGTTTTACCTTTATTACGTAAGCCAAAAATAACATTTGATATAAAACTTGATGACTCGTTTTTGATAACAGATATTAGACGCAAGGCTGAAAATCATCAGTATAAAAACAGTTCTGAAGTAATTGTGGAAATAAATATTTCATTCAAAAGGACTATAATATCCACGACAAAATGAATCAAATATCATTCGTTCTTCAATCAAACATGAAAGAGTCACTCAAAATGATTAAATTATTTAAAGAAGAAGGTAAAACAATAACAGCATGGGATGTACTACTAAATCAATTGTCTTCATTAACCGTTAAGGGTGTTTGCTTTAAATCTGATTCTCCAGATGTTTTCTCAACGTTTCAAGGTTATAAATACAACGTTCTCGAAAAAGTAGATTACTCAAAAATTGAGATGTTTATGAATTTCATTAAAGAAGCCATTTGTGATAATAACGATGAAGTGTATAAATACCTACTCGGCTGGGTTGCATCAATGATTCAACATCCTGGAATCAAGAATGAAACAGCAATTATTTTGAAAGGACTTCAGGGAACAGGTAAAAACAGATTTACAGACATTATTTCTGAACTTCTCGCTGGTTATTCATGTAAAAACATTACCGAAATAGGTGAGCTAACGGGTAATTTCAACTCAGTAGTTGAAAATAAAATGTTTCTTGTACTTAATGAACTCAAGAATGTAGGTGAAGATAGACTCGCAAACTTCAACGCTTTGAAATCAATTATAACGGATAATGAGATTAGAATTAATGAAAAGAATCAACCCAGAAGAACTGCTCAGAATGTTGCAAACTTCATTTTCGTAACTAACAACGTCTACCCTGTCAAAATTGAAGTTGGAGACAGAAGATACGTAGTTTTAAGGGTTAATGGTAAATTCAAGGGTCAATTTGATTACTTCAAGAATTTAATGGATTCATGCACAAAGGAATTTTATGATAACCTTTTAACATATTTTATGCAATATGACCTTTCATCATTTAATGTACGAATCATACCGATGACTGAAGCCAAACAAGATTTAATTGAATTATCAACAAATCCTTTAGATGTATGGATAAAGACACATTATGATGAATTGTGTGCAGGTATGACATGTAAAAATGCTCTATTCTGCAAACCATCAGACATGAAAGACAAGAATTTCCAAATGAGTATTAAGGATAAATGTGATAGGAAACATAGAAGAATAGACGATAAACAAACATGGTGTTATGTTTTGAAAGAAGAAATGAAAGGATTATATAAACAGGTTGAACCAAACGATAATGAGGATTCATTTACTGACGATGAAATACCTGTAAATGAAGCTTTATAAAGTATGATTTGAATTTATTTTTGCATTAATCCTCCTGTGTTGTTGTCTAAATGTCATGTTGTCTCATTTTTTCAGAGAAGTTAGTTAACCTGGTAGCACATGGTAACATGGTAGCACCTTCAGTTCTTCAAAAATAATTCATAAATACCCTCCTCCTGTGTTGTTGTCTAAATGTCATGTTGTCTCATTTTTTCAGAGAAGTTAATTAACCTGGTAGCACATGGTAACATGGTAGCACCTTCAGTTCTTCAAAAATAATTAATTATTGAATAACCTAAAAACCATAAACGTAAACATTAACGTAAACATTTATTTCTGCAGTTCATCCGCTACTTCATTACCTAATTAATTACAGACATAAAATATATTTAGTTCATTCGGTAAGCCTAAACCCTTTGGGTCAAGTCTCAAGCACATTCAATGAACGCGGTAAGCCTGCAAAGTAGGCTCAAGTGTGTTTATTGAACACGGTACCATGCGAATACAGTCACAAATGGTGGCATGTAATCTTTACCCGAGCCTGTTGGATTTGTTGTGAAAGTGTGTGAATGATTTCCTGCGGTTCCACAGAAAATACCTGTGCTTGAATCTACTGGGTCAGTTGTGATATCATATCTATTCATTCCCCATCTATCCGAACCCGCTGCAAGATTTATATAACCTCTTTTTGTTATTGAATGTGAATGATTACCTGTTGTGTTTGTAGTTCCTGTATGAGTGTGCGGTGGAAGGTTTGCTTCTTTAATTTTCTTCGAACCTCCTGTTTGCTTTGAATATCTAGCACAGTATAAGAATTTATCTACAATCTGCTTCCACGTACCAAAACCTAAAACTGTTTCTGGATTTGTTGAGTTCATTGACGTATAAATAGAACCAACAGGATATAATGTTTGAAGAATTTCATTTTTCATGCTTGTAATCACATCATTTACTTCCGACTTCTTTGCATAATTTTCATCCACATATGTTTTATCCGCCTTAAGGTCTAAACATCCTGAAACCCATTCTGTATCAGCTTTAACTTTAAAAGTCTCCGATGTCCACTCATGATACCATTCAACCTTTTCTTTAATTTCATTATCTTTTTCATCAACATAAACCAAATTTGCCTTCTTATTTAACTCACTATCCACATATTCCTTATCCACCTTCTTCATTATGTCATTTAGGAAACCTTCTATGAATTCCTCATTTAAATTAAATCTTCCAATCTTCAAAACTTTAGGAAATGCATTTAATGCGTAATATCTCTGTTCTTCTGGTGGAATTGATGTTATATCATCCGTTATACCTTTAATTTTAGAATTCATAAATAAAATTTCTTTTATATTTGATATCACTGCACCGCCTTTGCAAACGAATTCGAAATGTTCATTTTTCAATACTATCTCCAAATCTCCATATTTCAACCTTTGCGTTTGTTCTGCCGTCTTTGAATTATATGCATATATGGCGTATGTAATGGTCTGAAGGACCTGGGTGTTTTGTGCCTTAAGTTGTTGTGGTTGCTGTTGTTTAATCATTTATTACGATTTAAAAATAAATATTTAATCCGTTATCTCATCAGCTATTTTCTCTATTTGAAATTGCCATAATATTTCATTCATGAATTCTAAATCACAATCAAATAGGTCAGTTATTCTAAATTTAATATTGATAAATCTTTTGAATGAAGAATAAATGAATTCCCGGATAATTGAAACGGATATGATAAAGAAATGTGTTTAAGTTGATGGATAAAATGTTTTGTATTGATGGGTAAGAGTTAGGGTCTAATGTTTGATGTGAAAATCTCATTGGGGTATTAACTTTATCACATTTGATTAAAATGAAATTGGAACCAGTGTCAGAATACAAAACATCCCCAACATCTTTTTCAAAATTTAATATCCCCAACAATGAACGAAGATGAGGAGTACAAAATTTAATTTTCAGCGGGAATTTAATAAGGTTATTTATTTCATCAAGTTCAAAAAGTTTATCAGGTTTTGATTTAAACTTTTCTTCATACCATACGATAAATGATTCATTTAAATAACTTAAAATCATGTTAATATCCCATTTCGTTATCACATTATTTATATACATATCATACGTTTTTTCATGGTCATCTTTAATAAATGATATATAATCTGAAGGGTCTAAAAGAATGGGATTAAATTTACCACTCACAGAAACGAGAGTAACATTATAAATTCCGCTAACTGTTAAATTTAATTCACAGTTATTATTCGAAATAATATTGATAATTGACATTTTTATTACGATTAAAAATATGGTAAAGCGTTATTTTCCAGTGATAAATAAAACTAGAATAAGATTACCTCAAGAATTCATAAATTCAACGAATAAGAAATTCATTCATGTTATAAATTTTAGTGTTTTCAGAAAATATATTCTATGAAACTATTTATCCCCAATGAAGTAGATAAAGATATTAAATATTACTTTAAATCTCTTTAAAACATATGAATAACGAATCATAAAAAATTATCATTTTTCAAGTTTCAAATCAAAAAGGATGAAATCATGAAAAAAATTATGGATTATTACATTTTTATCATTAATGGGATGCTAGATTAGAATTAAACAATGAAATTGGTTAACCAGAAAAGGAAGATTGGGGTATTATTATTGTCGTCTGGCGGTTTTAGACGACAATGCGAATTTTCAAATATATCCCGATGGAAAAAAGATTGAAGTTAAAGATAAAGCTGATACTATAACAAAAACAATTACAATGACCGATCCGGATAGTGGGGAACAAAAAGAAATAAAACAAACGATAGAAACTGGTGAAAGGTCAATTATTATTGATTATGATTCAAAGGATTATTATTCAATAATGTTAATGCTTGAATATTAAATAGTCTTAACAAAGAATTTTTCAAGTGATATTTTATATTCATCAACTATTTTATTATAAATATCATTATATGTTAAATGAAGTTCAGTTGTTGTTCCGTTCTTTGATATCTTAATTGTGCTAATATCCTTTATAGGATTTATTTTTGCAACTGTTCCGCAGCATGAAACCTCATCATCTATGAAAAATTGAATCTTAACGTCTGAATCTTGAACATCACAAAGAATGGCGATAATGTGAATTAATGATTCATAAGGTAAAATAATTAAACCGGATTGGTCAATTAAATTTATTATTGAATCATAATTATTAATTATTATATCACGGTAAATTTTCATTAATTCTGAATTAATGTCTATTTTATATGGGTTCTCGATGTTTGATGAAAGAGGTGGGGGGTATGTTGGATAAGTGTGAATTTCAACGGGTTCTTTACCAGGTTCAGATAAAATGATTGGGTCTCCATTCTCATGGTTTTCTTCATTCTCCTCATTCTTCGGTAAGTCACGAGTTAATAAATTTGGTTGAGTTGCTGACCTTGTTAATTCGGGGCTAACATTAACTTTAACATTTTGAATAATTCGTGATTTATCATCATTTACGTTATAACCAACCGTAATCTCTGCTTTTGCGTTAGTGTTCTTTTGACTAGTGAAACGTCTTCTCATTTATAATCGAATAAAAAAATATATTTAAACTTTTATTTTGCTGGAACTTTTGAATCTATTATTTCCTGTATTTGTTCATGAAGTTGATTTTTAGCATTTTCATCGAAATTAATAGACTTAATATATTCATTAATTGCATTCTTATAATCATTGATTTCTCAAATTTTCTTTTATCTGATTCCTTAACTAAATCATAAGTTAAACCTCGTTGCTGATATAATGGTTTCTTAATTAAATCTTTGAATGCTTGAGATAAAGCACCTGATGCAATTCTTGCTACTATAATTGGTTGGAATTGCTGTTTAAGTTCATCTTTAACATTTGCGAAAACTGGATCGAATAAAGCAACTTTAAAGAATTTCTTAGCTGAAATTTCAGGTCTAATATTTGCATATTGACCATCAAACTGGTTAGAATATCGTGGTAATCCATCCGGTCCCTCTTCAATAGCATTTAATTCTTCATTGAAATAAGAATATGGATTATGACGGTATGAATTAATTGGACCATTTTCACCTTCTCCAATGTATTGTTTAACAGCTTTTCCATTTTCATCAAATTGTATAGGATAACGTTCATTATATACTTTACGTTTAGGATAATCAGACATAGTTAATTTATAACCATTTATGACTTTAATATTACCTTGACCATCAGTAACGAAAACTTCATTTATACCATCAGGTTTTCCATTTGGACCCGTAATGTCTGCTTCGTGTGCTTCCCAATTTGGACCATGACGTTTGGCATATGCTTGAGCTTCTGGTAATGTTAAAACGTTTCTCATTTGTTTAACATCTTTTTGAAGACCAGCAACAATATGAACTAATTCTTTCATTCCATCAGGAACTTTCATAGTTCTATTATATGTACCCTTTTTGTTTGTCCCATGTTTTAATGGAACCTGTAGAAGATTTGCTATTTCTGTCATGTTTAATTATAAATAAAAAATAAAAATTAATTATAAAAAGTTAATCAAATTTAACACTTCCTTTATTTAAATCAACTATTATTTTTCCATGTTCACCTAATTGCTGATATTGTGTGTAAAGTTCATTAATGCTCATTGGTAAATTCACTTGATAAAGCATAACGTTCAACTGTTGACGACTAAACCCACTGAAAATGAAAAGTGTTGATAGATTTGATTTAATGTTTGTGCTTAATGCTTTGAAGTATTGAACAGCCATAAAGAATGAACACTGAATGTGTCGACATTGAGTTAATAACTGATTAAAATATGATTTATCATTTGTTATTAGTTTTGATTTCACCGCATCATCTAGAAAAATGAGTGAATGCAAAAATTCTCTATCAAAATTTGAAATAGAAAGTGTTTCAAATAATTCATCCCGTTGTTTATCAATAATTTTATCCTCTAATCCTTGCTTCTTGATTGTATTATATAATTCTTTATACATTAAAAAGTTTTTTAAATAATCTTCTGCTTCTTCTTGTGATAAATAAATAATTGGAATTTTGATTAAATGCTTTAAAGATTCAAATGTATCATCTGAAGGTGAACCTGAACGGTTGATATAAATTAACACATGTGAATAGGGGGAAGTGTTAGCAATAATGATAATTTGTTTTAATATCGTTAATGTTTTACCTTTATTCTGTTTACCAATTGCTGCAGTGATTGAATTTAAGTAACATTCAGAATATGGAATTTTCATTAATTTTTCCTTAGATAGAGCATTTCTATTATCACTCAATGCTTCATTAATCATATCATCTACGTATGTATTATATACTCCTGCTAATTCTTCATAAGGGGTGGATGAATTTAAATCCATTTAATCAAAAATAAATTTATAATTTTAAACATTTCTATTCATCAATATTTCATCATATGAACTTCTATACTGTGGTGGTGTACCTGTTGGATGATATTTCAAACCTTCGTCCGGTGTCCATGTCCAATACGTAGTCCTAGTAAACCAAACCTGAGGAGGATTTGTCACCTTTGAACAGTAAGTGTCATTTTCACCCTGAATGATTGGATAAGCTTTCACTTGTACTGTAACTTGTGAATTGAAAGTTTCTAATCCATCAAAGAATATACCCGCTCCATCACGTTGAACTGGAATAGTGCATAAGAATGAAGTTTGGTCTTTCCATGTTCTAGCTAATGGTGTGCCATTATCATCATCATCATCATGGTCTAGTTAATGAGTCCTCGTATTCTTCCGTGCATTCATTCACTCCATCTAAATCAGAAGCTTGAAGCATACGTGTAAAGAATATGTCGCCCACTGTGGTCATCGCTTGATCGGGGAAGTTTCTGGAATCTATAGTGACCTGAAGACCTCGAAGCATTGGATTTTAAAACCGTTCTTTGCATTGCATTCTTCGGAAATGTTAACACAACATCTGTAACATTGATAGAAGAGCGTATGAGAATCTGAACTGATACCTTCAGGAGTGATGCAACCTCCATTTAGTGAACGAACGTCAATATGTTGAGCTGGAATCATGAATGGATCTTCCTTACTGAATAAATGTGGTATTGCTTTAACTGATTCTTCAATTAAACCGTATCCTGGTGTAATGCATTTATCCTCTAAAAACTTCCATCTTTGTGCATGAAAATAATAACGTCATCAACTGTTGCGTCAGCAGATGTAGCGGCTAAGCTTGTAATTAATTTTGGCAGGAAGTCCGATTTGGTTGGAATTTGCGCATCATATTTATAAACATGATTCATAATCTTTTCATAATTTTCATCAGTTAATCTTTTCATAAACGTAATTTTGTAAATCAGCAACTCTTAACGGTCAACCTGACAAAATACTAAAGTATCCTGAAAACATAATATTTAAGAATGATATCACCAAATGATTTAGGATAATCATCGAACGCCTGAAATGCTAACAAATCATTTACCGGAATAATCATATCAAAAGTGACATCAACTTCTTCATTTGCTTTTGAAAACTTCTGAAGGGTCAATATATTTTCCACATACTGAGTTATCATATTTTTGAACATTATTATATAACGAATGAACAAACTTTTTAACTTTCCTTTCTGATTTTGGTTTATATGTTGCAAATGCGAAAGATTCACGGGCGCAATCCATCTGAAGATAACCGGCATCACCTCTTTCGGTTTCTACTTCTAATTGTTTAAAGCTTTGATTTGATGATTTGTAACCAACGAATATAACGCATGCATTTAAAAGCGGCATCAATGTGAAAGCTTTATTTGAAACTAGAGTTGCTTTAACTTGCGTTTAATATATGTGTCACCTAATTGATTCACATCATGAGCCGGATTTGTAATTCTTAAATGAGTTTGTTTATCATCAAAATATGGAGCATCAGAGTCATAGCATGAACTTTCAAGTTCTCTATAATATCTTCTACCGTCATTCTTTGCGAATATTTCATTTATCTTTTCGAATGAATGAAACACATTTCCATTAATCGGTTTAGTGTTTGGCACCAAATAGTTAGTCGTCATTTATTAATAAATAAAAAATCAAAATTAAAAGATGAAAATGAATTTTTAATTTTAATGAAATAATCAACTATGGCTGTGGGTATATTTAAGAAACTGTGGGATAGAGTAAAAAGAGGAGCGCATAAAGTTTGGGAAACAATGAAGAAAGGAGCAAATTGGATATTTAAGAATAAAGAAGCAATTAGTGACGTTGCTGAATCAATAACACCAAAAGCTGCCCCAATAAGAGAAATATTAAATAAAGGAGAAAAAGTTTATCAAAGACTTCAACCGATACTAAGATAAAAATAATTTATTTTTCCACTATCTACCTCCTATTTTATTAAGTATTCCTTCAGCTATTCCACCAATTGCGTTACCTGCTTGTGCTCCCATCGCCGGATTACCTGCTTTAGTACCTAATACTCCACCTATGATAGTTCCTGCCGTTTTCGCTACTGGTGCCAAAAAGTTTGCTACAGGTTTAATAATATTTTTATGAACCCAACCCGCAGCTTTCTTAATTCCATCCCATAATTTTTTAAAGAATCCTGCCGCCATTTCTGATTTAATATTAATTAAAAAATATATTTCATCACTTATATTCTTATTTTTATTTAAGGATGGGCACTCATAGGCTCCTGACAGCAGAAAAATGTTATTATCTCACAATATAAAAGGAATCATAGGAATCTACAACTATATCTATATTGTTGGAAGACTTCTTAATGTATCATGCATATAAGTTATATCAATAACTCCATTATGTTATATGATTGTAATCATATTTTCGTTTCATGTTCAAAAACATTAAAATCATACTAACTATATGAGTATTATATTTAGGAAGCTGATATATAGATATGATAAAATGCTAGGTTTTGTGATTAAGAATATATACTTATCTTTTAGAAAATAATACTTTTATAAAAAATTATAACTTATATAATCTAAAAATTTTGGACAATTAAAAAACATTAATTAAAAATAGAAGGTGAAAGTGTTTATTCAAAGAAGGTGCAAGAATATGATGTTTTGAGGGTGAAATAAATTTAATAATTATTTATGTGATTTAAGAGTAATACGATCATCGGTAGCTTGAAGACCTCTCTTTATAGCTCTTAATGCCGCAAACTTTTTTTGAACTTGCTTTGAATTTTTGAATGCTTTGATTAAATCTTTTGTTGTATCATACATTCTGAAATATCTGTTCATCATTTCTGGCATTGTTGGTAAATTTAACCTGTATCTTATTGCTACAATCGTTTCAAACATACTTTCATTGAAATGCAATATTGTGACTGCCATCCTAATTGGCCAAGAAGCATGCCAATTAATATTTTTATTAGCAAGCATTGCTTTGATATGGTTTATCGATTCAACTACTTGAGTTGAATGAATCTTTTTTACCATATCAAAGATTTTTACGGTATCTTCGAGGAATTTTTTAAGTGTTTTTATAGCAGTTTTATTTTTTGCATATTTCCATGGTTTAATCATCTTGCATTTTTCAGGATCTGGACAAAATTTATGATTTCCGGCATAATGTTTAGCGGAATTCAACCATAAAAACTTCTTTGTTTTAATTGACATATGTGTGTCATTGAGAAGTTGCCTAAGCCAACGCAATAAATTCTTTGAAATGCTAGATAAGATTCTGAATTCTGGCAGTTTGAGCTTTTTCTGTATATTGTTAAGAAAATGTCCAGGATCTCTGTATTCTCTGATACCTTTGAACGTATTTTTGATTGTAGAAACAATTTTGACATCGCCATCATGCACAAAAAAATTTACACGTTTTTCATTATTCCAACGCTTCAGCATTCTTTTTAAGCCTTCAAATTCCATTTCATTTGATTTTCCGTTGAAATTACCTTTGAAATTTTTAAAAGATTTAGATATCACTTCCCAATCTACAATTTTTTTGAGTTTCTCTTCTACAAATTGTACATAGCAAAACATTGCATTTCTTCTCTGACTCCAAGAACCGTCAAACAAAAGTCCCGAACATTTTCTCATTCGAGATTTCCAATAATTAACAGATTCTCTGGCAACTTCTATGATAACACGACCAACCTTTTCTTGGACTCGATGAAATGTAGCTTCTGACGGAACTTTGATGTTATTCAGCATGAATTGAAATTCTGATTGGCAAAATGTAGCGCCGCTCAATAATACAGATAGCACAAATTCAACAGTGTTGACGACATATGGCTCTACCCTATTTTTCGCGCTTTGAACTAAGTTCTTTATACGCTTTGCAACTGCTTTTGTTCGCCGCGGCATGAAAAATGAAGAATAACTTGACGGTTTCTTGAACAAATGGTCGCACATTCAAATATTGTGATGTACGATCAGGATAAAAGAATGTTGTTGCCGTGAATTTAGAAAATAGCAAAATTTCAATTTACGCAATCGAGATATAACTTGATCGTTTGAGCGATAACCATGGCACCCATAGTATTAATGAAAGTACTCATACTTACAATTATTTTCTCCCATAGGAATATTGTTCAATATACTTCACCTATAGAGGAAATCTCGAAATAAAATCGAATTTTTTCAAAAATTACAAAAATCAATTTTTTACAAAGATGTGCGAAAAATAACATTATATACGCATCAAATCAAAGCATTATATGGAGCATTATAATTCTATATATGATTGTCCATCTTGCTGTTGTGCTATTTTTTTTAAACAATAATTTCATTGTTGAAATTAAATTTGCAATTTCAGTAAAAATTGCGACCCATCATTTTGAATATAATTGAATTAATACATTTATTGTAAGAATATTATATACCAAATATTAGACTTCCACATGAATCCTGGTATGATATTATAAGTATTGCAAAATTAGAAAAAATATGCTCATGATATACTAAAATTCATGTTTCAAGGTTAACTTATAAATAAAATAAGTTCGAGAAATGCATCACTAAATATTTGAGCTTGTGCACTATAATGCTATATAATAGTCTTCACTGTTTTTAATATATTGACTTTGCTAGACTTGATTTTTTTCATCACCCTAATGAGTGCCCATCCTTAATGATAAATGAAGCCGATTTTAAAAATAAATGAAACAGAGGAGGAAGATAGTGGAAATGTTCAACAAAAAATAAACGTTGTTAAACCAATTACTGAAATAAAAATTTTTTCATCTGTTGAAGAATTTAATGACTATTATGCTAATAATAAAAAATTATTTGAAGAATTGACAACATGTAAATTGAATAAAATGTTTAAAGTTGATGGATTCAAAATTTCAAAAATAAAGGGGGTGGTTAGTTTGAAATCTATTCCTCAATCAAGAATCACCTCATTAATGAAAATTGATGATTTAACAAAAAGAATAGAAGAGATTGAAGAAAGAATAAATCAAATAATTGATATCATAAATTCAAATAATCATTAGTTTCTTAAAGTTCAATGTTGATTCTGAGACATGAATTTTTAAAGTTTATTTTTTTATTTTTTATTTCATTATGGTAGTGAATCTTTCATTCATGAAAATAATTATTTTCAATTTCTTCTTCTCGTTTATGAGGTCTTTGATTATGACTCCATTGATTCCATTCAGGATTTAAACAATGTTTAATTAATCGCGGAATATCTGACATCATCTATATATATAGCTTCTTTTATAAAAGATGAAAAAATAAATTATTTTAAAATTAATGTTAATTTTTTAATGCGTTTATTTTTTATTTCATTATGGTAGTGAATCTTTCATTCATGAAAATAATTATTTCTAATTTCTTTTATTCTCTCGTACATACTAGATTTGAAGAATTCAGAACATTTCCCATAATCTCCTAAATGTTTTCTTATCTTATTGGTTTTCCATTTATTATATGAAACTGTATAAACTTTATCTTTATCTTTGCATCTTTCATCACTTCCAATATATTTATATCTCAGTTTTGATTTATTGGTTTCATATTCACTAGCGTTTAATAATTCACAGTCTTCCTTTTTAAATAAATGTTTTATGTATTCAGGATTAACAATTCTATAATATTGCTTCCCTTTAAATCTTTGAATATAAACAGGAACACCATCCTCTAAAATTCGATAATCTATTTTATCTGGTTTTACTTGTTGGGTCATTTATGTAAGAATAAAAAAATAAATTATTTTAAAATTAATATGTTAAAAAAATGATACAAAATCGCTCGATATTGTATGAATTCTTACGTTTACAAAAAAAGTCACACAACCCATCCTATCCTACTACTCGTTTTGATGAAAATTTAGTTATTATATTAGAAGTTCATAAATATATTTCAGCAAAATCTAGAAGTTTAAAAAAGGAGTTTTCATCATTCCTCATGAGTTTTCTATCGGAATAAAATTTTATACAAAAAAAAATTGACAATTTCCCAAATGGAACCTAAGTATTTTTGCATGATATTCCTTGGAGGCCTTTACTTAGTAACAAGTAATGCAGTAGGCCTATTTTTGTCTGTTTCTTTCCTTTCAAAAATCTCTGGAATCTTGAATTCAATTGCTATTTTAGCTTTAGGCGGATACTTTGGATATATAGCATACCTTAAGAGACAAACTAAAGAATACTTATACATTTATGCCGGTGTCGGTGCTATTGGCATAATCGGCGGAATTGAAATGATGATTCAATCTTTTAAAGAAGATTTCTACACAAAATCATGGTTCCTTAGATTCATTGCTGTCTTATTTATGGGAGGAGCTCTTCAAGAAGCAGCTAGTCTTTACTATTACATCCCAATTCAGAGATTCGGCACCGGACTCATCCCAATTTTCAACATTTCCGAAATCCAGCAGATGTATATCTTCTTACTTACAACATTAATTTCAGTCTTTATTCAAGCTGTCGCAATCTGCCCTAATTTCCCAGAATCAAGCCACTTCGGATACATGATTCTCAGAGTATTCATTGCATGCTTGTTTTCTCTCGTTGTTGGTGGAGCCACAGGCTACTTCCTCAATACAAGATCTGAAAACGCTGGTTACATTACACAGGCAGATCAACCAAGCACAGCTATTGAACAGGTTGTTGATGTTGAAGCCCCACAAGCTAACTAATTTTTACTAATTCATATTTTTTCTTCAAAAAAAATTAAAATTCTTTTTTCTTTTTATCAGTGTTATATCTTAAAACCTTTTTCATTGATAAATTTTTTCTTTTTATTAATAATTTTTTTTTCTCATAAAAAAAAACAATTAATAAATGAATACGTAGTTGTTTTTACTTGGAAGCGAGCTTAACACCCAGGTTAAAAGCATTCTTCAGTTCAATTGGATCATGCTCTCTGACGTAGTTGTTGATTAAATCCATATCAAAGAGAGGCATTTCATAGTCTATGTTTGCTTTTGGTGTTAAGACTTGTGTGCAGTTAGTAACGACTCCAGCGCATGGACCAAAGACTATTTCCATAGCATCTTTGATATGTTTGTGATTTGGCCAGTATGTTTTCTCGAACATTTCCTTTGATGCACCCATTGAGAATACAAGTCCTGTCTTGATTCTTCTGCCGAATTTGCTTGGTGTCTTTGTGTACATGAAATTACTGTAAATTGCACGTTCGAAGAAGGAGTAGAAGTAGGCGCTTGGGTTGCCCATGTATATTGGGGAGCCAATTGCAAAAGCATCAACTTCATGAAGTTGGTCAAGATACTTCTGAAGGTCATCTTTGATAACGCAGCGGTTTGGAGAGCTTGGTCTCTTGCATTCAAGACATGATTGGCATGGTTTGAATTTCAGTCTGCTGAGTTGAACGATTTCGGCTGTTTTGCCAACTGATTCAACGCCATGTGCTACTTCCTTAAGAAGTTTCATGGTATTGTTATTAGATCTTGGTGAACAGTTGAAAATTAATACATTTGCAGCAAATCTGGATCCGACAGATGAAAGCATTGATTGGAGTGAAGTCAGTACTCAAAAAATACGATGTAGAATTTTTGTGAACAAAAAACAGTAGAGCATTTCGATTATTCCAATGCATAGTACTATAAAAGCTGATCTAATTTAATGGAGCGATGATACTTAGTTCTTGAAATTTCATTGTTCGCGAACCAACATGCGTACAAAATTGATATAGTCTCTAGATTATTATTTTTCCTATCAAAACAAGTATAAATATGAGTAAATTTCCTCGAACCGAGACTTATTCTCGGAAAATTAATGGATTATTAATAAATATGGAAACGGATAGAGATAATAAAATACATTTTTGTAGTAATGATAACTTTCAAAAATTCAAAATCCAATAAAATTCTTTATAAAATTCTTAGAAATCACCCATCTATTTCTGAAAACAAACATTTTCATTAATTATTAAAACATTTTATATATTTATTTTTCTAAATATATTAGTCAATTATGGGAAAAGTTAAAAATTTACATGAAAAAATCCCAAAAAATTACGAAAATGAAAAATCCATTATTAAAATTGTTGTAATATCAAAGGATTTCATTGATTTCAAATATTTTTTGGAAAAAGTTCCTTAACTAGTACACTGGCAAAGTAGTTGGTCAACACAGATCTCTATGTTTTTCGGCTTCATTCACTGAAATACTATCTTTCCAATATTTCATGGACTTATAACAAGCAATGTTTACATCACGTTCATAAACTAGCCATAATCAAGCATCACCTACCAAAAACATGCTCAAATTAAAGATTTAAGATTTCCAATCTTGCGTATTTATAATATTCAAGTTAATTTAGTAGACAAATTTTAATACATACAGCAGTTATATCCTTTTACCCTGCTAATGAGTTGATGTGTTTTAAAATTCAAGGTATTATAATTCAATATTGATATACACGTCGTTACCATACCAATAAAACCCAAATCTTGCGACTGAAATACAAATTTGCTGACAGAAGATTTTAAATTATCCAATATATGCCAATATATTTTTTTGTTTATTCGAATTTAAACATTAATTTGTCTAAAAATACCATTGTCCTACGACAATAAGTATACTTTCTATTATACTACCATGAATTTTTTTCCCCTTGAATTTTTTTTTATATTTTTTATTGAATCCAAAAATTATGATGGAAATTAATGTTGAATGTATATTTTAAATTCTAACAACAGTGTCTATAAGTCAAATCAGAGTCCTTGACAAATCTATCTCTGGAAGCTCTATTATTGCTTCAATAATGAATGATGATCATAAAAATTTTGGTCAAATTAAAGGATCAGGAAGTGTATTACAATTAAATTGCACACACATATTCAAAACAACTATACAGAATCATATTCAGCCACCTTTCTACATATTAATTCAATTACAAAAAAGTATTGCCTTATTTACAGGCATGTATGAAATATCGAATTACATATCTGAGATATCTGGATCAAAGGGTGTTTCTCGCTTCTCTGGATGGGTGAGTTTACACTCCCCTTTTGGTACGACTGGGGCAAATATATTTATTCAAGGTGCTATCACGTCATCTAATTCAAAGATGTCAATAGTTCTCCCAAGCCAAACCAAAACTACCTCAGATTCGAGACGCTTCGATAACTCAAGATCGTTAGATAAAAATACTCCACCAAAAGATCGATCAATTCATGAAAGACCAAGCATAAATAAATCGTCTAGTACGAGATCTCAAAGTTCTCGCTCATTTAGTTCGACAGAAAACGATATGCTAGCAACATATAACAATACTGAGCGAGAAATACAGAAAATCAACAATAAAGTCGATAGAATACTAACTCAGCAATCATATGTTTCTAAGCCAAATAAAAGACTCTTCTGCGATACTTCTGATATCCAATATTCCGAAGTCAAGCAACAGCCAACTCCACGGAAGAAGAAACATAGCGATTCAAATACATCTACAATACCTAGATGCGCACGTCCTGAGTTCAATGTAAAGAAAACTCCACCACAAACTCATAATTTCTCCTTCAAACCAGACTTAAGTCATAATAAGCCAAAGACACAAAAGGCCAAACCTAGACCATCTGCGATTAAAAAGGATTCGTCTTCTTCCAGCCTTAGTGAAGAAAAAGTCGTCAAGAAAGAAGAAGTTAAACAAGAAGTCAAAGAACAAAAAATTGAAGAGAAGAAAGAGGAGAAAATCGAAGAAAAGAAGGAAGAAAAAGTTGAGGAAAAGAAAGAAGAAAAGGCTGAAGAGAAGAAAGAAGAGGAAAAGAAATCAGATTCTGATTCTTCATCTGATAGCGATTCATCATCTCTTAGCATTTCAAGTAAATCTGATAAGAAACAAGAAGAAAAGACAGAAGAAAAACCAAAAGAAGAAGAGAAGAAAGAGGAGAAAAAGAAATCAGAATCAGATTCTTCGTCATCAGATAGCGATTCATCATCAATTAATATTTCAGATGATGAAAAGAGTAAAACTAAAGAAGATAACACCGAAAAATCAATTAAAATTAGCTCTTCAAGCGATGGTTTGGATTCAATCTTGAATTCAACAAAAACTTCAGCAGCTTCTTCACCAACAAAAGAGAAAGTTACAGATGCTACTGATAAAAAAGAAGAAAAAGCTAAAAAGGAGAAGAAAAGCGATGATTCAGATAGTTCTTCTTCTGAAAAGAAAGAAAAGGCGAAAGATAAGGAGAAAAAGAAGGACAGTGACAGTTCTTCTTCAAAGGGTATCTTATCAAGCTCATCTTCTAGTGGATTCTTCTAATTTATTATTTTTTTGTGATTTATTTTTGTTTATTCTTTGTTTAATAAAATATCTATATAAATTAAAATTGTTTGTTTGGTATAATGGTCGCTCAATTATAAAGGTTTTAAAAATTTCGGAAAAAATTAAAGTAAAGATAACTGTAATTCTTTAAAGTAATCTTTTTTTTAATCAGCGAAAGTTTCAACGATTGCAATCAAGAGCATCCACAATACTCCAATAAAGAACATCATGAAGTGCCAGAATTTCTCTCCACAAGCCCATGTTGCTTTATGTTCAAACATTTCAGCCCATTCGTGGCAGCCAACGAACAAGAAAGTGCCTGCTGAAAAAGCAGCAATAATTCCTGTAGTCAAGCCGCTCTTCATATTTGCAATGAAAATACCAACAATAAGACCTATTGGTGACATTAATGTGTAAACGATAACCATGACCCAGAATAGTATCTTGTTTGGTTTATCCTTAAGGATAATTAAGGAAAGAGCGAAGGCTTCGACTGGCTTATGTCCGACAATTGCGCAGAAAATGGCAATGATACTGCCTAATTCCTTCATAATGCCGAGAGCCAAACCTTCGATTGCGGAATGGATATCCATAATGATGTAAAGGGCTGAAGCTGGGACGGAAAGAGCATTGCATTGAGATGAAAAATAGCTTGTAACGTATTCGCTTTCGTTAGATTCGAGCAAATTCGAATTAAGCTCGCTCTTGTTTTCGAGCTTTTCGTGCTTGTTATGACCATGATGATCATGCTCATCGCCAATTTGGAATTCTTCATCATGTTCTCCGTATGAGAACAACTCGATAGATGTGAAAATAACGAATGTGCCAATGCAAATCGCTGGAGCGAGCGGATAATCAATCTTCTTCTCCATTTTATCAAATTCTTCGAAGGAATCAGCAAGAAGATGGGCCAAACCTGCACCAAGGAAAACACCACCTGCAAGAGCTTCTAAACGCGATTGCCACCTTATGCTTTTGATACAAAGTGGTAAGGAGCTTCCAATAAGTGTGGTGAACCAAATCACAAAAGCGGAAATCCACTTCAAGAGAGTTTTTTTGTCCATTTTTGAACCACTTTACATTTCTTTTCAAAATAAAACTATAAGGGTCTCAATTTGATTTCTGATTAAATGTATGGCACATTTACATATTTTCACGAGTGTTAAATTATTTTGGAATTTCGGGGTTTTTGTCAAATTTGAAAATTGAAAGAAAGTTAATCTGAATTTTATTTTTAAGAAATTGGAACGAACATACTTATGATGCTTAATGACTGAATCAATTCAAATTTTATGAAAAATTAATCTGAAAAGGATAAACGATCAAATCATGCTGATTACAATAATGGATATCAAATTTCGTCTCAATAGCCTAAACCTCCAATGATTTGGGCATTTTAGCGTATTCGAGCCGATTTGAATTGGATTTCTACCTGATTGCGGTTAATTCCCATCAAAAAGTGGTTATTATCATGAAAAAGAAAGTTCACTTTCTCAAGAAATTGAATTAAAGTGAAATACAATAGTTACACGATCATTGTATGAACAAGCATTTAATTAATTAAAATTTATTTTTATCAAAGGTACATTCACTATTTTTGACAAAATTTTAAATTTTCATGGGGTTGTAAATCTTATAATAACTAGATGAATAAGGAATGAATCCCAGTATAATGTGTATCATTATATTAAACACTATATGTAAGGCCAATGATTCTATTAACACTTATGAAGATCTATAGTATTTGAGCAGATAAATTTGATAATTTCCAAAACTCTTATATTTCAAAATTAAAGTGTGCGAATGCATTTAAATGAGAGCAAAAAGAGATTGATGCTGTTAAAACTAGGTGTTAATTTGCAATTATTTCGCATCACAAGAACTACCCAGTAAATTCGGCTATCTTTCTTTGCAATTATTCTCCATTATACATATAATATAATGGTTAGGGTTTGAAGAAAAGTTACTAGAGAATTATTGACTTTTGAAATAATGCAGAATTTTACTTGAAGAAATCATTAATTTATGAGTTCCAAATTGCTAAGCATGACGAAGGATCATTAAATTTGCTACAATTAAATACATTTATTGCAGAATTAAGATTTTTGAAATTAAAAGTTTGAAATATTGCCTTTTTGAATAAAAATTTAAATTTTATTATATAATCATGATAATATCTTATAGAAATTAAAAGAAAATATTTTAAACCATTCAAATATTTTGAATGTCTTATCAATTTAAAATATTAAAAGATAGCTTGATTTTATCATCATTAGTTGTTATCAAAGTTTTCTTCTTTTGATGAACAACAGTAAATGATTTGTTAATAGCTTGTCTTCCTTTTTTGCACCAAAATCAAAATTCTCACCCGATCAGTAATCGAAAATTTTGTAGCATACGATTATTTTCCATTGAAAAATTATCACTAAAAAACTTTAAAAAATTAACTTTTATTCTTAATTTCATGTATGAAGGAGGTAGGAAATGACTTTAAGATTGACATCCTATTCATGGCTAAAGTTTTAGGAACTTTGAAGCCTAATTTGATATTGAAATTTTGGAAGATCAATGAATATGGGGATAAAAGTTGCATATCCTTGGACATTAAGAGGACATGTTATGAGAGTGGATAGCGTTCGACGATTCACTGAAAAAGTTACTCCTCGAAAAGACTATCTAAAGCCATCAAGTTTTTTGAATATTTTCTATCGTCTTTTTATTTTTAGTAAATTAGGATGCTCATTAAACAGTATGATTAAATATACAAAAATTTTTAATTTATTTTTCAAGGGAAAATAATCATACGCTACAAAATTCTTTCGATTCATCATTCAATTGAGAATGATAATTTTGTAGCATATTTAGAAAAATGCTACAAAATTATTAAGTTATGATGATAATCTTGCACTCAATTTTGAAACTCTCTGATTTACAAATAAGCATTCCTTTGGAAAAGCAGTCCTATTATGATTCAAGATATTTTAAAGCCCCCATTTCATACAATGCGCAGATATATTCGAAATTGCAAGAACTCTCAAGAAAAATGCAGCAGCAAAGAAGATTCCATAGTTTCTAGCATCAAAAATTTACAACCTTAATACAACAGTTAAAGAGAAGCTCGAAAAGAAAATAATTAACCATAAAGCTGGAAACCATTCGATATATACTATTAGATCTAATAAAAAGTTAATTATAACATATTTTACATGCTATTTGTTGACTCTGTTCCATTATATTACCATATATATCTTTTTGAAATCTAAAATATTTTTACGATTTTAACCATGTGTTGTTGAAACCATATATCAATCTTAGCTAAAGTATAGTTTATGAGTTTGTCACCATCTAACGTATGAATTTTCAAAAATGTCAAATATGTTCATTTTTTCTGTATATTCAGCCATAATTTCACGTAGTTATACTATTCAACTATTATTTAATATTTTTATCGATTTAAATATATGATGAGATGCTTAGTTCTCCCGGAAATCGATTTTTAATCGCAATTTTAACTTTCCAAAAAAAATTCAAAAATAAAAATCCCTCTCAATTTTCTAAGTTTTCTAACTCGCCAAATCTCTAGCCAAATTTTTTTGGCCCGTATAAATATTGTTAGGCACTATATAGGGATGCTATTTATCCTATTTTCATCCCATTTTACTGTTATCGCCTAGTGAATGTACCTTTTTTTTATCACTGATGATTTCTTTTTTTTTTTAACGTTAGATGTTTAAAGATTTGATCATTATTGGTTAACAATTCTCCTACTAGGAGTTTTTATCATATGAAATTTAAAGAAATCATTGTTTTGCTTCTTGATTGTGGTTTGAAGATTTAAATGAGGCCCATTGTTCAAAAAAATTTAAACTAAGAGTAGAACATCAACAATGATTATGAGAAATGCGTAATTCAGGTTAATATTATAAAATATTATAATAGGTCGTTTAATCTTATACAATAGAGAAGATTGATAAAACTATGATTAACAATAATCTTTTGAAGTATTAAGTCTATTGTTACTCTTCATGATTTTTTGATATCTGGAAATTTGGAAGATATTATAGAAATTTTATTATATGATAGATTAGACCTCATTGAAGGCAAACTCAAAACATATGTATATCAACAAATCTAATAAGGAATAAGAAATGTTTAATTTTTAATGGTTTTTGAGGGAATGTGACATGAGTAAAAAGTAGATTCAAACACGGTATCATTAAATAACTTAAGAACGTTTGTAAATCATGTTCAAAAAGATGATATATAATCGAATAAGGATTTTTATTAAATTAATACATATAATAAAATAAGAGGCTTAAAAATATCTTGTTTTAAGCCTGTACATCTTCGTCGTTGTCGAGAGATTCTGCTTTGTCTTCTTGTGGTTCTCTGATGAACCAGAAGCCAAAGATTGTGCCGGCGATTGTGATGATACCGTAGAAGAGGAAGAGACCGAGGTCACCCATCTTGGACTTCCTCATTGCTGGTGATGCGTAGACGATGATGAAGGAGAAGAGCCATGATGTCATTCCGTTGATAGCGGATGCCATTGGGCGGACTGAGAGTGGGAAGAGTTCTGGTGAGGAGTACCATGGCATTGGTGCGAGACCGAGACCGAAGCCGAACTGGTAGAGGAAGATGAGGATAACTGGGAGAACGTTTGACCAGTCGTACTTAGAGTTGAATCCGAAGATGATGAGGGATGCAGCGCAGACGATGCCTGAGATTGTCCACATAGCACGGCGACCAACTTTCTTGATGAGACCGCCTGAGAAGAAGCATGCGATGAGCTGAGCTGCTGTAGCGATGAATGACTGGATACCTGGTGTGATGCCATTGATGTTTGCGTTCTCGAAGAGCTTGCTGAGATCTGAGAGAATAGCGTTGATGCCTGAGAACTGCTGTGTGAGCATGATGAGGATGAGGACTGTGAGTGGCCAGATGTACTTAGCCTGGAAGATTGATTCTTGTTCTTCCTTCTTCTCCTCCTTGTTGTCTTCCTCTGCTTCTTGCTGGTGGATTGCTGTTTCTGGGATGAGCCAGATGAGACCAAGCTGGAGAGCGTGTGAGACAGCGGAGTAGATGCACATGACGTATGGCTTCTGGTATTCACCGATGAGGTAGAGAATGAGGATACCGATGACGATGAAGATCTGGTTGAATGTTCCGTAGAGACCTGTCTGCTCAGCTGGAGCGACTTCGAGGAGTAAGAGTGGGCCGAGTGATGAGAAAGCACCAAGCATGAAGCCTTGGAGAACACGCATTACGAAGCCCATCCAGAATGTCTTGACTTTCATGAATGCTAAGATAACCCAGAATATGATCGAGAGGATGTTGATGATTGAAGCGACGAGGCGGCGACCTAAGCCGAATTTGAAGAGTAAAGAAGGAATGTATGGACCGATTGCACCAGTGAGCTGGCTGATGGCGACGAAGAGGTCCCAGTGCTTATCTGGGAATTCTGAACCCCACTCCTTGCGGAAGTATGAAGCGGCTGGTGATGGGTAACCAATCAGGTAGCCGAAGCCAAGTGGTGTGAGGCAGACAATAGCTGCATACAATAGTTCGCGGCGGAAGAATGAAGACATGTTCTTTCTGTCCAAAGTCTTGAGAAATGAACTTACTTAGTTTCCGTGACATTCTCTCAATTTTTTCTGAGAACTTCTTACATATCAATGAGAACTCTCTGAATTTCATAATGAAACGAAAAATCTTTGTTCCGCGCTTACCGCTATGAAATGGGTCGTACGCAAAAAGGTTGTTTAATGTTAGGCCATTTCTCATTCAATTTTTGACAAGTCAATGAAAAGCCTTCTGAATTTTGGCACGGGTTATTTACATCAATTTGATATGGATAAATCAATATAAAAATGTCTAGATGGATTTATCATTGTTATACGAAGTACGCATGCTCATATTATTATGTTTTCACATTTTGTTTCTGTTGTGTGGTCATACACTATTGATTTATCACAGACATGTTAACATAAAAAATAAAGATCTATGCATATGTTTTATTCATCGATATAAAAAGACTTGAACTTGATTATTCAAACTTTTGTCAGGAATTTTATTCAATAATCAATGATTATCGATATCTCTAATATAATCTATTTTATTGTATGTTGCTAATCATATTTACATTACCAGTCCACGAAACAGTGAGTTGAGAAATAAGGATCGATCTTACGCAACGAATTTGTTAGATAACCTGTGATAAATGCAACATACATATGGAGTATAATCCAAATATCATATATGAACATTTCTTAAGAAACTTTACATCGAACAATCTTCAAACAAAAAAATTCAAATCAATAAAATTGAATAAAAATCAAAGTTTATTATTTGATATTGCATGGTAGATGCAGGAATGAACTCATTTTGTCACAATGAACGGTTTGTGTGAAAAATAATTTTGTAAAAAGAGATTTTATTAGATGTTATATAATTGTCTGTAATATATACTGAGATCTATGTTTTTTTATGAAAACAGTCTGTGATAAATCAATAGTGTATGACCACACAACAGAAACAAAATGTGAAAACATAATAATATGAGCATGCGTACTTCGTATAACAATGATAAATCCATCTAGACATTTTTATATTGATTTATCCATATCAAATTGATGTAAATAACCCGTGCCAAAATTCAGAAGGCTTTTCATTGACTTGTCAAAAATTGAATGAGAAATGGCCTAACATTAAACAACCTTTTTGCGTACGACCCATTTCATAGCGGTAAGCGCGGAACAAAGATTTTTCGTTTCATTATGAAATTCAGAGAGTTCTCATTGATATGTAAGAAGTTCTCAGAAAAAATTGAGAGAATGTCACGGAAACTAAGTAAGTTCATTTCTCAAGACTTTGGACAGAAAGAACATGTCTTCATTCTTCCGCCGCGAACTATTGTATGCAGCTATTGTCTGCCTCACACCACTTGGCTTCGGCTACCTGATTGGTTACCCATCACCAGCCGCTTCATACTTCCGCAAGGAGTGGGGTTCAGAATTCCCAGATAAGCACTGGGACCTCTTCGTCGCCATCAGCCAGCTCACTGGTGCAATCGGTCCATACATTCCTTCTTTACTCTTCAAATTCGGCTTAGGTCGCCGCCTCGTCGCTTCAATCATCAACATCCTCTCGATCATATTCTGGGTTATCTTAGCATTCATGAAAGTCAAGACATTCTGGATGGGCTTCGTAATGCGTGTTCTCCAAGGCTTCATGCTTGGTGCTTTCTCATCACTCGGCCCACTCTTACTCCTCGAAGTCGCTCCAGCTGAGCAGACAGGTCTCTACGGAACATTCAACCAGATCTTCATCGTCATCGGTATCCTCATTCTCTACCTCATCGGTGAATACCAGAAGCCATACGTCATGTGCATCTACTCCGCTGTCTCACACGCTCTCCAGCTTGGTCTCATCTGGCTCATCCCAGAAACAGCAATCCACCAGCAAGAAGCAGAGGAAGACAACAAGGAGGAGAAGAAGGAAGAACAAGAATCAATCTTCCAGGCTAAGTACATCTGGCCACTCACAGTCCTCATCCTCATCATGCTCACACAGCAGTTCTCAGGCATCAACGCTATTCTCTCAGATCTCAGCAAGCTCTTCGAGAACGCAAACATCAATGGCATCACACCAGGTATCCAGTCATTCATCGCTACAGCAGCTCAGCTCATCGCATGCTTCTTCTCAGGCGGTCTCATCAAGAAAGTTGGTCGCCGTGCTATGTGGACAATCTCAGGCATCGTCTGCGCTGCATCCCTCATCATCTTCGGATTCAACTCTAAGTACGACTGGTCAAACGTTCTCCCAGTTATCCTCATCTTCCTCTACCAGTTCGGCTTCGGTCTCGGTCTCGCACCAATGCCATGGTACTCCTCACCAGAACTCTTCCCACTCTCAGTCCGCCCAATGGCATCCGCTATCAACGGAATGACATCATGGCTCTTCTCCTTCATCATCGTCTACGCATCACCAGCAATGAGGAAGTCCAAGATGGGTGACCTCGGTCTCTTCCTCTTCTACGGTATCATCACAATCGCCGGCACAATCTTTGGCTTCTGGTTCATCAGAGAACCACAAGAAGACAAAGCAGAATCTCTCGACAACGACGAAGATGTACAGGCTTAAAACAAAATATTTTTAAGCCTCTTATTTTATTATATGTATTAATTTAATAAAAATCCTTATTCGATAATATATCATCTTTTTAAAATTATTACCTCCCTACTGGTTTTACATCTAGCCTATTTTATCATACTTCACAACTTTCTCATTTGGCCTTTAATATCCTCAATTAGTAATTTTTGTTTCAGATATTTTAATTTGCATTTTTCTAATCAGCATGTAGAATTCTAGCATTTATTAATATGCTTTAAATATAGAAAACATCGGGAAATTTTGTGAAAATTTTATCTTGATTAATTTTTAGTAAATTCGAGCATTAACTCTTTACATGTGAGCAACAGACCCATAAAATTCACCGCATCAGTATTTTTCGGCAGGATTATTAGTATTCAGATGATCGTTCCTGAATATTTAAGAAAAATATCCTAACGGTCTTATATCTCAGCCAAAACATAGCACGTATGTTCTAGGTCTTCCTAGTATTCTATAAATATTTGATATTTTGTTGAGAACCGATAGGCATATTTATAATGGTTCGGTGTTTTCGGGAACAAAATAATTATATCTCGGTTCTATTTTAAGTGTTTCTTCAAAAGGTTTATCCAAACAAAGTGAAATTTAAGTCTGAAGTAATTTGCAATTTATTGCCTTGTAATTTGGATTTATTTGCATTCTGCTAGCTCCAAATTCATAGAGTATTCTACACCAATTTAAATTAGCCACTTAAAGGCGAAGATTCGTTTTGGATTCGTAGATTAGTTGGCTAATTATAGTTCGTATTTTTTCAATGAAAAATATTTTTTCTTAGTTGGCCATCCAAACCGTACATCAAATATACCCTGTAATATGGCTATTTTATCACATTCATCCAACGATTAATTTTTATTTCTAGTTGAGGGGAAATTATTTTTTGTGAGTAAAAAACCGTCAACAATCTAAACAAAATTTAAATTGCATAAATAAATTTTGTTCACTTCATTTCAGCAAAAATGTTCACAATGGAGCATCCTTCCTACTTGAAGACTGGTCTTCCAGGCTTCTTAACACAGCACGCTGTCGAGATCCACGTCACAAAGCACCACCAAGCTTACATCGATACAGCTAACAAGCTCATCGTTGGTTCTGGCCTTGAAGGCAAGTCCATCGAGGAAGTTATCCAGAAGGCTCAGGGCCCACTCTTCAACAACGTTGCCCAGCACTTCAACCACTCCTTCTTCTGGAAGTGCCTTACACCAGAAAAGGTTGATGTTCCATCAAAGGTCGCTGATGTCCTTGCTTCTAACTTCGAATCCGTCGAGAAGTTCAAGGAAACATTCACAGCTAAGGCTTCAACAGTCTTTGGCTCCGGCTGGTGCTATCTTTACAAGAACAAGGATGGCAAGTGCGAAATCGGCCAATACTCTAACGCTGTTAACCCAGTCAAGGATGGCCACAAGCCACTCCTCACAGTCGATACTTGGGAGCACGCCTGGTACATCGATTACGAGAACAGAAAGGCTGAATACTTCAAGAACTTCTGGAACCATGTTAACTGGAACTTTGTTGAACAGAACATGAAGAATGCCGGACTTTAAATAAAATAATTTTCTATTTATTATATTTAATTATCGTTTTTTCAGGTAATTTTTTTCTTTGTATTCATTCCTGGGCATAACTAATGACAGTATTTCATCTTTTGCAATTTTTTTGAACTGTGATCTAATAAAATAATTCGTTAATCATTTAAAGATCCTGTTGTTGCAAGCGATTTCATAAGAACTGTTCCATGGAGATCTCTCCATTAGAACCCATAGATTACATGTATCAACCAAATGGACGCCGAGAAGCTAAATTGTTAGAAATCTTTGCTGTTATCAATTAGCAGGCCAGAGATTCTTAAACATTAGAATGATGAACGTGAGAGTTCACTCAATTGACGCCTGCTCTGATATAGATATGGAATAAATCTTCGATTCACCCTCTTCCATATAATGCCAATGACTGTTTCTGCCCGAGATATTTCTGATGATTGTATATTTAATGAGAGGCTTCATATGGAACATTGCCCTATTTGAGGAAATTTACATCCCTGATCCTTCAGGGATCAAGGGTAATTTAATAGAGAATAGTTGGGTTTTTGGTATAATCATATTAGATTTGAATAAAAAGTCACGATATATAATCGAATAAGGATTTTTATTAAATTAATACATAAAATAAAATAAGAGGCTTAAAAATATTTTGTTTTAAGCCTGTACATCTTCATCGTTGTCGAGAGATTCTGCTTTGTCTTCTTGTGGTTCTCTGATGAACCAGAAGCCAAAGATTGTGCCGGCGATTGTGATGATACCGTAGAAGAGGAAGAGACCGAGGTCACCCATCTTGGACTTCCTCATTGCTGGTGATGCGTAGACGATGATGAAGGAGAAGAGCCATGATGTCATTCCGTTGATAGCGGATGCCATTGGGCGGACTGAGAGTGGGAAGAGTTCTGGTAGGAGTACCATGGCATTGGTGCGAGACCGAGACCGAAGCCGAACTGGTAGAGGAAGATGAGGATAACTGGAGAACGTTTGACCAGTCGTACTTAGAGTTTGAATCCGAAGATGAGGGATGCAGCGCAGACGATGCCTGAGATTGTCCACATAGCACGGCGACCAACTTTCTTGATGAGACCGCCTGAGAAGAAGCATGCGATGAGCTGAGCTGCTGTAGCGATGAATGACTGGATACCTGGTGTGATGCCATTGATGTTTGCGTTCTCGAAGAGCTTGCTGAGATCTGAGAGAATAGCGTTGATGCCTGAGAACTGCTGTGTGAGCATGATGAGGATGAGGACTGTGAGTGGCCAGATGTACTTACTGGAAGATTGATTCTTGTTCTTCTTCTCCTCCTTGTTGTCTTCCTCTGCTTCTTGCTGGTGGACTGTTTCTGGGATGAGCCAGATGAGACCAAGCTGGAGAGCGTGTGAGACAGCGAGAGATGCACATGACGTATCTGGTATTCACCGATGAGAGAATGAGGATACCGATGACGATGAAGATCTGGTTGAATGTTCCGTAGAGACCTGTCTGCTCAGCTGGAGCGACTTCGAGGAGTAAGAGTGGGCCGAGTGATGAGAAAGCACAAGCATGAAGCCTTGGAGAACACGCATTACGAAGCCCATCCAGAATGTCTTGACTTTCATGAATGCTAAGATAACCCAGAATATGATCGAGAGGATGTTGATGATTGAAGCGACGAGGCGGCGACCTAAGCCGAATTTGAAGAGTAAAGAAGGAATGTATGACCGATTGCACCAGTGAGCTGGCTGATGGCGACGAAGAGGTCCCAGTGCTTATCTGGGAATTCTGAACCCACTCTTGCGGAAGTATGAAGCGGCTGGTGATGGGTAACCAATCAGGTAGCCGAAGCCAAGTGGTGTGAGGCAGACAATAGCTGCAACAATAGTTCGCGGCGGAAGAATGAAGACATGTTCTTTCTGTCCAAAGTCTTGAGAAATGAACTTACTTAGTTTCCGTGACATTCTCTCAATTTTTCTGAGAACTTCTTACATATCAATGAGAACTCTCTGAATTTCATAATGAAACGAAAAATCTTTGTTCCGCGCTTACCGCTATGAAATGGGTCGTACGCAAAAAGGTTGTTTAATGTTAGGCCATTTCTCATTCAATTTTGACAAGTCAATGAAAAGCCTTCTGAATTTGGCACGGGTTATTTACATCAATTTGATATGGATAAATCAATATAAAATGTCTAGATGGATTTATCATTGTTATACGAAGTACGCATGCTCATATTATTATGTTTTCACATTTTGTTTCTGTTGTGTGGTCATACACTATTGATTTATCACAGACATGTTAACATAAAAAAAGATCTATGCATATGTTTTATTCATCGATATAAAAAGACTTGAACTTGATTATTCAAACTTTTGTCAGAATTTTATTCAATAATCAATGATTATCGATATCTCTAATATAATCTATTTTATTGTATGTTGCTAATCATATTTACATTACCAGTCCACGAAACAGTGAGTTGAGAAATAAGGATCGATCTTACGCAACGAATTTGTTAGATAACCTGTGATAAATGCAACATACATATGGAGTATAATCCAAATATCATATATGAACATTTCTTAAGAAACTTTACATCGAACAATCTTCAAACAAAAAAATTCAAATCAATAAAATTGAATAAAAATCAAAGTTTATTATTTGATATTGCATGGTAGATGCAGGAATGAACTCATTTTGTCACAATGAACGGTTTGTGTGAAAAATAATTTTGTAAAAAGAGATTTTATTAGATGTTATATAATTGTCTGTAATATATACTGAGATCTATGTTTTTTTATGAAAACAGTCTGTGATAAATCAATAGTGTATGACCACACAAGAAACAAAATGTGAAAACATAATAATATGAGCATGCGTACTTCGTATAACAATGATAAATCCATCTAGACATTTTTATATTGATTTATCCATATCAAATTGATGTAAATAACCCGTGCCAAAATTCAGAAGGCTTTTCATTGACTTGTCAAAAATTGAATGAGAAATGGCCTAACATTAAACAACCTTTTTGCGTACGACCCATTCATAGCGGTAAGCGCGGAACAAAGATTTTTCGTTTCATTATGAAATTCAGAGAGTTCTCATTGATATGTAAGAAGTTCTCAGAAAAAATTGAGAGAATGTCACGGAAACTAAGTAAGTTCATTTCTCAAGACTTTGGACAGAAAGAACATGTCTTCATTCTTCCGCCGCGAACTATTGTATGCAGCTATTGTCTGCCTCACACCACTTGGCTTCGGCTACCTGATTGGTTACCCATCACCAGCCGCTTCATACTTCCGCAAGGAGTGGGGTTCAGAATTCCCAGATAAGCACTGGGACCTCTTCGTCGCCATCAGCCAGCTCACTGGTGCAATCGGTCCATACATTCCTTCTTTACTCTTCAAATTCGGCTTAGGTCGCCGCCTCGTCGCTTCAATCATCAACATCCTCTCGATCATATTCTGGGTTATCTTAGCATTCATGAAAGTCAAGACATTCTGGATGGGCTTCGTAATGCGTGTTCTCCAAGGCTTCATGCTTGGTGCTTTCTCATCACTCGGCCCACTCTTACTCCTCGAAGTCGCTCCAGCTGAGCAGACAGGTCTCTACGGAACATTCAACCAGATCTTCATCGTCATCGGTATCCTCATTCTCTACCTCATCGGTGAATACCAGAAGCCATACGTCATGTGCATCTACTCCGCTGTCTCACACGCTCTCCAGCTTGGTCTCATCTGGCTCATCCAGAAACAGCAATCCACCAGCAAGAAGCAGAGGAAGACAACAAGGAGGAGAAGAAGGAAGAACAAGAATCAATCTTCCAGGCTAAGTACATCTGGCCACTCACAGTCCTCATCCTCATCATGCTCACACAGCAGTTCTCAGGCATCAACGCTATTCTCTCAGATCTCAGCAAGCTCTTCGAGAACGCAAACATCAATGGCATCACACCAGGTATCCAGTCATTCATCGCTACAGCAGCTCAGCTCATCGCATGCTTCTTCTCAGGCGGTCTCATCAAGAAAGTTGGTCGCCGTGCTATGTGGACAATCTCAGGCATCGTCTGCGCTGCATCCCTCATCATCTTCGGATTCAACTCTAAGTACGACTGGTCAAACGTTCTCCCAGTTATCCTCATCTTCCTCTACCAGTTCGGCTTCGGTCTCGGTCTCGCACCAATGCCATGGTACTCCTCACCAGAACTCTTCCCACTCTCAGTCCGCCCAATGGCATCCGCTATCAACGGAATGACATCATGGCTCTTCTCCTTCATCATCGTCTACGCATCACCAGCAATGAGGAAGTCCAAGATGGGTGACCTCGGTCTCTTCCTCTTCTACGGTATCATCACAATCGCCGGCACAATCTTTGGCTTCTGGTTCATCAGAGAACCACAAGAAGACAAAGCAGAATCTCTCGACAACGATGAAGATGTACAGGCTTAAAACAAAATATTTTTAAGCCTCTTATTTTATTTTATGTATTAATTTAATAAAAATCATTATTCGATTATATATCGCCATTTTTAACACTCGACTATTAAAGAGTCCTACCTCTTTTCATTAGTTCAAGATTATCAAATTAATCTTATTACAATATCTTTTAATACCAATACCACCCAAATCATAATATGCCCAACATACCAACCTATACTTTGATCATTTTTATTAAATTTTCAGGTTGGCAGACATTTCATATTCTTCACTCAATTCAAATCCCATTTGTAATGTAAAACAATTCGATTTACACCAATCATCAAAAAATTATAATTAATTATTTCATTTTCTGCGAATGGATCCCAAAATTTTAGTGCATTTTTTTTTCTTGTAAAATCTTTTATTTTTATTTTTTATGGGAAACGAAACTTCCCAAGTACAACCTAACGAAGAAGTTAATCCCCAATTTGAAGAATCGTATTTCCACTCATACCTTACATTTACTAGAGAAGAAATGGGCGAAGAACAAGAAATTTTTAATTTACCTAAAGAAGCTTTAATTAATTTGCTTCTATTTAGTCCGGAACACATTGAGGACAAAAGGAGAATCATTCAATATATATTAAATAGTCCAACTAAAGAAATTATTGATACATCATACTTAAATCCGTATTATGAAATGTATTATAAATCGAAAGAATTAACAAATACTCGAATTAAAACAGATACAGCTCCGAAAATCAAAATGGAACCAGGAAATGAATCATCAATTCTAATTGATGTAATTACTACCTTATTTAGTTCAGTATTTTCAATTGATTATGATATAATCCCAGCTAAAAACGCATTAGATATCATTAAATCCATACCAAACACTCCAAAAATGCTTCCACCTTATTTAGATTTTAAATTACAAGGTCCTCATTACTCAGGATTACTCACACAACAACAGGTGTATCCAAAAGGTATCACATCCAACGGAAGTTTCCTTTTTATCCTGCATCCGGATTCAAATTTAACAGTTTTTCCACTTTTAGACAACGGAGCGTTACTTGATCCATTCACAGTTACATTAAATCTCATACCATCAACTTATCCATCATTGTTTGCGACTAAAGATCAAGTAATTGTGAAATCATTTACAAATCATTACCAATTTTCTATCAAACGAATTCTTGAAAGACCAAAATCGACAGTCCGAGGCAAAGAACTCCAAAATTTCAATCAAAATGTCATCGCTACCGATGGAGCTGTTTATGTTTCATTATCTCCTGACAAAACAGTCCGAGTTTTTGATATTCAAACCAATAAACTGATTAACGAAGTTCTATTAGTACAAGGAAATGCTCCTTTGCATCCAGAAAGGCCTGATTTGCTAGATGATAATTTTATCTTCAAAAGTATTGTTGAAACTAACGGTTCTTTCCTTTCTTTCTATGTTACATTGGACAACAATCAAGTTCTCTGCAGGCAATTCTCACTTATCAATGGAAATCATACTGGAGATATCGTATTTGAGCAAGAAAACAATATAATGGCCTTAAATCTGAACATTATCCACAAAATGCACTATTCCGTTAAAAACACAGGCAGCCAGTTAGTTGTAGAATCATTCAAATACGAAGGCGTTGATGATCCTTTCATTTTTGGTCTGAAAGTTCCGATAATTATGGATCTTTCCGGATTAGATCAACAATTGTTGTTTTATGTCAATCTTATTCTTTTGTCTTCCATCGGTCCACAGATTCCTGCCGAACTGAAACTGAAGAATGTCGATGAATACATCATTTTATTGTCAAACATCATGAATTTAATGGGCCAAGATTCGAAAAATCCAAAAGTTTTGATTACATTGCAAACATTTATTTTAATTGCCAGTTTGCATTCCGAGATGTTCCTTAATTCCCAGAAGATCAACAAAACTTTGGAATCAATTTTAATAAATTTGCCCAAAAAAATTAATGATGAAATAACTTTGAGTTTGGTGTCACTTTTGTTTACAAAATGTTTTGACAGATTCATGACTAATAATATTTTGAATACTATTATATCAGCTGTTGATGTTGCAAAAGGTGCTTTATTCGATAGATTGATAAGTGATATTTCAAGATCAAAATTTTTGTGTTTTTTGTCAATGACAGAAAATAATGTCATTTCACTTCAACTGTTGAAAAGTGACAACCATGATATATCATCATCTAATTTAATGAGGTTCTTTTATCTGCAGCAAAGAGTGTTAGTAAGAGAAGTAGCAAGGGAACTTGAAAATGATACTTTTTCTTCTTTGAAAATTTTCCAATCTAAAACAAAAAGTGTCACTGTTTTAGATTTCTTCGGAGAATATTCTTCTGTTATTATTAACTCCTTCATTAACTCTCTGAATAACTTTATTGCATTCGAAGATCTCCAGAAATCGTCTATTTTTAAATTAGTGTCAAATTTCTTGTCACTTTTATCAGGAATTTCTGATTATCATTCAATTTCTCAAATAATTTTGCCATTATTGTCTATGTTGACAATTTCTCTTTCTAATTTCTTCAAAACATATCAGATTGATATTATGGGACCAGCAAAAGAATTTTTATTATTAATTTCTTTCTTGTTTGGTTTGTTTAGTTCAACTTTGGTCAGAGGAGGTGATGTGTCAGATTTTGAAGAAAGAAACATTTTTTTAATTGTTGAAAATTCTTATCTGATGGATGATGAACAAACTTTGATATCTTATCTTAATTTTGACAAGAATTCAAACAAGAATTCTAAAATGAATGAAATCTACAAATTCTGGAAACCTCAAATCAACAAAAAACTAAGAGATGATGCAAAAGAAATTGATAGTTTTTGTTTGACGGTTTTTGTAAAGCATATTAAAGGAGCTGTCGAAGAAATGGAGAAATCAATAGAAAAACAAAAAGTTTCTGATCCATTCAGAGTTGTTTTAGAGAATATCTTCAAAATAAGGAATTTCTTTATGCAGCAAAAAAGAGAAAACCAGAGTTTGGATGAATTTGATCAAAAATTGTCACTTTTAATTAATCTAAAAAGTGACTTTTCAGATAAAAGCAACATTGAAGATTGTTGCAAATCTATTACGGATTTCTTGATCTCTAAAGATCCTGCGAAATCTTTGATATATTTCATTACAAACCAGAAAATAAGAGTTACTTTGACATCTATAGGTTTCGCTTTGTTGCAGGACATTTTTTCAAAGAATTTGGATAATTTATTTTACACGACGATAGCTATCGTCCTGTCAAAAATTGAAGATTTTGACAATTTGTCAAAAATATTAAGTCATTCCAAGAAATCAATTTCTTTCTTGATTTCTTTCATTAAAAGCGCCATGGAGATGAAATACGTGATGCCAATTATGCCGTTGATTATCAAATTGTTCAAATCAAAAGTAATTCCTGATGAAGAAATCGGAAAAATTACTACTTCTCAATTTTTGGCGGTTTTAAACTCAGAAACAATCTTGGAACAAGAAATAGCTGTTGTTTATGATTTTATTAATTTGATCCCACAATCTTTGGCGGTTTTGACAGAAAAACTAACACATAATCCTTTAAATTCACATTTAAGTTTATTTAGCATTTATATTGAAAAAAGCTATAATTGTCCAACAGATTTATACGACAAATTCCTTGATTTCGTCTTGAATTGCGATGATTCACAATCAATGATTGCAAGAAAATGCTTGTTTAATGCTACAAAGTTTGCGAAAATAGAGAATGATAAATTCAAATCAGATCTAATGAGAATAATTACTTTCATTGGAGAAAACTTACTTAATTCAAAGAATTTAATAAAATGTTCAGAACTTGTCAATTTTCTCAGACAAATTTTGAAGGATTCCGGTGAAAAATCAACAATTTTGAGAAAAATTATTATGAGTACAACTCTAAAGACAAATATTAAACAAATCGCAACTGTTTTAGCGATTTTAGGTGGCTCTATAGAAACAATAAGACCTTTCAATCAATGCCAAATGAAAACAGATGCTTCTACATCACAGGATATCATCATTTACTCTAATGATACTTTCATTAATTTGCCAATAAATGAAACTGCAAAAATTGAAGATTTACCAAAAAGTGACGTTTTGGCGGTTAGTGAAGTTCCCTTTGACATTTTAGATTATCCTGATTTTGATTTTATTTTGGACTTCTCGAATCTCGTTATCAAGTCTGAAAATTCTGTTTTGACCGTTATTTATTTGAATTGTTTGTCAAAATTTGCAGAAAACGAAGATTTTTGCAAATCATTGTCAAATAGGATCAGTTTAACTAAGTTTATATCGAAATATATATCAACATTTGATAACATGGATGTATTCATCGAAAAATACTCCAAATTATCAAAATACAGACCATTAAACACATTTAGAGGTTTCGAAATACTCATGAAAAAGAATCAATGTACTTATCTGTCAAAACCGTTGTCAAAAACTGCCAAAGTGAAGTTATTAATTGAGAGTGAAGATAATTTTGTAGGGTGCATTGGAATTATTGATTCTCATGACTACAAATGCAAGACAAATAACTTAATTTTGCTTCCACAATATATTACAGCACCAATTGATAGAGGTGTTGAACAGAAAATGCCTGCAAAATATATAATTGTTGAAGTTGATTTTTCTCAAAAAACTTTCACAGTAAATGGAAGTTTTGTTCCATGGATTTCTGATGCAACAAAATTCCACAGAATCATTGTTTATCCAACAAAACAATCAAAGATTATATCAATGAATTTGATGGCTGATGATTCATGTTATGCAAAGACATTTCCTATCAATACAGATGTTGTTGGAATTTCTGATTTGGATGACAATAAAAGAAGGAAATTGTTTTCAATGCCTGCTCATGTTCAACAAAATAGAAAAGAATTAAAAGAATCTTTGGAAGCAAGAACTATTACAAGGTTTTCTAACTTGATCACAACAAAATACGAAGAAATTGGTATCAATCCACCTCCTTTAGGTTGTATAGATCCTAAAGAAGCAGACGAAATGACAGAAAACTTGAGAAATTTAATGAATGAACAAATTTTGTTTGAATTAAGATGTCAAATTTCTTCTATCGTTCTGACCAAAATGATTTCATATGTTGGAGATGAAGCGATATTAGTAGAAGCATCAATTCGATTATTCTCTATTTTGTTGTGCCAATTAGAACAGTTTTCTTTGAATTTATTACATGAAATTAAATTCCCATTTGATTTGAATATAACGGTTTTGACACCAAACATTCCATCAAATCTTTTAATGCAAGATATGACGGAATATGGCCTTTCATGTATTAGAAAGATATCAAGTTCACGTGACTTCTTCCCTAATATACAGAAATACATTGAAAGATTAGTTGGAGAACCAAAAACACATCTTTTAACTGACACCAAAAAAGATGTTGATCTTTTAATTCCTGCTTTCAAAGATGACACATTTTTTGTTCCACATGGAAGCAATTATTATGTTGGATACTCTATATTTAACAAAGATCCATCATTTGGATTGGATTCTGTATATGTTTATACACCTTGTGTTGCTTCAGAAGATTCTTTGATACAAGTTCCTGCTACGTCATTAACAAATCCAATGTTTATGTTAAAAATCGATCCAAATACAACATCATGGATCTTTGGAACTGATTTTGAAATTCTGTTATTATTAAGAACATTGTTTTTAATTGGATTTAACAAATACAATCCTTTATTCATAAGATCAAAGATAATAGAGTTAACAGTTGTTAATTCTCCAATGACTTCTCGTCATGTACCAGAGTTATTGAATACATTATGTAACAATATAATTAAATCTGATAATTATACAACGGAATACATGAAATTGTTGTATTTGTTGATCTCTTTCGTGAATACTTTGGAAACTAATCATAAAAACTTCGATGCTATACTTACTTTCACAGATCAGGAAGTAATGAAGATGGCAGAATCTAATTCTGAATTGTCTCAATATTTCCCTGAATTCGGTTTGACAAATGAACCTGTAAAAGGTGACAAAACCGTTACAATTACAAATCTTCCTAATTTCAAGTTAGACGGAAACAAAGCGCAGATGAGACATTTGTTTAATGTCATGACAACAGTTGCTGTTCGGACAGATACTATTGATGGATTTCCTTTCTTTGTTTTGATTCCTTATTGGTTTGCTTTGGATTATTTACTTGGAAATTCAAAAACAACTGAAATAATTGTTGATAAAATCTCTCCGGCATCAGTTTCTATATATTGTACTTGTAAATTGGAATTATCCTTTAAACAAAGGACACAAGAAGATAACGCAATTTTGATTGTTGACCAATCAAATGATTCACAACTTTTCAGACAATATAATTTCCCAATGATTATAGAAGTCAGAGAAAAAATAACTGTTGTTATTTTATCAGATGATGACAATCGTATTTTGAAGATTGATGACTTGGTTTACAAAGAAATCAAAGAAGATGTGAAATTAAATCAAAGACCAATTCCAAAGAAAATCGATTTTGTTCCTGACCAAATAAGAAATGAATTTGTAAATGACATGAAGTTGTTAAGAACGAAATGGAATGCAAGCGAAACAATTAATTTGTTGCAGTCTTTCCCAGAAGATCTATTAAGTGCAAAAGACTTCTTTGAGATTGCAAAACTTGCTTTTGAAACGAGTTTGATGAAAATTTATCCGCCGAAAGTTGTTTTGTTGCAATCTTTCATGATTCATGTAATTAATTATGTATATTTAAATAATAATGATGTTACTTTGCAAAGGAACATTATTCATTATATTTCTCCTTCGAAACAAGCACAAGTCTTCTTGAACGAGATTAAAATATCAGAATCTTCTCCTGATTTCACTATCAACAGAAGAAAAGCAAGACAAGTTGTTTTGTCTAATTCAGGAGATTGCAGAAACACAATTATTCATCAGTTTTCTGAGTTTGTAGATACACATTCAACATCGAGTTTGAGAGGTCGTGGAAGACCTTGGAGAGTTCATTTCACTGATGAATCAGCAATTGATGCTGGTGGACCTTCTCGAGAAGCATTTAATGAAATAGCAATTTCTATTTTCCAATCACAATCGAAATTGTTTATTTTAAGTCCGAATGGAAGAAATCATTCAGGAGGAATGAGAGATGTTTATATTCCTTTCTCATCATTGAGACCATTTACTTCAAGATCTTTGTTTTATGCTGTTGGAGTTTTCATTGGAATTGTGATTCGAAATGGCTATTTCCAAGATTTTCCTTTCGCTCCTTTCGTCTGGAAATATCTTGCGAATGAACCATTGGACAAAAACGACATTCTTTGTTTGGATGAACATTTCGCGAACATGGCAAATTCATTGGTTACTATCAATGAACATGATTTCAACAAAACTTATGCCAACATGAAATGGGCTGTCACTGATTGGGATGATTCAACAAATTGGCTTAAATCAAAAGACCAAATTGTTGGTTACAATGATATAAAGAATTATCTCAACATGTGCGTTGGAGCGAGAATTAATTCAGTGAAGGCTAATTTGGAAAACATGAAAAGAGGATTTTATGATAATTTGGGATTTTCCAATCCAAGTATCTTCAATTCTAACTTGATTTCTTACTTGGCACAAGGATCGAGGACAGTAACAACTCAAGCATTTAAATCAATTACTTCAATGCTAGCGCCAACAAATCAACAAGAGAGGTATTTCTGGGAAGCTGTCGACAGAATGACAAATGAACAGAGATCTTTGTTGCTGAAATTCGCAACAACAATGACAAGGATTCCAAATCCAGCCATAAATTTAGGATTTAAGTTGTTTGTGAACTTTGAAGCTCAACTAAGTGATAGTTCACTTCCAAAGGCTTCTACTTGCTTCAACAGACTCTATCTACCATTGTATTCCAGCAGTGAAGTTATGTACAATAAACTTGTAACTGCAATCGAATTTTGCGATACAATGGAAAACAGTTAAATTTATACTTATATTTTTGTTTGATTATTTTTAATTTGTAAATATTTATTTTTAGAAAAATGTATTTCAAACGAAAATGAAACAATAACATTATCGAAAAAGTTTTTGAAGCAAATATTTTGTTCAGAAAGAAAATTTCATAATATTGAATTTAAAAAGGATTAGAAAAGCTTAAGTTGATATAGAGTTTAGTAAACATTTTCTATTCTGTAAATCCATTTCTTCGAAGAATATCAACACATTGTTGTTGTTTGAGTCGAATTGTCAATTGAAGAGCAGTTTCATTAGCATTAGTTTTTATATTTTTATTTATATTTGTTTGAGAGCTAAGATATTCACAGATATTTGCTCGATTATTATATATAGCATCATGAAGAGGTGTTTCATTCCCATTATTTACATCATTAATATCGATGAAGTTAAGAGCAAATTTTACAGCTTCTAGATTTCCCTCCTGACAGAAAAAGTGAAGAATTGTTCTCTTGGTAGAAGATCTACTTCTAATATCTGCACCATGATTAAACAAATGTTGAACTAGATTTAGATTATTTTTCCGTGCTGCTTCAAGAATCATATTTCTATTAAACTTACCCTGAACGTCAGAATATTTTTCATCAATCGCTAATTTTATTGTTGCAATATCTGCTTCACTTGATGCTTTTTCAAGAATTTTAAAGATTTTACCAAAGTTATCTTTTGTTTTACTCAAACTCATTAATTTTCTCATGTTTTCATCTGAGTGATCCAAACAATGATATTCTTCAATTTTAGAATTCTTGAAAGGGTTCGGAATAGATTCTCTACTAAAATAGTTTGCATTAGAGATTTGAAGCTTATGTGGAATTAGTGAACGATGGAGAAGTGCACGTTCGAAAACTTCTGTTGAGATAGACTCTAAACTGTGCTTAATTGAATGATTTTTGATAGATGTGATAGAGTTATTGTTGCAAAATTCAACTCTGACATGGTTAAGAAGAGGAAAGAATGAGTTATCTATTTCACTCATGGATATTATTGTACTGACTACTGAATCTTCATTTGATACTTTAAGAGATTTTGAAGTTAAAACTCGTTCAAAAAAGTCATAACCATATCGTTTGAATGTTATAATTTTATAATCTTCTTGAAAATCAAACATTCTTGATGCAAAGAAAGAAATGCATTCATTGATCTTATTGGTATCATTTTTTGTTGTTGCACAATCATAAATATCATAAAAATTCTCTTTGTTGATTTCTTTATAAGTGGAATTAACAAATGCGCAAAATATATCTGTTAAGAATTCGATTCCAAATGCTTTACCAACTTCAAATATATCTCTATTATGCAGGCAATCATTCTCGAACCTAAGAGCTCCAGTTTTGAAAAATTCAGAAATAATATCAATTGTGTTGTTGCATAATAAATTCAAATATGTAGTAACAGATTTAATTGAACTATCACGCAAATACTGATCATGAACAGTTTTTGAAATCATGATTGAAATATGTTTGTATGATTCAATTTTCTCATCATTAACAATGAAAGAAAATGGCTCTTTACCTTTAATATCATTACCCCATTCGATCACTAGATACTTCTTTGTAATCATATTCATTTTTTTTTTAAATTTGTGGAATTTTATCGATCACTTCACTTCATTTTTAATTCAATAAATTACCATCTCATGAGAGCATCATTTTGCAAATTATAAAATACAAACATTTATTTAAAAATATAGAAATAAAAAAATCATTAATTAACAGTTAATGAGTATAAAGGAATTATCTTCTTTGTATCCAATATTAACAAAGTATCACAGCCTCCATTAACAAAATTAACAGATTTTACCTTTCTTTGACGTAATATTGGTTCGTCTGAAGGTTGTGGTGGCTTTTTAGAGAATATGGCTTCTTCATCATCATAGCAAATGACCAAAAACGTTGAAATCTTTGGCTTTGATCTAAATTTCCTAAACGCAACAATTGTTTTAGGGAAAAATCCATCGAAAAACAAAGGAGGATCTTCGCAAGGAACTAAGAAAAGCTTCAATTGCTTCGATCTATATTCAGCTTCAATAAATTTCTCTGTATTTGCTGCTTTAATCACATTAACTTTGCTGATCGAATAATTAATGGCGAACTGAGACCACATTAATAAAAGTTTTGATTCTTTGCAGTTCGGATCCAATGAAACAGGATATTGAGAATCCAAAGGTTGTCTAAAACTTCCAAATATTTTTCTTTCACAAATCTCGATGTCGCCAACAGCTTCATAAATAGAAGGATTAAAATCACTTGGAATAGATTTTTGAGATGATTTTAGAACATATTGTTGATTTGTTTTATGCTTTGGAACTTCAGGAACATCATATTCGTATTCTCGACTTTGATAAGATGATTCTGAAATTGGATTTAATCTATAGCTATGATTATGATGATGAACATGAGTTTTTTGTTGTGAGATTGCAAATCTCATTAATTCATTTTGTTCTTCAAGTTTCTTTGCTAATTTCATCAATTTTGATTCTTCTTCCTTTTTTCTTGATCTTTCTTTCATCCGATGAATCATTTTTGAGTTTCCACCAAGTAGGAAATCAACAATTTCAACAACTTCTTTGTATGTTGGATACTTTTTCGTTGTTTTATGTCTCATTTTCCTTAATTCATGTACAAGAATTGCATTTTGTTGTGTAAGAGCATCAAGTAACTTAGAATATGTTTGAGATTTATCTGTATTTTGTGTCTGTCTGTGAGGTTTAATATAAGAACTTTCTATTGAATCAATTTGACTTCCGATTTGTTTTTCTTTTATTTCTGTTGATTCTCTAAGTTGCTGCAATTCTTCTTTTACATCGACCTTTGCATCTAATTTTGATTGCAATTCTTCATTAAATTTCTTATATTGATTTAATTCGGATTCAAGATGTTCATTTTGGATTTTTAACTTCTTAATGAACTCTTCTTTAGTATTATCATCAATTGCTTCGATTTCTAATGAAGGAGCAGCTTCTTGTTGCGTTAATTTAGATTTCTTTGGACTTTCTGGAGTTTTTTCAACAATAGTTTGAGAACTATGAGATTCTGCTTGAGTTCCAACAGTAGAATACGTTGGAACTATCAAGGAAATTGATAATGATTCTTCATCATCTGCCAAATTATCAGTTATTTGAGCATCTTTATCGGATTCCTCTTCTTCATATTGTTTTTCAACGGATTCATCTTCCTTTTCTTTGATTTCGACAACTTTTTGATTAATTATTTTTTCTGATTTTTCTTCTTCTTCATAAAAATAAGAAGACTCGCTGTAAAGAACATTTGAATCAACTTTTATACCATCAAGGATAGTTAATGATTCATTTGTTGATAGTATTTTGTTGCGATATATATGACGAAGATGTTTTTTCATTGGATGCTCATTATCATACTGTTCATTTGATTCATATATCTTCTGTCCTTTAGAAAGATCTTCATCAGCATATAGATTTTTGCAAACAGGGTTCCATCTCGTATCTAATAATCTTAATTTCTTTGATTTGGTGAGTAAATCAGCAAATCCATTTGCATCTTTAATGCAACATCCAGAGATATCAACAGCTTCAATATTAGGAAATAGTTTTGCAATGAAGTTTGCGTTTGCTATTTTAGAAAAGTTTAATTTGATTGACCTTATTGTTTTAATTGGATATATTGAGTTAAAACCTGTTTCATCAATTGGATTATTTGATAAATTAATATGTATGAGTGATTGGCATCCTTGAAATGGGAGAAAAGATGAAATTAAACAACCTTCTAAGTTAATATCTTCAAGATTTGGATGGTTTATCAGATTAACTACCGTAATTTCATTATTAGAACCTTGGAAATGTTTAAGTAGTGGGAAATTATTAATTCCATCAAGAGATTTTAGTTTACAATCTCCAACGTAAAGTTCTTTCAATGATGGAAAGTTATGACCAAAATCTAAATGCTCTATACAATTCTTATGTAAATCTAAAACAACAAGGTATGGCATAACATTTTCAAGTCTTATTTCTTGAATTTGATTTTTTGAGGCCAAAATACGCCTAAGCTTTGTATTACTGTCTATTCCATTTAGAGAAGTAATTTGATTCTTCGAAATATCGAGTAAAACCAAATTTGGTAATAAATCAAGTCCGTTAATATTAGATATCAAGTTACCGGATATATCAAGGAATTTAATTGTCGAAAACTTTTGGAAAAACTTCCTTTCTAGAGTTGGAATTTTGTTATTTGATACTTTCAATACTTGAATTTCATCTGTTTTGCAAAATTTGTCTATTTCTTGAAATGTTTTTAATCCACTCTCCCTAATATCAACAATATTCTCTTCATCAAAAGATTCTTCTTCAGTGAAATCCGAAATGTTCAATGAAGAAATCATCTTTCAAGAATAATGAACATAAACCCTTAACAATTTCAAAATCGCATTCAATAAGAATTAAAATCATTCACATAATAGCTCCAAAATATGTTCAAAAATTATTTGATTAATATGAGTTCAATTTCTCGTATATTTGTTTTAAATCCTTTAATACATGACGATGTATATTCCTTTTACATTGATTTGATAAGATTTTGAGTGAAATTCAAAAAGATTTTTTTTGAAAACGAGATTTAAACAAATTTTTCATTGCCATTATAAATCGACAAGTTTGAAGTGAGATAGACATATAATATAAAGTTTACTTACAAACAAAATAAATTATAGATCAATTAATCTAGGATTCCGCTAGATTTCCTCTTCTTTGTAGCATTTGCATGCAATTCTTCGAAGTATGGATGAAGAACAATGGCTTTGAAAGTTAATCTTTTTGCTGGATCTTTTTCAAGAACTCCTTTTAGTAATGATACTAGATTTGAAGGTGTATCTGGCGGTATTATTAGATCATTTGAGTGAATATGCTTGTAAAGAGCTAAAATTCCGCCACCGTTCAAAAATCCTTGGCAAGACTCTAAATCAAAAGGTAAATGTCCGAAAAGAGACATATACAATGATACTCCATATGCCCAAACATCAGCTGGCATTGGATGGAATTTTGTTCCTCTACATTCTTCAGGGGCCATAAACATTGGTGTTCCTTTTACATCCGTTGCGTATGAACTTTGTTTTGCTACTTCTTGGGATACCGAAAAGTCGGATAAAACGAAATGACCGAGATTAAATGCAAGAATATTTGCCGGCTTAATATCTCGATGAACAATCAAGTTGGAATGAAGGTACTCACATGCTGTAGCTATTTGGTAAAAGCATTTAGAAATTGTGTTAGTATTCAGTAAATTTTGCGAAAGTAAATGTTTCAGGCTTCCAAGTGGACAATAAGGCATAACTATGACGAGAGAGTTCGTCCTGGTATCATCAAATGCTTCATTTAGTGTAATTACATACTTATGACTTAGTTTACTTAAGATATCTAATTCTCTTTGTACTAATACGTATGGTTGATCATCATTTGATATTCGTTTCTTCTTCAACACGCTATGACTGTATATTTTTGCCACACATAGCTCTTTCGAATCTTCCTTGATAACTTGAAAAACTCTTGACATTGGTCCACATGCTATTTCTGACAATATGTGGTATCCATTAATCGTTGGATCATCCGACTGTAGAATGTCTGAGAGTGCAGCAGAATCATTTAAGATTTCATGGTGAAAAAGATCATTATTTTCACTTTGAACTTGATTATCTTCATCTGATTGTGAATCACTAATATCATTTCCTATCGCCGCTGACTTAGAGCTTCCACAACCCATTTAGCCAGGAACGTTACTATTTTTTTTTATTTCCACACAATTATCAAAATTTTGTAAAGATGATTTTAAATTGAAGGAGGGAGCGGATCAGCTCCGTGATAATCAAGTTATTTGAAGTTATACTTAAGGAAGTCAATTTGGAAAATTGTTTTCACTTTAGGAGAATATAATTTTCCATTTGGAAAATTTAAAAAGTGAGACGCGCAGGATTCGAACTTTTTTAAAAGTTGATTTAAATGAATTTTAGTGTGGAATATAAGGATAATATCATATTTAAAATAAGAATATACTAGTTTAGGTGGTATTAATTTTTTCGATAAATTTGAGAGTATGTACGTTTAGGGCATGAAAAGTGTCAATTCGCTCAGCGAAAGCTGAGCTAGCTTCGTTCTCGAAAGAATAAGGAAGGAGTGAAGGAGAATGATACAGAAGTTGACACATTCATATCATTTCAACAAATTTTGATCAAATTGAAATTCAATAAAATTCAATTCAATTCATATCCTTCAGTCAGTACATTGATATCCTTCTGCATCACAATGATAACTCGGGCATCAATAGTTCTACAACTAACTCAGAAGAAACAAGATTATTACTTCCTGCTTACAGCTTTTAAAAAGTTTCGATGATAAAAATCACTCTACTCTCGTTTATCGACATATGGTGATAGTAGGTAAACATATTCTTATCGATATTAATAAAAATATTTGTACGAAAATCTTATCCAATTAGAGAGTTATTCATAAAGTATATGATAATTATAATTACTTTATCTTTGTTTTATCTTTGAATAAACAATTTAATTTAAATTGCATAATATTTTTTGGTTGAAAGACAGGAAACTTAGTTGAGTTTGTATTATTTTTATCGTTTAATTCATCGTATCAGTGAGTGATCCAGATATTTAAGATATTTAGAAAAAAAATTATTAATTTGATTAACAAGTTTTAATCAAAATAGCAAAAATCTATTTGATAGCTGTAAACAAACAATAATTTTTATTTCAAGCAAAATCACTTATTTTCATCTAAACGTATAAAATTGTCAATTTTATGAAAATAAATTGAAAATCTCATGAAATGTAAAGGAGAGTAATATTTTTCAATTTTCTTTTTTTCTTTGTCTCAAATATTTTCTGTTGGGAATTTTCTTGTTATCAAAAAATAATTTTAATATTTGTTTATTTCATTACATACAATAAAATTTTAAAAACTCTATTTCTTCTCAAGAAAATTTTTTCCTTCATATGAAGAAACATTTTGTTCTCCATTTGATACTGAGTCTAAATCTCGATTTTTGAATTTTCTTCTTTCCAAATTTCTTTTTTCCAAATTAGAAGTTTAATTCAAATTTTCAATAGTTTATATAGTTTCTCAAACCGTCTCAGATTTTCTCACTTTTTAGGGATTTTCTCTCAAAATATACAAAAATAGTAATATCAATACATGTGTCTAATATACTTTAAAACCATCGTGACAAAATTCAAAAACGAAGAGTTCTTCTCTCCAAATTTTTTTCAAAATCAAAAAAATGAGATAAAAAAGTACGTTTGGAAAATTCATTTTTAGCATTTTAGGAATTTTCTCACTTTTCTTCCAAATTGACATCCTTATTATACTTCTTCGATCTCTCTCCTTCGATGTGTGGAAATATTTCCACTCTAGAGCATTTTGTTTTCTAAAAAGGTATTTTTCAATGTTCCTCAAATTTAAGTAATTTTCTTCAAGATCCAAATATAGGACTTGCTAGCCTTAGTAGTGCATAAACCTAAAATATATAATCGATTTACTGGCAAGAAGTTGTAAAAACATATAAGAAAGCTAGCTCATTTAATATTCATATTGTAAAAGAAATGAATTTCCAACTAAAGGTCAATGAAGGAAATTTTATTGAATGAAATACTATAGAAATTGAATTTATGAGAAATATTTCTTGATATATAGTTGAGAAGATGTTTGAGGTTTTAATAGTTTTATTTCTTTCTTTCTCTGCTTTATTCCCTGAGATAATTCTAATCAAAAAAGAGATTTCAATGTTTTTTTTCTTTTGTTTGCCAATGTGAGAGCGAAATCTAATATGATTTGCGTTTCACATATGTATTCTCAAGAGAATACGATTTATCTTGAAGAATGGAGATCAAATAAGAAATTTTGCTACGATAACACTTCAATATTATTCTTGATTTGTAAAACATTCAAAATTCCGCCCCGAATTGTAATAATCTTGATGCCTCAGAAAAACGGCAACCAATTGAGAAGAAAAAATCATAGTATTTCCAGCATATTGTCTGATAGGAAATAGTTCCTATACTCTTCTCTCTTTAAATCATGCATCCATTTCATATCATACCAAAAACTTTACAAAAAAAATTTATAAACAGCCCGCCAGATGAGTGAGTCTTTACCTCCTGTGCCGACTGTTTTGCATCGCACGACAAAAGACGGCACTAAGGTAACGTACACTATCAAAGATAAAATGGGAAGTGGTGGATTTGCAACAGTTTATAGCGGTGAAGAAATGCCAGGCCGATTACCTGTTGCAATTAAGTGTATTTCCCAAACACGTGTAGCGGATCCTAAAGTACGAAGGAAATTAATTAGCGAAGTCGATATTCATAAGTCTCTACACCATCAAAACATCGTTGAATTTAAAGGAGTTTTTCAAGATGAGAATTACGTCTATATTTTATTAGAACTTTGTCCGAATGGAACTGTTTTAGATATGCTAAAGAAGAACAATCCATTTTCAGAAAAACAAACTTCGCAAATTTGTTACCAATTATTAAATGCGTTAATTTACTTACACGAGCACCGTGTTATTCATCGCGATCTTAAATTACAAAATTTACTTCTTGACAAAAATAATCACATGAAACTCGCTGACTTCGGTCTCAGCGCGCAATTACAAAGTGATGATGAAAAGAAGATGACTTTATGCGGAACGCCTAGTTATTTGAGTCCTGAAGTTGTTGGTGGCGGTGGAAAGAGAGGACATACTACCTCTGTTGATATCTGGGCCACTGGCGTTTGTTCATTTTTAATGTTAACCGGAAAACAGCCATTTCAAGGCTCAGATAAGAAAATAACATATAAAAACATATCACACGTCAGCTACCAATGGCCAGAAAAATCTCATGTTTCGGATCTTGCAAAAGATTTTGTCGACCATGCTCTTCAGAAGGATCCAAATGCCCGCCCAACAGCTAAAGAACTTATTACTCATCCGTTTATTACTACATACAACTCAGAATTTATTACTCAAACTCTCAAAACTCCGGTTGCTGCTACTACGCTAGATTCTTCGAGGAATCTGATAATGACTTCTCGACCAGATAATTCTAGCTCGCCAGCTGAGGCCGAGGAAGCTCCGGAAACTCATGAATCTGGACAACCCCTCCGCCTTCCATCGTATTCGGTTAGAATATGGTGGGATTACTCACACAGATACGGTTTGGCATATATGCTACATAATCATATATGCGGGGCTTGCTTTAACGATTCATCCAGAATTATTTTGTCTCCAGATGGTACTTTTTGCCAATATTGGGCATCACCACAGACTCCTGCTCCAGAGATAGTTGAGATGAGCACCATAGAAGTTTCTCCAATCAGAAAGAAACTTCTTTTAATTCAACATTTCGCAGTCGAACTCCGCCAAAGGGCTGGAACTATGCATTATCCGCCAATAGAAATTACAGACCAGAAGATGACGATCCCTCACGTTAAGTATTGGGCTCGTACAAGAGATGGAGTGTTATTCAGAATGGCCAACAGAAATATTCAGGCCAATTTCAGAGACCACACCAAGTTGGTGATAGAGAGCAATAGCCGGAATCTGTTTTACGACACAGGAAGAGGCGTACAGCAATTGACCCTCGGAGATCTTGGAGATCGCGAGAGGTATCATGAAGTACGTAAGAGATTTGTAATTGTTAAGGAAATGGCGAAAGAACTTGTCTGAAATTTATTTTTGTTATATTTTGTGTTAATTCTAAAATAATATATATGATAATCGCTTTTTTGCTCAATTACATGACAAAATAAGAATGAATATATCTAATCCTAAAAATAATACAATTCTCAGGGCTGAGTTTGAGTGAGATCGTCAAGATCATTGACAATATTCTCTCATCTCGGCACTAAAAGACATGGATCATAGGATATGACTTATAAAGAGATCAAAGTTTTGCTTACAGCTTTCGTGGCGAATTGTCCAAATTTCAGACGCATCTCCACGAGACTGAGCAAACAATTTGAACTTCAACATCAAAATATCGAAAAGGTGGTCCTAACCTTGAGAACTGATCTCATTCACTTTCATTCTGGTGCTTTTTATATCGCATTGCGATTGTCTGTTGTCAAAATCGACAGTAACTGCAGGTTATCGCAATAATATGTTACAGGAAGTGCAACAGTAGTGCCAGAATGTACATGTCGCGAACTTTCCTGAATCTCAGATATGGTGCAAGACAAAGCGGTTTTTGCCAATATTGTCGCTCAAGCCGGCACAGAATGACTAGAAAACGGTCCTAACATTGAGAAAGGGCCTCTTCCCAGTCTTTCTGAGACACTTCAACCATAATAATTTTGTCTCCCCCTAAAATATAAAAAATGAGTGCAAATAAATTTGCTCCGGCAACAATCAGATCCAAACACAGATATTATCTTGTTCGCATAGAAAAGACCAAAGATAATGCGGTAGTTCAAAAAGAAGACTTTGTAAAAGCAATTGCAGAAATGTATCAACAATTATTCGGAACATATTACCTCAATTTGCTTCCAATGGATGTATACGATCAAGGAAATGATAGGTTTATAGTTGATACAACACCAGAATTTGCGGTCACATTTCGAACTGCTCTAACTCTTCCAAGCCCTCACCAATCAATTCATAAATTCGAAGTCATTAGCGAATCATCATATCTTCAACCACTTATACATGATTCTAGACTATTTTACCCTCCATTAATTTAAATTATATTATTTGTTTTTTTATTATAGAACTCTAAACTGTTGGATTACTAATGCTTACTCCTTTTCAAACCATTTCTACAAAATTTTGCTTGTTATGAAAAATTTAATATTTTTTTTTTCACATTCTAATGATAACACACTAAAATTTTCTTTATTTTTAAAAGGGTTAATTGATAGTATTAAAAAATCTGCTTAGTTCGAAATCAAAATCAATAAAATCATTTTATCTTTTGAATTACGAATCCAAAATTCATAGATTTTGATGAATAAGTATTAGACATTCTATTTCCATCAAAACAAAAGACTTTCGAGAAAGATTTTAGACTAACGAACAATAAAAAAAAAGTATGAAAGCTGCAACTTCGCTTGGATATCAAATAATATCTTGTTCGAGCGAAGATTCGACGCATCCGATATCTTCGATCATCAATTCATCAATTAATTCGACCGGATGGCAGACATCTCCAAACCCTCGTTATCCAGTTGAATTTGTTGTTGATCTTACAACGGTTGTTGAACTCGAAACGCTACAGTTTGTTAGCCATCAGTTCAAAATAGCTAATCGCGTCGATCTTTACGTCGCAAAATCAGACAAAGATTTTAAAGCATTAGGATCTTTCAATTTTTCAAACAATGCACACTCAAATTACACATCTCGCGAATTAAAGAGCGCAACACTTAATGGAATTAAAGCACAATTCATCAAAATCGTTATTCCAGGCTGCCATGCAAATCCAAATAACCCAACTAATCAAGTTGGCATCGTATCTTTCAATGTACTCGGCCGTGGTGGCGTACCTAAGTCTTCTGTTCCTAAATCTATGGGATCAAATGGCTTAGATGGTGATTCATCCGACATTCTCGAGCAACTTGAACGTCAAAAGCGCGAAGCTGTCGAAAAAGAAGATTTCAAACGTGCTGAAGTACTGAAAAAGCAAATTGAGCGTCTTAGACGCGCTTATGATCAAGTTGTTGTTCTTCAACAGCAAAAGAAAGATGCAATTGCTCGTGAAGACTTCGTAACAGCACAGAAGCTTAAAGCTGAAATAGATTACCTCTTAAATGGCTCAGATCCAACTCGCGATCAATCAATGCAAAATCAGCCACCACCAAGACAAAGTATCAATCAACAATCATTCCAGTATCAAGACCAATACCAAAACCCACCACAAAATCGTACTTCCTTCAATATTCCTGAAGATGATTTGGATGAACAGCCAATACAAGAGCGCAGACGTCAATTACCACAGAAAACACAAAAATTACCACCTAAACCAGCTCCAGAACCAGAAGAACCGCCGCCACGCCGTCAATCTCGTCCTCTGGAAGACGAAATTCCTCCAGCCGTCCAAAGAAACTTCGGAGAGGACAGAAGACCAAAGAATGTTGATATCGCAGCATTCGAAGCTAACGCACAAGAAGATGAGCCTCCAAGAAGAAATCGTCATCAAATTGAAGGCGCAAATCCAGATGAAAGGCCAATACACCCATCAAAGGAAGCTGGTGCATCCAATCCTTCACCAAGCGGTGGTGGAGGAGGTGGCGGAGGCCGAGATCTCCAAAAAGAACCAGATGAGCTAAGTGGAACCAATAAATCCGAAGCCGGCTGCTTAGTTGACATTGTTTCCGAACGCTTAGTTGCCTGCTTCTTCAGTAGGGCGTGGAACTTGAAGATCGACGGAATTAAAGAAATCGCTAACAGATTAGTTGGCGATAAAACGTTATCTGCCAGCCAGAAAGGCGATGCCTTCTACAGATACTGCTATATCATGAGACACAGAGTTGTAGAAGACCACAAAGCCGTTTTTTCAGCCTCATTAGAAGGAATTAAACTTCTTGGTGAGAAATTAGGAGTTTCTCAGAGTGATTTCAGTCGTGGCATGCAACAAGTTGTTCCCCCTCTCCAACCAAAGATCGGCTGTTCCCAACAGATTTTGTCCAAACAGACATGCAAGTTTTTGAGATGGGTTGTATCGAAAGGGTGCGCCGATTGTGTCATTCCGATGCTGATAAAGAGTTCCTCAAAGCCTCAGCAGTGGAAAGCACCTCTCGCGCAATTATCTACCCTCCACAAAATCGTCTTAGCAAAGGAAGGAGATTATGCAAGTTTAGGTTTGTCTTTGGACCAAATTATGAATTTTATCGTTCCAAATTTGGAGAGTGCCGCAAAGGAAGTGAGAGATGCTGCCATAGAGTTTGTTGTTACTATGAACATATTGGTTGGAACAGCTGTTGAAAGATTCATGGAGAAAGTTAATCCAAGAATTAGAAAGGAGATTGACGAAAAGATTAAGGCAAATCAGGAAGCTGAGTAATGTTTTTTTATTAGTATATTTTTTTGTAATATTTATTATGAAGTTGTAATATTTTTCTTGAAATTTAAAAAAATAATTATTTCAACTTAATCAAACTGTTTCCCAAATTATTATATAATATCATTATTCATCTCTGAGATATTGGCCTTATTCTCAATTAGATAATAATAAGAATTATAATTTTTCAGATTTCATTTTGTACTGACCAGTTTAAATTATTATATTTCATTAGTATTTCAATATTTTCTATTTGTTTTTGTATAGAATCATTCATTTTTTATAATTTGTATTATGATTTTCTTCTTGACAGGTGCAACAGCATTTGATTATTCATACTGTGCACCAAATTATCCTTCATACAAGCCAAATCAAGAAGCAGATCTAATACAAGTGCAGCTCTTAACCAGACATGGAGCAAGAACACCACTTCACTTATCTAAAAACTATTCAAATCACTGGAAATGCATGTATGATGACATGAGATCAGCAGGAAATGATTTTTTACAGCCATATCATGTACACGTTTCTTATGGAAGTTCAATTTTCGTTGGAAATTGCGTTTACGGACAATTAATACATACAGGAAAAGCAGGATTAGCGAAATTAGGCAAATACTTAAAGAAAATTTATATTGATCAGTTGAAATTTATTCCGCCAAATTTAGATCAAGAAACAGTAAAATTCCGAACAACACAAGCTCACCGAACAATAAATTCACAGATATCGCTTATATCAGGCATGTATCCTCATGCAAGTAACGTAGAAATGTATATTGCAGATAAAAATTACGATCCATGGCGAAGAACAAGCCTACTTTGTCCGAAATTCGCAAAATTACAGAAAACTATACCAGAAGACAATCATATTACTAATCAAACCCTTCAAGATAAAATTAGTAATATTTTGGGTGTCGGATGGAGCTCTACAAACGATGTGATGACATCTGCACTATGTAATAACTACAAACTTCCTCCAAATATTACTATGAAAGACGTAGATGATGCGATAGAGCTTAAAACAAAACAGATGCAATTTTTTTATTCCCATTCTGATGTTTTTCCTTTGTTTTTCTCGTTTTGTGCAAGCGAAATGGTCAATGAGATGTTGAAAAGGATGAATGGAGATTCAAATACGAAGTTCATCCACTGGTCAGCACATGATGGAAACATTTTAGGATACTTAGGATTGCTTGGATACACTGACAACAAATGGCCGCCTTACGGATCGTATATATTGACAGAGCTGCTTAGATTTAGAAGCAATGGAACATATATTGTTCAGTTTAGATATAATGGAAAACTTCTGAAAATTCCGAGGTTCAAAAATGAAACTTTTGTTTATTTTAATGATTTTTTGAAATTTTTGACATCAAGTATGCCAAAATTCCTTAATGAATGTGACTTCAATACAACACAGTTCAAGATGAGTGATACATTTTATGTATCAGCTTAATTTTTTATTATTTTTATTATATTATTTTTGTTATTATATATTTCTTTTGTTTTGTAAATGTTATTTTGTTTATAGGTAACTTAAGAGTAACAATCCTTACTTATACATTTTTAATTTTTTATCAACTCAATAAAATTAAGATTAATGACTGCGCAAACACCGCGATTTGCTAATATTCAACACTGTAAATGATATATTATATTATGAACATCTAATTGCCCCTCTATAATAGAAGTTAATAAATTCTTTTTCTTGTTTTAGGCTCATTCTTTTCAGATGATCCTCCAATATAGAAAATACCACATTTGAAATAACTGAGCCTCAGATATCATTTTAGAAACCGAAATTAGAATTTTATTGAATAAAATAATGTCTTCAACAGATTGAAATGTATAGTAATCAATTTAAGTACATTTAAAATCTAAAACAATAAGTAATTTCATTCGAATTAGATATTTTTTTTCTGAGATATGTTTAAATTTATGATAATTTAATAAAGAAATAGTTAAAATATAGATAAATAATATATAGTTTATTGATAAGCAACAGTTATCTGAGAAACATAAGATTTGTTAAGTTCTGGAATGTTAATTTTCGGCAGGTATAAAAATCCTGTCGTGAGAGGGATGTATTTAATAGGAATTTCCTTCTTCTGGTTACGCCACATGTGGAAATTGAGTTTTCCTGGACCTTCGAGGAAGAAATTTGGAGTTTTTTCAACGCAAAGGGTGAAATTAAGGAGTTCGCTCTCATTTGGAAGTCCTTGACCTCTTTCAATGATAATCTTGCAGTCAATTACGTCATTTATCGTTGAACAATCTGGAGCTTCGTATTTAATCTGAATTGGCAACAAATCCTGCTTGATCTCGGGAGTCTTGAAGCATATAGATCCTTCATCAATGCCTTCTGCGTGGAAATCAACGAGAATTTCGTGGAAAATCGGATTAGATGTCTGGCCAAGGAAAGTAAACGATTCCTTTGGCTTCACAGTACTCGGAAGACAATTAATATCAAAGAAATCAATCGTTCCTGTGATGAATGAAATCGTAATCGGGATTGAAAGTACATTTGTAAGAGTTGTCTCGATAATTACTGAAGCATCAGGGTTATCGATAACTGGTAAGATTTGGACTTCGAAATCTTGGTTCAAATATTCCATTTTTGTCTTAAATGGAGAAATGAAATTAAATTTCAGAGGTTTCTTGAAAACTCCTGTTCCGAATTCATCAGTATTGAATGAAACAGTCAACATAATAGCTGTTTGGAGTTCAACATGTGTCATAATTGATAAATCTAAATTAATTGTTGAATTTGCTTCCATGTCCCCAAGATTATTGACTTTTTCAATAGGATTTCCGTTATATGTACCACTGAGAGTAATTGCAGACTGACTTTGCTCATAAATGAAGGAAGTTTGGACATTATGAAGTGTAAGATCGCCAGAAGTGATTGTAATCTTGAGAGGAAGCTTTGTACCGATTACGCATTGTGTTGGCATTGATACATCAATCTTACATGACGATTCATCTGGAATAATAAATATTTTTTCAGTAAATGTGGATTCGAAGGTAAGAGTGATGTTATTGACTACTAAATTGATTGATGCTGCACGAAGCATTCTCTTTTTAGGGGGTGGCGTGAATGTTCCACTGATTTTTGTTGGTGTCAAATTTGATAAATCTCTTGGACCAAGAGAATGAACAAAAGGTTGTCCATCATCAACTGTAAATTCAATGTTGATATCATCGCAATGAATATTTTTGGTTAAAAATGATTCTAAGTGGAGATCAAATTCGATATCTTTGCCAGTTGAAACTTCTGTATTTGGAAAACGCAATTTAGTGGCAATTGGGAATATTCTAACAAATCTTTCATGAATCGGTAAGCAAATCTTTGAACATGTCTTAGATTCTTCTAAAAATCGATCAAATAATTCTTCGGATTTTGGTGAACGAATTAATCGAGACTGGCGAAGTACTGTATCAAAGATAGAAAGCTCAATATGATTTGTATTTTTATCAATTGTTTCTTTTAAATCAAGAATTGAGTCTAATAAAGGATAAAAGTTATATGAAACAACTTTTTCGAAGCAATCACCAATCAAATTAGCTGCTCCAGCAAAATACCCATTATCTACTAATTCTTTTGTCTTCGAAATGTTCGCAATTACTTCACTACGCGACATCCCTTAGATAATCGTTTTCTTCTCAAAATATTTGTAAATTTATGAAAAATGTCACATTTATTCAAAAATATACAAAAATATATAATTTATATAAATAATAATTTTTATTAAAAATTATTTTAGACACTTTTTGACGATAACTTTAACGTACAGTAAATATGCGAGGTGTTACAACAGAGTATAGAGAGTCATACTGTTGGATAAAACCATGCAAATCAAGACGTGGTGATAACTATGATGATATGATTCGTAAAAAGATCGACGGAACTTATGATGAAGACGAAAATGGATATGATAATAACGGTTTATCTGATTCTTTCGATGGAAACGGCATGAATTCTAGAAATAAGAATGGAAATAACGGAATCAACGGAAATAATGAAAATGGAAAGTCAAATAATGGCTTTATAGGATTATCTTTAGAAGATTGCTTACCAGATAAGACACCAAAGCCAAAGGATAAGTCTCCCGTACCAACGCCAATGACAAACGGAGGTAACGCAAACAATACAAACGGAAATGGCGCAGCCACAGAAGAAAAACCAAAATCGTTTGGACGCAAGAGCCTTATTTCTAAGAAGAAATCAAAGAAAGCATCACAAGAATTCAACGATAAAGCATCATCAAGATCAGGAAGCAGTTTCTGCAACTTTGGACAAGGTAACAGCACAAGATTAAATCCTAAATTTAACTACACAACATATAACGTCCAAGCAGGCGATGGAATCAATCCAAATACACTTATTAGAACTGGTTGCCGCGGTATTGTACGCTCAAAGTATAGTAAGCCGTTAGATTCACAATCAGTTCATATGTACAGACCTGAGTTCTTTACATCTGTTAATGATGCTCCTGATGATATTAAGGAAGAGCTCCAAGGCCCATTCTGGGTTTCTTGGCCAGAAAATACTCCTCTTCCAGATGAATATATTGAACTCAAGCCTGTTCTTTCTCTCTAACTTATGATTTATTGATTTTGATTAAATTATTTACAAATGTAATACATTTTTTCATCATATTAATTCATCTTAAACTAAGCACATCGCAATTGACAAAAGATGGTGTATTTTAGAAGAAATATTGCACACATGGGAAATAGTGTAAATTATTGAATTCAGAGGAAAATTACAAAAGAATTGCCCAAAATGCAAAAGAATTGCCCAAACCGACATGCTTAAATAAATTAAAAATGCTTTGTTGTCTTTTTGATAAAAAGATTATTATTTTTTTATTACAAGAAAACTTAAATTTATATATAATTTAAGAAAATCCGAAAGATGCAAGAGAAGAAATACCAGTAGGCTTTGTAGATCCAACAAGCTTCCTCTTTGTTTGTTTCTTCTTTGGTTTATCAGTAGATTTCTTCTTCTTTGCTTTATCTTTTTCATTTTCTTTTTCAACTTCTTCGACTTCTTTTTCTTCATCGGAAGAAGATGAGGAATCATCAGCCAATCTCTGCTTCTTTGTTCTCTTCTTCTTCTTTGGTTCTTCCTTCTGTTTCTCATCATCTTTAGATTTCTTAGTCTTTTTAGTCTTCTTTTGTTCATCTGTTTGTTTAGATTTAGCTTTAGTTTTCGTTTGTTTCTTCGGTGCTTTGAGAGATTCAGGAACATTTTCAAGATCATCAAGAAGTTCTTCATCAGAATCAATACGTTTCTTCTTAACTTGTATATCAAATATTGTTGATCTCTGTGATTCTCTAGGTTTATCATTCTTTGGTTTCTCTTTCATCTTTTCGATCTGGTTTTCATTCTTTTCTTCCTCTTCTTCTTCATTTTCATCATTTGTTGGAGGTGGTTTCAATCTCTTTAATTCGCATTTCTTTATTCTCTTATCACGGAAAATAAATGGCTTTTCTTTAGGCGTGTTTATGAAATCTTCCAATCTATTTATAATAGTGTTTTCTCCTCTCATCACTGCGAATTCCAAAGCTCTTCTATGCACTTCTTCATCATCTGTTAATTGTATAACTTGAACAGCTTGAAGATATTTCCTTTCTACGAGGCAATCTCTAAATCTCTCTAATATTGCTGCAGCATCAGGATTTCTACAAGAAAGAGGACTATTTATTGGTATAATTGTTATTGGACTTGTTCTTAATGTAACTAAAGATGGAAGCGGAATTGTGTTTGGAACTTTTTCTCCTTCTTTAATAATGTATCCATAGATATATCCGTTTTCAACATAAGCTGTATAGAATGTTTCATTTCCTTGTAATTCATTGTTCAAATCTAAAACAGGTGACCAAAAAGTACCAAAGTTTTCTGTTAATTTGAAAATATAATTATCACCACTTTGTATGAAACATTCTTTAGTTTCAGCATCAAAACCTATCCATTTAAGAGGTTGTTTTCCAGCCAATAAACTTTTAGCAATTGATTTGCGACTTTCCACATGGAAAATCTCAAATTTATGAAGAGATCCAGTAACAATAACAAGTAATTCATCAAAAGCAGCCATTGTTATTGGCCTATTATCTAATTCTATAGAAGCAAGAACAACACCGACAGTATCCAATATATGGAATCTGTTTAATGATGTTGCAATTGCAAAGAAAGAAGATCCAGCGGCAACAAGAACAGCACTTTCTCCAAAATCTAAATTTCCTTTTGCTTCATTTAAAATTGTTTGTCCATCATCGGAATAAACTCTCAACACGTAACTTGTTGATGAACAAATGATGACATTCTGTCCGTAGATAGAAACAAACTGTGCATTGATTGTATCATGACCATCTATTTCTGCAAATGGCATGATAGAATCAGGTCTTAATAATTTGACAGATTTTTCTGCGAAATCTTTCATTCCTTGTATTGCTACTGCTGTACTATTGAAACAGACAATTCTATCTTCATCATCATTATCAACATTAACACAACCAGGCATAAACTGTCTTGTTAATGTTTCGACATAATTCTTCTTTGTTTCGTCGTTTTTCTTTTGTTCAAAATCACTTTCATCGGATGGTAATGGTGGAGGAGGTTCGTAGACATGTTCTGAATTATCTACAGTTCTGTTTTCGGAATTTGGAGGTACTTTTTGGGAATTTTCTTCATCCGATTCTGATTCCAAAAAATCTTGTGGTTTTGATGTGTTTTCTGTCACTTTTTGTTCGTTATTATTTTCAGAATTTTTTTCATTATCTGAATCAGACAAAAATCCCTTAGATTGATTGGAATATTCTTCTTCTATCAAAGGAGCCAAAGATGAAACATGAGACTCATCATCACTGTTACTTTTTTCTAATGGTTTTGGATTTTTAATTGTTTTCTGGATTGGCACTAAATCAAGCTTTTGTTGTTTAGCATGACTTTTAGATTTAGCCATTTTCTTCTTTTGGACAGTGTCTGTGTCTTTCATAGATGTTTTGAGACTTCCGAAAGCATCGATTTTGGAATTTTTCTTTTCTTTTTTATTTTCATTTTTTTCTTCAATTTTATCTTTATCTTCATTATCTGAGATGAAATCTTGTGTTACAACTTCTTCGATATCTTCGCCTGCAGGAGTTTGTATGTCAGAGAGTTCAGAAAATTCTATTTTGAAAATTGTTCCATCTTCATTTCCTCCAATGATAGAACTCAAACACCAGTTAATGCATTTGATGCCAGTGATAGATGATTTCATGTAGAACTGTGATTTGATCGTTTGGTTGCTGTTGTTTAATGTTTGTGGTCTCTTGAAAATGAAAATGTTACTTTCTGAGTCAATAGCTGTAATATAGTCACGTGGGGATAGTGATAAGAATTTAATTGGTGTTGACATATCAGAAATAGTAATAATATCTTCTGTTTGATGGTTTACGTCTAAAATTGAAAACTTCGAACTTTCTGATTCGGAAGAGAAGAGTAAATAGGCTGGATATCCCCAAGATAATGATGTAGGAGGACAATTGATCTCTTTCTCAAATATGTTTGCGTTGTTGTTTAAAGAAAAAACGTGTAATTTTTGTGATTGTGTATATATAGAATAATATTGACCATCATGGCTCATTTTTGCCCATAATATTTCTGATGGTGCTGTATTCTCGTAAATAATTGTTCCGCTTGTATGGTCGATAACGAAATATTGGTTGTTTTGGCAGCAAACAAGAACATTGTTGCCTTTGCCAGAACATGAGATGAAAGTTATGGATTCTGGAAGAGTTAGTATGTTGTGAATTGTTTGAATTTCTGGCCAATCGACCTTATATAAGACTTTTGAAGTACCACCGCATATTATAGACTTGTGATCTGAACAAAAAGATGCTGATTGCAGGATGTCTTCCGAAATTTTCTCTAAATTTGTGTTTGCTGCATCACTTAAATCTGTTTCGTTTAGTCTTTGAATTCTTCCGTCATCTTGACCAATGGTAATAATCATATTGCCATATGGATCACTGAGTACTTCTCTGACACAACCGAAATGAACTGGTTGCTCAAGCTCTCGAAAGCTCATTCAACCAGGAAAAAATTTTTAAACGCGCGCAAAATGAATTATAATTATACTTTGACTAAACAATGCAACAATTCAAATAACAAGAAAAACATAATCTAATAAATGGCATGTTCAAATTTATTAGACAAGCATATCATGTGATTTATTGATCTGCAGTGCGAAGTTATATATTTGATCAAATATAATTTGGGGCTTCAGGTGGCTTCGCTTGCCCTTAGGGCAAGCACGCCACTTTCGGCCAAATTAAATAATTTTTTGAAAAATTGAATTATTCACTATTTAGTTGGCGCAAAAAGCCAACCAAATAATGAAGAATACTAATATATGTTTACTTAAAATATATCTTTTAATCATACTTAATATGATTAAAATTTCTGAACGAAAACTATCAAAAATAAGTCATAAAAATATAAAAATAAGAATCTAATTTATTGTAGAATAAATATCCGCAAAGCGCCGATAGAATTAATTGAAAATTTGGTGTTACATTGGTACATTTATTGAGCTCGTGTAGATATTTAGAGAATAGTTGATATTGATGATGCATTGTACAGGACATGATGTATAAATTTATCATCTACTAATGATATATCAGAGATTTCTAACATGTTTATAAATTTTGTTTTTTTAGTCGGAATCACTCATGCAAATGGATTTTACATGAGAAATATGAATATATTTCAATTTTTGTTTTTCAATCATCTCATATTTCGACTTTGACTCTGGGAATTTCCATAAGATTTCATATATTTTTAGAGTATGTGACATTATTAATTTGTGCAAATTTACAAGAAAAGTTGTGCAAATTTGGTCAACTTTACTGTGCAACAAGAAAACAATGCACGCCCGTAATTCCCAATAAAGTTTTCGTTCTTCATCATTTGTGAAATGCAGTGCTTATGTTTTGAACGTTCGTATTGTAGCAAGTTTTATTTTGTGCGAGCAGACTATTGTATGCATTATTTCAATAAAAGTTAAAAAATGAAATATCAAATATCAAATCAACTAAATTTAATAAATATATTATATGAAATTTGATCACAATACATTTTTGAACTATGTCATTTAGTTAAAAATCAAGTTTTTATTATAATAAAAATGAGAATAATAAAAATATAAATATTAAGAATATTTATCAAATATATGATTTAAAAGATAATAATAAATCAATTTGGCCGATCTAAAAATGCTTAAAAAGACTGAATTGACTGCACAAGATAAAATTAATGAAATTTTTGAATATTTCCATTTTTGTATAAAAAAATTAAGTGAAAAAGTATTTAATTTTCACTGCTTCTCCCATCTCTGAAATTTGCACAATTTTTCTCCTAAGTCTCCAAAGCATACTAAGTCTCAAGTTAATCTTCTGATGATATATTCTATCTATACACTAAATATGAGTCCTTTTCTCAAACTGGAAATGGTGATATAACACTTAATACTTTAGATAAATATTGTTTTTAACTTTTATCAATATATATATAGGTTGTTTTATTATCGTCTGGTAAAAGTGACGAAATTATCATTGTCTTCTTAAAAAGAGATTTTATAAGCATGTTTTGGTACCTAAATAAAGGAAAAACATCAATTACATCTATGTATATAGTGTGCAAACACGCAAGATATATCTAATAGCTCTTTATCTGGCCAAAAATTCTATTATTCGAAAATTCACATTGTCGTTTAAAACCGCCAGACGACAACAATAATACAAAAAAAATTCCTTTTGAGAATATACAATTGAGATATAACTTAGATGATGAGTATTGTTGATTAGTTTTGGTCACAGAATCTTGAAATACTCTGGAATTTAATATTTATGATATATTAGACAAATGTTGTTTTTAACTCTCACCAATGTATTATATTCAAAATCAAAACAAAAAATTCAGGGATATTTTTAAAAACTTATATTAATCTACAACTTATATTAATTAAGTGGTGAATAAATGTAATGATATAAATATGGTATTTGAATTAAAATATGTTTTATTCAATTAACAGGACGTGTGTTAAGAGTAATAGTAAGAGAGAGACGGATATAATTAGATTTATAATATACATTGTTATTGATTGTTATAGGAACATATGGAATTGTGATGTCTTCAATAGAGATGTATTGAAGAATTTCAATCGTTTTTTGATCCGAAAGACCTGTTCTGTTATCATAATGAATATAAGTTGATTTCTCCTTAAGGATACCCTTACATTGCGTAGTTAGAAAGAGAATATGATATTGTCATGATTGCTAAAGTTTTAGGCTCCAGAAATGAATATACATCAAACTGAAACAATTGATAAATTGAATGAACTTTTGAGAGGTTCTCAAATAAAAAAAATTATCTAATTTTTTACAATATTACTATTATTTTATCCACATATGTATATATAGTAATTTGAGAAAACTTTTAGGAAAAAATAAGTTTAATAAAAATCTGAATTTTACTTGTTGTGGGATTGTTATTAATTGACACTCCAGACGTATTACTAATAGTTATGCGTATGCAATTAAAGTATTTCTGATGGACAAAATGTGAGATTTATATCAGATAATTCATTTCTACTATTAAGTTATTCATTTATGAGTTTGCACTTATTCGCACTAAATAAATAACTATTAAAAATTGTTTTAATTAATTGACACCATATAATAGAGTGAATTTTGTTTGATCAAACAACAATAGATGATAGATATAAAGCCAAGAAACTTGCTATTAATATGCTCTACTTGCTATTTCAATGTAAGTATGATATTTTCTAAATGTTTCGTTCAGATAACTTAGATATATTAGTCAAAATTTGAAATTTTAATAGCACATATATTAAAAATAATTATTATTCATAAAAGATTAATGAAATAGTAAAAAAAATCAATCAAATTATAAAAATACAACATTTAGAAGAATTCTTATTATCCTTCAAAAAGTCAGTATTTCTGCTGTAATTTTCTACAACATTGTAGTTATTGCACTTTGTCTATGGATTTGTATATATGTTATATATAAATTATATATATAAACTGCCCATAAGTGCAATTTTTATATAAATTGTTTATTTCTTTAACAATTTCATATGAAATATGCTTTTTTAAGCGTATCAAAGCTGTGTTCTTAATGTGCATGGATATATCAAGAAAAATGTCGAAAAAAAATGTGAATTCACAAATTCACTGAATTTTCACCGTTTTTTGAATTTTGCTACAGCACTAATATTAAATAATACTAAAATCTTCTGTCTTTGTAAAAGAATAAATTCTGACAAAAAGTGCTCGTTTAAATTTAATGATCATCTGTATGACTAAGTGGTAAAAAGTGTTTATGACCAAAAAAGGGTTACATGCTTAGTCTATTTTTCTGACAGGATACTCTAGATTTACATGATCTCTATTTCATATCTCCGTTTTTAGATTCTTCGACAGATTTTATGATAGAAAACCAAGATTAACAAATTTCCGGCATGTTAATGAAGAAATCTGCAGCTACCCTCAATATTATTTCAATAATCAGTATCGTTTCTCTTACAATTTATTTTTTTCTCAATAATTTAACAAGAAATAACAATACACACTTGGTTTTACGTATAAAAGCTAAGTGTCGAACTTAATCAACTTTACTTACTTAGCAAATGAATATTTTTGTGGTTGCGAGTTCTGAATGCTGAAGTTTTAGATTTCTCTATAAATGATATCATTGCACTTACAATGTTGTTCCAGCCTATTGCATAAATCATAGAAAATCCAAAAAAAAATAATATAAAGAAAATTCATGTCATGAAGTTCAAAAAATACCGTGTAACATTAAAATTTGTTATGCATAATACATTTTAGCTATTATTGATTTTTTTTAATTTTCGAGAAATTGAATGGTGAGTCCGATAGAGAAATTTTTAAAAATCCTAGTCCCTCATAGAAGTAATTTCCCTCGTCTCCCATACTTCCAAATGTATGCATATGACATAAACTTTTATGCATTACACAAGTGGCCAATAATATCTATAGAGTAAAAAATTAGAAATTTAATTTTTTTATATGATAGTTATATTTCAGATTTGCGAGCGTAACTTTTTTCTCCATGGCATACTTGTTTTAAGAGCAAATGATCAAAATCGTCCTTCAATTATTGAAGGAGCTGATATCTTTTGAAAATTGAATTGAAAGGGTATTCAATTTTCAAATTTCCTCTCAATTTTGGAAACATATCAACTCTATGAATTAACAATTATGTGCCTTCACAGTTTATCAGTCATATAAGGTGCTTATAAAGAAAAAAGTTACGCTCGCAAAATATGTTTTTATATAGATTTCACATAAAATAATTATGTAATTTCTAAAAAGAATATTTTTGTTCTTGAATATTAAAGTGTATTGTAGTTTAAAAAGTTTTAAATATGTTGCTAAAATTTCAGGTTTATAGCTCATGTCTAGCATGACTTCTTCGTATGCGCAAAAAATCTGACACGTAAGGGTATCCTTAAAAAGTTTTTTTATATCATCTGTTAAAATTGTTCGATGTGTTACAAATAGGTGACTATTGCGTAGAAAATAGTAATCAGCTTGATAATCAATATTAGCTAAAAACTTTCCAGGAATGGAGATATTTTTCGGATCCACATAAAACGGATTAACATGTACTGTATCATAAAATATTATGCGTCCAACTGTAATTGTATTGATATTGTTTAGGAATGTAATATATATTAACGATAGACAAGATTCAAATGCATAATCTCCAATGTATGTTAAACATCCAGTGAATGTGAGATTTGTTATGTTTGTGCAATATCCAAATGCTTGTACTCCAATAGATGTCACACTCCATATTGGTGAAATATATTTTAATGATGTACAATTCCAAAATGCTTCACGTCCAATAGGTGCATAATTCGATGTGAATGATAAATTTGTGAGTAATGTGCAATAAGAAAATGACCAATAGCCAATTGATTTCACAATACCTGTTATTGTGAAATTTATTAATGATGTGCAATTATAAAATGCTCTATCGCCAATAGATTTTACATCTCCTAGCAATGTGACACTTGTTAAGTTTGTGTATTCGCGAAATGCTTCATTTGCAATAGTTGCAGAACTCACTCGAAATGTTATATCGTTGATTGTTCTCAAATACGGAATTGCTTCTATTCCAATATATGTTAAACTACCAGTGATTGGGATATTTGTTAAGTTTGTGCATAAATTAAATGCACGATCTCCAAGGGATACTAAATTTCCTAGAATTGTGATACTTGTTAATGCTATGCATCCTTCAAATGCACTATTTCCAATATATGCCTCATTCCCTAGAATTGCGATACTTGTTAATGATGTGCATTGATAAAAAGCACTATTCCCAATTTTAGTTATCATAGATGGAATTGTGAGTTTTATGAATGAACACCATGCATCAGATTGTGCAATTCGTAAGTGGACATCCTACAAATGCAGAATTCCCAAGATGTGTTACTTTTTCTGGAATTATGATATTCGTAAATGAACTATAACTAAAAATAAATGATACTATTTGATCTACAACCATTTACATTTTCTGGAAAAATGATACTATTTGATCTACAACCAGGAAATGAACTATCTCCAATATATATTACGTTTTTTGGAAAAACGATACTATTTAATTCACAACCAAAAAATTCCTCATGTTCAATAACTTCTAAACTTTCTGGGAAATATATTGATTTTAGATGGCATCCAGAAAAGCAATCACTTCCTATTCCTATAATGTTTTTAGGAAGTAAAACTGTTTCCAAAGAGCTGCAACCATTAAATAATGATTCATTGAGAAATGTCAGTTGATTGCAATTACTGAGATTTGCTGAGCTAATTCATAAAAAGCTAAAGCTATAATTATAACTACTCATGATTTGACTATCTTCTTCGAAACTAATTGATGTGATATCAAGGAAACAATCATAAAATGCTGTGTGATAGGAGTCTTCACTAAATATTTCTTTGACTGTTTTAGGGATAACAATATTTTCATAAGACCCATCACAACCAATAATAATTTCATTATTTGGATCTTGATATTGAAATTCACTATAAGCAAAACTTTCTGAAAGTAGAAAACAAAACAAAATCAGTCTAAGATTATCTTTTTTAGAAATTCATAAATACGAAACTCGAACGTGTATATATTTATTTTTAAAAACTATATATCATTAATAAATATAGTCAATGCAGGAAAAAAGAAATAAAAAAATACGTGATTTTATTTCTAAAAACAAAGAAATTTGTAATAGAAATTGGTGCATAATGTTAACATCGTATTGTAATTTGCCACATCATGGTTGAATTATAAAATTTATCTTGCATTAGGTTGGATATGAATGTTGATGTATCAATGTGATTTTAGATGAGTTTGGAACTCTTTTGAAGGTAATACATTTAATTCAGCATGTCTTGATGTGAAAATAAAGAGAGAAAAAGAAAGAATTTATACAGCCATTCTGAATTTCAGAACTTTTAACGTTCATCAAAACAAAATACCTTAAAAGTAAATTATTTAATAATATATGAAAAATTGTAGTGTTATAAATTTCTGATTAGTTTACATAAAATGTAAAATCTGCAATCACTTTCGTTTATTTTATGCATTATGACATCACTTAAAAAAACAACGCAAATTTTTATGTCAGATTGTGAATCGAATGAGAGTTAAACCAAAATTTCAGAAAAGAGAGTCTTTAACTTAAAATACTTTAATAAATCTTTGCATTACCAGATTGTGAGTAAGTACCCATCATATAGTTGGGCATGATTTTTTTTTAGTGTGCTACCCTCCAAAATTCAGTTTTGTGCGGTGAAACCTGTTATTGAGGAAAACTGTTGAATCTGGTCGTACCGTTTCGAGCCGTGTTTAAGCCATGCAAGAGTCAGACTTGGATGATATAAGTTATTAGTTGATCTGAATCTTCAATATCTAAGTTGATGTATTATTCTAGTTTTGAGCATACACATAGATTTTAGTGAGTATTTGCATATATGTCTTATCATTTCTTAGTGGTTTACCGCATGATTTGCATTAAAATAGAATTGATTTGAGGAATAATTGCAAATAAGCGAGTAATTATGTTATCACATTGGATAACCTATCTTAATATTATATTTTGGACGAATTTTAAGTGTCACAGAAATTGAAAGCAATAATATTTGCGGGAAGATTTGAATGGATATTTCGGTTGGCGGGGAAATTTGAAAGAAAAAGAGGCGCCAAAAAGGTGCCATTTTTCATTTGGTTTTCTCTCTCGAGCAGCCAAGTAATCCGTATTACGGATGTGCTAGTAAGTCAAAGCAGATCTTTACATCAGTTGTGCGATGTTAAGATTCTCATTTGATTGAAAACAAAAGCTGTAATCGCTTTACTTTTGTTGTCTCGTAATAGCTCAAAGCTGATGAATACACCAGTTGTGCGGCGTTATTTATCGAATTTGAGTTCATAGTATTCAATGAAAGTTTTGGTTAATGATTTTTAAAATTATTGACTTTCCTTTAACACGTCATTTAGGATCACCCACGTTTCTTACAGTTCATCCCGTCTTGATAGAATCTTGTTGAAAATGCTATCATAGCCAATTTCCAGAATTATTATTATTTTTTTTGCTATAACATAAATTGACGAACAAAATCATATGCCAAGGGAGAGGTTATCATTCTATTTCAGATCCCTTAACTTTTAAAGAGTTAAAAATATGGATCTCATCCTGGAACGTTTGTCAAGACTGAAAACATATGAAACATCAAAATCTTTTGAAATCAACAGAATACTGGAAAGAACCGCGGTCGTTGTAAAACTTTTGATATTACAAATAAATGTTTTAACGGACAAGAGTGCAAAACACACTCTTGTCAGTCACAATGTTTCATTCCGGGAGACATTGCCTATGCATGTCTCCCACAACGGCACAATCTTTTTGCAATCACAAGACGATTGCAAAACTTTGACCGATAAGAGTGCAAAACACACTCTTGTCAGTCTTAATGTGTCATTCCGGGAGACATTGCTTATGCATGTCTCCCACAATGGCACAATCTATTGGGAATCAAAAGATGATGGGGGTATTTTTGACAGGCAAAGTGCAATATTGATAGGTGATTGCACTTTGCCTGTCACATACATCTCGACAGAGGCAACATTCGATATGAAAGTTGCCTCTGTCGAGAAACTTCCTCACACCTCAAGAGATGCGAAGAACTTTTGACAGGCAAAGTGCAATATTGATAGGTGATTGCACTTTGCCTGTCACATACATCTCGACAGAGGCAACATTCGATATGAAAGTTGCCTCTGCCGAGAAACTTCCTAACATCTCAAATAAATACAAATTCATTATCCTAATTCTACTACTTTACATAACAAATCATCTTATAAATATTCATATAACTTCAATAACATTAAATCTAATTTCTTATCTCATAATACTTTCTTAATTTGATTCATCTTTTGACAAAATTTTAAAATTGAGGCACAATATATATCAACCCATGCACCACTACCGATGCAGGCTCAACCGCGCATCTTTCGTTTTTTTTTGCATGTTTTTCGTCTCAAAGCATGGTCAATAGACCGTCTCAAAGACGAAAAACATGCAAAATTTTTATACACTCTCATAATAACATATGACAGATAGGGAAGAGAAAACACCATATAATGCTGCATAAATACTATATATTGAAAAAGATATTAAATATATTTTATTAAAATCATAATAAATATGTGTTTACTTAACGTGATAGATGTACCTAGTATAATTATTATTGAATGTACTAAGATATATTTAAATAAAGATATTTTTTGTATATTATATAAGATTGGAATTAGTATTTATGAAGAAATTGCAACAACGCGTTGTGATATGTGTGGATATATGATTTTGAGAGAGAATAATTTTGGATTTTTCATATTTTAATATGGATGTGATTTGATCATATTGATAGTGTTGTATTATAGAGTGTAAGTGGGATGGAATTCTTTTTTATTTGTAATAGATTTCGAGAGAGGCAACTTTCATATCGAATGTTGCCTCTGTCGAGATGTATGTGACAGGCAAAGTGCAATCACCTATCAATATTGCACTTTGCCTGTCAAAAGTTCTTCGCATCTCTTGAGGTGTGAGGAAGTTTCTCGACAGAGGCAACATTCGATATGAAAGTTTCCTCTGTCGAGATGTATGTGACAGGCAAAGTGCAATCACCTATCAATATTGCACTTTGCCTGTCAAAAGTTCTTCGCATCTCTTGAGGTGTGAGGAAGTTTCTCGATAGAGGCAACTTTCATATCGAATGTTGCCTCTGTCGAGATGTATGTGACAGGCAAAGTGCAATCACCTATCAATATTGCACTTTGCCTGTCAAAAGTTCTTCGCATCTCTTGAGGTGTGAGGAAGTTTCTCGACAGAGGCAACTTTCATATCGAATGTTGCCTCTGTCGAGATGTATGTGACAGGCAAAGTGCAATAACCTATCAATATTGCACTTTGCCTGTCAAAAGTTCTTCGCATCTCTTGAGGTGTGAGGAAGTTTCTCGGCAGAGGAAACTTTCATATCGAATGTTGCCTCTGTCGAGATGTATGTGACAGGCAAAGTGCAATCACCTATCAATATTGCACTTTGCCTGTCAAAAGTTCTTCGCATCTCTTGAGGTGTGAGGAAGTTTCTCGACAGAGGCAACTTTCATATCGAATGTTGCCTCTGTCGAGATGTATGTGACAGGCAAAGTGCAATCACCTATCAATATTGCACTTTGCCTGTCAAAAGTTCTTCGCATCTCTTGAGGTGTGAGGAAGTTTCTCGACAGAGGCAACATTCGATATGAAAGTTTCCTCTGTCGAGATGTATGTGACAGGCAAAGTGCAATCACCTATCAATATTGCACTTTGCCTGTCAAAAGTTCTTCGCATCTCTTGAGGTGTGAGGAAGTTTCTCGGCAGAGGAAACTTTCATATCGAATGTTGCCTCTGTCGAGATGTATGTGACAGGCAAAGTGCAATCACCTATCAATATTGCACTTTGCCTGTCAAGAGTTCTTCGCATCTCTTGAGGTGTGAGGAAGTTTCTCGACAGAGGCAACTTTCATATCGAATGTTGCCTCTGTCGAGATGTATGTGACAGGCAAAGTGCAATCACCTATCAATATTGCACTTTGCCTGTCAAAAGTTCTTCGCATCTCTTGAGGTGTGAGGAAGTTTCTCGACAGAGGCAACATTCGATATGAAAGTTTCCTCTGTCGAGATGTATGTGACAGGCAAAGTGCAATCACCTATCAATATTGCACTTTGCCTGTCAAAAGTTCTTCGCATCTCTTGAGGTGTGAGGAAGTTTCTCGACAGAGGCAACTTTCATATCGAATGTTGCCTCTGTCGAGATGTATGTGACAGGCAAAGTGCAATCACCTATCAATATTGCACTTTGCCTGTCAAAAGTTCTTCGCATCTCTTGAGGTGTGAGGAAGTTTCTCGACAGAGGCAACATTCGATATGAAAGTTTCCTCTGTCGAGATGTATGTGACAGGCAAAGTGCAATCACCTATCAATATTGCACTTTGCCTGTCAAAAGTTCTTCGCATCTCTTGAGGTGTGAGGAAGTTTCTCGACAGAGGCAACATTCGATATGAAAGTTTCCTCTGTCGAGATGTATGTGACAGGCAAAGTGCAATCACCTATCAATATTGCACTTTGCCTGTCAAAAGTTCTTCGCATCTCTTGAGGTGTGAGGAAGTTTCTCGACAGAGGCAACTTTCATATCGAATGTTGCCTCTGTCGAGATGTATGTGACAGGCAAAGTGCAATAACCTATCAATATTGCACTTTGCCTGTCAAAAGTTCTTCGCATCTCTTGAGGTGTGAGGAAGTTTCTCGACAGAGGCAACTTTCATATCGAATGTTGCCTCTGTCGAGATGTATGTGACAGGCAAAGTGCAATCACCTATCAAATTGCACTTTGCCTGTCAAAAGTTCTTCGCATCTCTTGAGGTGTGAGGAAGTTTCTCGACAGAGGAAACTTTCATATCGAATGTTGCCTCTGTCGAGATGTATGTGACAGGCAAAGTGCAATCACCTATCAATATTGCACTTTGCCTGTCAAAAGTTCTTCGCATCTCTTGAGGTGTGAGGAAGTTTCTCGACAGAGGAAACTTTCATATCGAATGTTGCCTCTGTCGAGATGTATGTGACAGGCAAAGTGCAATCACCTATCAATATTGCACTTTGCCTGTCAAAAGTTCTTCGCATCTCTTGAGGTGTGAGGAAGTTTCTCGACAGAGGAAACTTTCATATCGAATGTTGCCTCTGTCGAGATGTATGTGACAGGCAAAGTGCAATCACCTATCAATATTGCACTTTGCCTGTCAAAAGTTCTTCGCATCTCTTGAGGTGTGAGGAAGTTTCTCGACAGAGGAAACTTTCATATCGAATGTTGCCTCTGTCGAGATGTATGTGACAGGCAAAGTGCAATCACCTATCAATATTGCACTTTGCCTGTCAAAAGTTCTTCGCATCTCTTGAGGTGTGAGGAAGTTTCTCGACAGAGGAAACTTTCATATCGAATGTTGCCTCTGTCGAGATGTATGTGACAGGCAAAGTGCAATCACCTATCAATATTGCACTTTGCCTGTCAAAAGTTCTTCGCATCTCTTGAGGTGTGAGGAAGTTTCTCGACAGAGGAAACTTTCATATCGAATGTTGCCTCTGTCGAGATGTATGTGACAGGCAAAGTGCAATCACCTATCAATATTGCACTTTGCCTGTCAAAAGTTCTTCGCATCTCTTGAGGTGTGAGGAAGTTTCTCGACAGAGGAAACTTTCATATCGAATGTTGCCTCTGTCGAGATGTATGTGACAGGCAAAGTGCAATCACCTATCAATATTGCACTTTGCCTGTCAAAAGTTCTTCGCATCTCTTGAGGTGTGAGGAAGTTTCTCGACAGAGGAAACTTTCATATCGAATGTTGCCTCTGTCGAGATGTATGTGACAGGCAAAGTGCAATCACCTATCAATATTGCACTTTGCCTGTCAAAAGTTCTTCGCATCTCTTGAGGTGTGAGGAAGTTTCTCGACAGAGGAAACTTTCATATCGAATGTTGCCTCTGTCGAGATGTATGTGACAGGCAAAGTGCAATCACCTATCAATATTGCACTTTGCCTGTCAAAAGTTCTTCGCATCTCTTGAGGTGTGAGGAAGTTTCTCGACAGAGGAAACTTTCATATCGAATGTTGCCTCTGTCGAGATGTATGTGACAGGCAAAGTGCAATCACCTATCAATATTGCACTTTGCCTGTCAAAAGTTCTTCGCATCTCTTGAGGTGTGAGGAAGTTTCTCGACAGAGGAAACTTTCATATCGAATGTTGCCTCTGTCGAGATGTATGTGACAGGCAAAGTGCAATCACCTATCAATATTGCACTTTGCCTGTCAAAAGTTCTTCGCATCTCTTGAGGTGTGAGGAAGTTTCTCGACAGAGGAAACTTTCATATCGAATGTTGCCTCTGTCGAGATGTATGTGACAGGCAAAGTGCAATCACCTATCAATATTGCACTTTGCCTGTCAAAAGTTCTTCGCATCTCTTGAGGTGTGAGGAAGTTTCTCGACAGAGGAAACTTTCATATCGAATGTTGCCTCTGTCGAGATGTATGTGACAGGCAAAGTGCAATCACCTATCAATATTGCACTTTGCCTGTCAAAAGTTCTTCGCATCTCTTGAGGTGTGAGGAAGTTTCTCGACAGAGGAAACTTTCATATCGAATGTTGCCTCTGTCGAGATGTATGTGACAGGCAAAGTGCAATCACCTATCAATATTGCACTTTGCCTGTCAAAAGTTCTTCGCATCTCTTGAGGTGTGAGGAAGTTTCTCGACAGAGGAAACTTTCATATCGAATGTTGCCTCTGTCGAGATGTATGTGACAGGCAAAGTGCAATCACCTATCAATATTGCACTTTGCCTGTCAAAAGTTCTTCGCATCTCTTGAGGTGTGAGGAAGTTTCTCGACAGAGGAAACTTTCATATCGAATGTTGCCTCTGTCGAGATGTATGTGACAGGCAAAGTGCAATCACCTATCAATATTGCACTTTGCCTGTCAAAAGTTCTTCGCATCTCTTGAGGTGTGAGGAAGTTTCTCGACAGAGGAAACTTTCATATCGAATGTTGCCTCTGTCGAGATGTATGTGACAGGCAAAGTGCAATCACCTATCAATATTGCACTTTGCCTGTCAAAAGTTCTTCGCATCTCTTGAGGTGTGAGGAAGTTTCTCGACAGAGGAAACTTTCATATCGAATGTTGCCTCTGTCGAGATGTATGTGACAGGCAAAGTGCAATCACCTATCAATATTGCACTTTGCCTGTCAAAAGTTCTTCGCATCTCTTGAGGTGTGAGGAAGTTTCTCGACAGAGGAAACTTTCATATCGAATGTTGCCTCTGTCGAGATGTATGTGACAGGCAAAGTGCAATCACCTATCAATATTGCACTTTGCCTGTCAAAAGTTCTTCGCATCTCTTGAGGTGTGAGGAAGTTTCTCGACAGAGGAAACTTTCATATCGAATGTTGCCTCTGTCGAGATGTATGTGACAGGCAAAGTGCAATCACCTATCAATATTGCACTTTGCCTGTCAAAAGTTCTTCGCATCTCTTGAGGTGTGAGGAAGTTTCTCGACAGAGGAAACTTTCATATCGAATGTTGCCTCTGTCGAGATGTATGTGACAGGCAAAGTGCAATCACCTATCAATATTGCACTTTGCCTGTCAAAAGTTCTTCGCATCTCTTGAGGTGTGAGGAAGTTTCTCGACAGAGGAAACTTTCATATCGAATGTTGCCTCTGTCGAGATGTATGTGACAGGCAAAGTGCAATCACCTATCAATATTGCACTTTGCCTGTCAAAAGTTCTTCGCATCTCTTGAGGTGTGAGGAAGTTTCTCGACAGAGGAAACTTTCATATCGAATGTTGCCTCTGTCGAGATGTATGTGACAGGCAAAGTGCAATCACCTATCAATATTGCACTTTGCCTGTCAAAAGTTCTTCGCATCTCTTGAGGTGTGAGGAAGTTTCTCGACAGAGGAAACTTTCATATCGAATGTTGCCTCTGTCGAGATGTATGTGACAGGCAAAGTGCAATCACCTATCAATATTGCACTTTGCCTGTCAAAAGTTCTTCGCATCTCTTGAGGTGTGAGGAAGTTTCTCGACAGAGGAAACTTTCATATCGAATGTTGCCTCTGTCGAGATGTATGTGACAGGCAAAGTGCAATCACCTATCAATATTGCACTTTGCCTGTCAAAAGTTCTTCGCATCTCTTGAGGTGTGAGGAAGTTTCTCGACAGAGGAAACTTTCATATCGAATGTTGCCTCTGTCGAGATGTATGTGACAGGCAAAGTGCAATCACCTATCAATATTGCACTTTGCCTGTCAAAAGTTCTTCGCATCTCTTGAGGTGTGAGGAAGTTTCTCGACAGAGGAAACTTTCATATCGAATGTTGCCTCTGTCGAGATGTATGTGACAGGCAAAGTGCAATCACCTATCAATATTGCACTTTGCCTGTCAAAAGTTCTTCGCATCTCTTGAGGTGTGAGGAAGTTTCTCGACAGAGGAAACTTTCATATCGAATGTTGCCTCTGTCGAGATGTATGTGACAGGCAAAGTGCAATCACCTATCAATATTGCACTTTGCCTGTCAAAAGTTCTTCGCATCTCTTGAGGTGTGAGGAAGTTTCTCGACAGAGGAAACTTTCATATCGAATGTTGCCTCTGTCGAGATGTATGTGACAGGCAAAGTGCAATCACCTATCAATATTGCACTTTGCCTGTCAAAAGTTCTTCGCATCTCTTGAGGTGTGAGGAAGTTTCTCGACAGAGGAAACTTTCATATCGAATGTTGCCTCTGTCGAGATGTATGTGACAGGCAAAGTGCAATCACCTATCAATATTGCACTTTGCCTGTCAAAAGTTCTTCGCATCTCTTGAGGTGTGAGGAAGTTTCTCGACAGAGGAAACTTTCATATCGAATGTTGCCTCTGTCGAGATGTATGTGACAGGCAAAGTGCAATCACCTATCAATATTGCACTTTGCCTGTCAAAAGTTCTTCGCATCTCTTGAGGTGTGAGGAAGTTTCTCGACAGAGGAAACTTTCATATCGAATGTTGCCTCTGTCGAGATGTATGTGACAGGCAAAGTGCAATCACCTATCAATATTGCACTTTGCCTGTCAAAAGTTCTTCGCATCTCTTGAGGTGTGAGGAAGTTTCTCGACAGAGGAAACTTTCATATCGAATGTTGCCTCTGTCGAGATGTATGTGACAGGCAAAGTGCAATCACCTATCAATATTGCACTTTGCCTGTCAAAAGTTCTTCGCATCTCTTGAGGTGTGAGGAAGTTTCTCGACAGAGGAAACTTTCATATCGAATGTTGCCTCTGTCGAGATGTATGTGACAGGCAAAGTGCAATCACCTATCAATATTGCACTTTGCCTGTCAAAAGTTCTTCGCATCTCTTGAGGTGTGAGGAAGTTTCTCGACAGAGGAAACTTTCATATCGAATGTTGCCTCTGTCGAGATGTATGTGACAGGCAAAGTGCAATCACCTATCAATATTGCACTTTGCCTGTCAAAAGTTCTTCGCATCTCTTGAGGTGTGAGGAAGTTTTCTCGACAGAGGCAACATTCGATATGAAATTCCTCTGTGAGATGTATGTGACAGGCAAAGTGCAATCCTATATATTGCACTTTGCCTGTCAAAAGTTCTTCGCATCTCTTGAGGTGTGAGGAAGTTTCTCGACAGAGGAAACTTTCATATCGAATGTTGCCTCTGTCGAGATGTATGTGACAGGCAAAGTGCAATCGTCTTGTTATTGCAAAAAGATTGTGCCATTGTGGGAGACATACATAGGCAATGTCTCCACGGATGGCACATTGTTACCGACAAGAGTGCATAATACACTCTCGTCGGTCAAAAGTTCCCCAATCAACTTCTGATTGAGCAAAATTGTATCATTATCTGAGGCATGCACTAGCAATGTCTCCCAGAATGAGATATTAAGACTGACATCAATAAAGCTTTTTATATAGTTGAAACTAGATTCATTCTTCATAGCGTTCAAATTTTTATTAGAAATAATGTAGTTAATGCTAAAATTGTAGTATTTACGTAGTGATAATCATATTCATACTGTAATTCATGTGATTATAATGCAAACCCACTAAGTAATTCTTTTGCTAAATTGAAATTGAAAATTTGATTATGCCATTTTGAGCTCGATGTATTAAATGTAAAACATTTTTCATATGAGAATGCAAAATCCAAAGACTTTTCTATTTGTTAAGTTGCTTGAATCGTGAATTTGGAATTTTTATCAAAATATGGGCAAATAAGCTCGGCGTTGTCACACATTCACTCCCCCTGAAGTTGTGCTTTAATCAGAAGTCATGCTATTTTTCCAAATTTTTTTCAAAATAGAGAAAATGATGAAAAATCTCTCATTTATTACATTCAAAATTTTAAATTTGAATTTTTTTTGGAAAATTTGTGATTCAAATTTCAATTTCTCCAAGTAAAACTGAAAATATTAACAGATCAAATCATAGAATTAACTTATCAAATTCTGTTGTATTCATTTCTTGCGATAATTCCGTTCAAAAGCTTTGTTTAAATCTATTTATTTTAATAATAATAAAATAGATAGATCTCCGCTATGAAAACATGATACCATGCTGATATGAAATATGAGTTAACATATAATTAAAAAGTTTCTACAATTAATAAGAAATTTATTACTAACTCTTTATTTTAACTATATTGAAACTTTTTATATGCATTCTGGCCAGTAAAGATCCAGAGAACCACATCTGCATCAATTTATGCTGAAGATTTCTGGATTTCATTACTCTTTTGAAAGACATCCAGATATCTTCAGCATAAATGAATTACATACATGTTCTCTCGCTCTTTGTGAACCACCTACCACAACAAAATTACCTTAGGCAAAGTTCGGCTGAAGTCTCCCATATGATGAGAAAGAAACTTTAGAGCAGCTTGCCATATCCGACTAATTACACAATCCCTAGCCCTTTGGGGACTATGGAGCTGTAGTAAAAGTATTATAAGGCAAAGTCCTTCCGAGGCCTCTCATCAAATGCGAGACTTCGGAAGGACTTTGCCTCATTCGAGTAATTCTACATTCCTGGGACGTTAAGGACCAGGAAGCAGCAGTATAAAGTATGAGGGCAATGACGTATAACTAATATCTCAATAAACGCAGTATCCATGCAGCCTAGCTACTATACCATTGCAGCTAGGCTGCATAGATATTGCGCTTCTGGCTTGCAGAACTCTCATGGTAGACTAAGCGGAGATCTGATGCTGAAATCACTTGCTGATGTGGATGGAGCAGCACTATGATTGGCCAGACCAAAGGCTGCGTAGCATCTCAGCAAGTAGATTATCGGCGGTGACTCCAGCTATGGTCCACCATGAGATTATGACATTTTTACGATTTGACGGGAATGCTTTGACCTTTACGAGTAAAATCACATCCGACACCTTTGATGGGTCAAGAAGTAGTGGTATACAATAAGTGTTGGGATTGCAAAGATGAATCTGAATAGACGCAAAAGTAAGAGAGACAGGCGTGAGATAACCGGTAAGAGTCAATGGAAAGTATCGAAGGTGTCTCTAGTTTGAAAGTCCAAACAGCTGCAGGGAATTAGTGTTGGGCCTTAATGCAATTGATCATCAGAAACTATTTATTACTACACTTATCATCATTACATGTTGTGCGATGTAATAACTAAGAAAGAAATAGCTCAGGAGATCAATGAAATTCTCTTTGGCTAGCTCTTCGAGACCAACTCTTTTCTTCATGTTTTGTCATTGCATGTTGTGCGGTGCAATAAATAATGAAGATTTACTTGGCTGCTCGAGAGAGAAAACCAAATGAAAAATGGCACCTTTTTTGGCGCCTCTTTTTCTTTCAAATTTCCCCGCCAACCGAAATATCCATTCAAATCTTCCCGCAAATATTATTGCTTTCAATTTCTGTGACACTTAAAATTCGTCCAAAATATAATATTAAGATAGGTTATCCAATGTGATAACATAATTACTCGCTTATTTGCAATTATTCCTCAAATCAATTCTATTTTAATGCAAATCATGCGGTAAACCACTAAGAAATGATAAGACATATATGCAAATACTCACTAAAATCTATGTGTATGCTCAAAACTAGAATAATACATCAACTTAGATATTGAAGATTCAGATCAACTAATAACTTATATCATCCAAGTCTGACTCTTGCATGGCTTAAACACGGCTCGAAACGGTACGACCAGATTCAACAGTTTTCCTCAATAACAGGTTTCACCGCACAAAACTGAATTTTGGAGGGTAGCACACTCAAAAAAAAATTATTCCTATAGTTGAATAGATTTTACTCAAATACTGGTCTCAACACATAAAATAGAATCACGAAGAAATTTGTAAACTTCATCAAAAAAAAAAGAACTCACAAAATGGCATCGCAATTGGAAAATGCCTTGCTTGAAGCCATTCATTTAGACAACACACAGAAATTCAGATCTCTCACATATGGCAAGCCTGGCACACTCAAAGTTCAAGATAAATTCTTAACACAAATCACAGCATTATCAGATTCACCAGGCTGCTGTGCATTAGCAATTGCAATGGGCGCACCTGTTAACTTAGTTGGTGACGTCATGGCCCCACTTAATTGCTCATCCTATGTTGGAAGTATGGAAACTGCAGTTTTACTTATAGAAGCAGGAGCTCGCTTAAATTCTATTTACAAGGGCGAAACACCAGTTATGCTTGCTGTTAGGTACTCTACACTAGATCACGTTAACCTACTTCTTGGCTCAGGAGCAGATCCTTGTGATATTGTCTATGCAGGTGAATACGCAACAGATCCAAAGATGCTTGACTTATTCATTAACAATGGACCATTAGATGATGCTCTTGAAGCTGCTGTTTATGCAAGAAAAATAGATAATGTTGCCTCATTAATTCAATACGGTGCCAAGCCAAGCTCCATGTCACTTCTTACTGCTTGCTGCTTCAACTTTGCAGGAATTGTTAAGATGCTCATTGAATACGGCATCAAAGCAGATGATGTCGCAATGCAGACATGTATTTACTGGAATTCCATTCAAGCCATGGAAGTTTTAATAGAAAAAGGTGTTCCAGTTATTCCATTCGATATTCACTACGCAATTTTACATAATAAACCAGCATCTCTCAAGCGTCTTCTGGAAGAGAAGGTTGACCTTGAAGCCGAGATTGGTGGTACATACGCAATACATACAGCTGTTCGTCATGGCCGTGTCGACTGCTTAAACATCTTATTAGAAAAAGGTGCCAAAGTTAATGGCGCAGATTCGCTCGGATGTACACCACTTCACTGGGCTGCTCTCAGACGTAAATCCCAGATCATGTCAATCCTTCTTGATCACGGCACGATTGTCAATATCGAAGATCCGAAAGTTTTCCAGCCACAAATACTCGAGCCAGACTTTGGTTGGACAGCACTCCATGTATCTGTCGAAGGCCCTGGTTTCGATACAGTTCGCATGTTACTTGATAGTTCTGCATCTCAAACAAAGAAGTGGGATGGCCGTACACCATTACATACAGCTTTGTTCTTGAACAGAGAAGATCTTATTCCACTTCTCATAACTCACGGTGCAGACTTAAATGCAACAGATGTAACAAACCAGACGCCTGTCGAATACGCATTATCATCTGGTCGCGAAGACCTTGCTGCCCTCATCAGGAAGTGCGCGTCACCAGATTTCGCAGCAGCAAATGCGGCGCACGGCCAATTTGCAACAAAGAACGCTACAGAAGCGGAGAACACAGAATTCTACGAAGAAAACGGCGAAAAGAAACAGAGGAAGAAGAGTCTTTCAGCAGCTATCGCAGACACAGAGAAAGAAGACGACAACGCTGACAACGTATTGCAGCAGTTGAGGTCAGGAGAAGGTGTCAATGAAGAAGGCGGAGCTGCAGAAGATGACGAGGATCTCATGAAGCAGATGGAAGAGATGAAGAAGGCACAGGAAGGACAGAAGACAGATACATTCGAGAGAGAAGAAACAGATGAAGAAAAGAAGAAGAGGAAGCAGAAGGAAGAAGACGATGAACTCGCCAAACTTGCAGCAGAACTCGGTAGTGATGATGGTGCGGATGAAGACATGGCAGCTCTCATGGCTGACTTAGAAATCGATGCTGCTCAAAATGCTGATGGAGAAGATGAGGATATGGATAAGCTTATGGCAGATCTCGCTGCTGACGTTGGAAGCGATGATGATGAAGACCTCGATAAGTTAATGAGTCAGATGGCTGCTGAAGCTTCTGATAACGATGATAACGAGAAGAAGTAAAATTATTAATAAAAAGAATTTTAAATTTTCTCGAAAATAATAAAAAATCATTTTTAAGGGTGCACCATTAACCCTTTCTGACATAATCTCAAGTTTAACTTCACTATTTCTAGCCCAATTTATACAATTTTGTGCCAGTAACTTTAGGGGAGAGCTTCCCACTTTCTGGAAGAGTCTCAATTTTTTAAAAATGGAGACTCTCATCGGCTTTTTATGTCCCAATATTTTGGATGAAAAGTTAAAATTCTTATGTCGGATAAAAGTAATTATTGGTGGCATTTGATGTTATATTATAACACTATGCATACCCTAGAGTATTATGGAAAAATATTGGTAAAACTTGGGTTGATTAATCAATGAATGATATTTTGAAACTATAAGTCAAAAAAAAAAATTGAAGTCAAATAAGAATGACCTTGAAAGAATTTAATGATCTCTCGCCGTATGAAACCATAAGTATTTTAGACCATAATATTGCCCGGAAAAGAAAGGATGGTAAACCTGATCGGCGCTATTCACTTAGAACTGAAAAGAGTATAAATAGAGCTGTTAATTTTCTTAATTCCATAAATAAACCATATGCTATATATGTTAGTCCAAATGTTAATCCATCTGTTAGTCCATATGTCAAAAAAGATAAAATTACTCCAAATTGGGTCCATATTTGCATTCCTACAGAATTATTGAATACCAACGATCCATTATAAGGCATAGATCTTTCAGAGAAGAAAATATACCCAATGGAATATAATCTTAAAGAAGATATTGACAAAGCTACAATCTTAAGGAATATCTCTAAAACTATGACAAATTTATCTTAGTATGAAGTCCCAAAGCAAGAAAATAATGAATGCGAACCAGCTATCGAGCAAACAGAAGTTTATACAAAAATAGAATGTGAAAAGTTAGATTCTGATTTTGTTTCACTTGATTTTATTGAAGAAGAGTCATCTCCAGTAGCAGATCAATAACTATTTTCATGAACTTCATATTATATGAGAATATATATCTTTATTTTTTATTGATTTATTGATCTTTAATTATACTATCCAATGCTATATGCATTTTAATCCTTCTAATCAAGATTCAAGAAGTTTTATCACCTATCTTTTGAAATATCTGAATTTATGTGTTTTAATGATGTTTTCAGTATAGCGTGCTTATTCCATAGATAAATTAACCAATAATTCCGTATGAAATCAGGTCTGTCTAGAAAATTAAAATAATATTTCAAAATCTTAAAATGCTACTCTATTGAATTCATATGTTTACTTTTTCTATATTTTGTTATATATGTTAGAACTAAATATTGATTAACAAATTAAATTCGACAACTTTTTTATTGCATTTCCGGGTTTTCTTTAGTCATGATTAGCTGCCCAGCTTATTTTAAAAGATTTGATGAGGAGTTGTTCATTTATTTTGATATTGAAGATAGAAATTTTTATTAATAAACAATAATATACAAAATTAAATATAATAAATAAAAATTAAAGGAGGGGAGTTCCTACAGTCCATTCAATATCTGGCCAAGCAAATTCTGTCTCGTATAAATAGTTTGGTAATAATCTTTCTTTCCAAGTAGGTCCAAATGTTTCAAGCAGCAAATGCACACCTCTCTTCCATGTAATCGAAGCTTTTTGGTGAGTATGACTGAAAGTTTCAAAAGATTGATAAGCAAAGCTAGATCCGAAGCCAATTAGAATGCAACCTAATATAAATCCGTATATAGATACAATCAACGTAATTACATTTATTCCTGTTGCTACAATCGACCAAGTTCCTGAAATTCCAACAAAAATTCCGAAAATTCCTGAATAAAAGAATGACAGTATGAAAGGTTTGAAGTTCCTATCGCCAACACATGAACCAATCACTCCACAATGATGGTCTTGACGTAAAACGCAAGTTTCGCACATCGAACAGTGATATGATCTAGCTGGAACAGGAATTTGGCAGTGTGGGCATATTTTGCAAGCTTGTAAACAAAATGGTATATCTCCTTGTTTAATTTGCTTTAAAACGCCTTTTCTTTTGAGAGAATCTTCAACACGACCTGGATCTGTAAAGCCTGCTGTAAACCATGACCATTGAAACATCAAAAATGACGCTAAATTTAAGGCCCAAAATACTGATGCGATTGTTGTATTTAAAGGGGATGTCATCACTAATGGTAAACAATAAAACTGTGCGCATCCGAAGATAACTGATGAAAATGTAAACACGAGTGAGTTTGGAAAACACTTTGCACAAAATCGGACAACAAACATTTTCCAAAAATGGGAAATTTTAATGTGAAATTACTCCTAAATGACTTATTAGCATACATCTTTAAAAGTAAAGTCATACTTTTCATATTTTTCGGAAAAGTGTCAAATAAGAAAAAATGGTTAAAAGGAGAGCTGAAGAAGTATAACATATGTAATCAGACTGTTTAGGTAAATTAAAAGGTAGAAAATTTTAATTCTTATGAATATCTCGGGCGCGTAAAGGGTTGGCGTCCTAACGCGTCCTGATGTAAACTATTCAATTTTTGAGAAGTTTACACCATAATTGAATAGTTTATGGCGTCCTGAGAGGAGATTTCAATGGGTATGGCGTCCTAAAAAATAGAAGAAAATGATTTTTTCTCGATTTTTCTAGAAATTGAATTTTTTAAAAAAGAAAAAAATCAAAACGTATACATTCAAGAAAGACTATAAATGAAGATTTTTCTATTTTTTTTCATTCTAAAACATCTTTTTTTGGATAATTTTTTTTTAATAAATATGTAAGAAAGATTGAAGAAAAAGTAAATTTACTTTAAGAAAATTCGTTTTACATGATGTAAGACCCATAACAACTATAAATATTCAATTATTTAAAATAAAAAAAGAAAAACAGATTAAATGTATCTCACATCAAAATCCATTGACCTAAGGATGTTAAGTTTCTGTTTTTAAAAGTTGATATTTTTTTTTTAATTTTAAGAAAATTAATAGCATGTTATTAGACAATAGGAGTGTAATGATATTGACTAAACAGAAATGAGAGAATAGAGATATAATTTTGATAAGCAATATTGCGAACAAATTCTGAAGTAAAATTGCGATCAATAATTGAAAATTACGATCATGTACTGAAAAATGACGATCGAATTGAATGAATAGAATTATATCTAAGAAAAAATAAATTGTATTTAGAAGATGAACAAAGAAAGGTGTATGCTAAAAATCATTTAACAATAAATGGAAATAAAACGAAATTGTTAAAAGAAAAAAATGAAAATTGTTAAATAATATATTATTTTTTAGTCATAAGAATAAAAATATAGTAGTTATAAAAGGAATTAGACTTCATATATCAATACTTTTTCTCTGTAGATGTGGAACGTTTGCTTTTCGATCTCTTTCGATGAACTTGAAAATATAAGTTATTATCGCTGAGAATCCTTTCCGAAATAGGAGCTTTACGTTTAGGAGGATTGTCGGATGAATTTTGTTTTTTATTGTTTGATTTTGTTGTTATGGAAGATTTTTTCTTATTTTTTTCAGAATTTTGCTTGCTATTAACTGAAACTTGTTTTGACGGCCCAACAATAGCATTTGTAGTAGGAAGAATTCCCAATAACGAGCGCATTTTCGATAATTGTTTTTCAATATGATCAAGAAGGTCCAGCTTATGTTCTAGATTACTAGACATTTGATTTGTAGAAGGATGGTTTTGATTTTCTGGTTCTAAATCTGTAGAGTCTGCAATATTTGAATTTTCGGAGCGAATTGGAGCATCTGAACCTTGATTTGTATCGGCTTGCTCAAAATTAGTTTGAATTGGAGTGGATGAATTAAAATCTGGATGATTTAATGTTTTCTCGTAAACGAAAAAGGGGATTTGACTCCGTCAAATCCCCGCTCACAAAAAGTGGACTTTACATGTCAAATTTTAAATGCATGTAAGGTCCACTTTTATGAGTTTTAGGAAGGAATTGGAGGCCATGAGTTACTGACATTTCATCAGTATCTCATAGACTCCAATTCCTTCGCAAAATGGGAGAAACTTTGTCCGAATAGTTTAACATTCGGACAAAGTTTCTCCCATTTTAAGAAGGAATTGGAGGGTAAGAGATATACCATATGAATGTATATCTCTTACCATCCAATTCCTTCTAGAAAGTGTCCAAACTTTGGGTTAATTGCAAACTATTAACCCAAAGTTTGGACACTTTCAAGTGGAGATGGAAGGCTTTGGGGTAATATTAATACAATATACCTCAAAGCCTTCCATCTCCACTACAAATGGGAGAAACTTTGTCCGAATAGTTTAACATTCGGACAAAGTTTCTCCCATATTTCAATGTAATTGCTACCTGTGAGGTACTGATTTGAAGTCAGTGCTTCACAGGTAGCAATATTCACAAAATTTAAAAACATTTTATCAGTTCGTTAGATAACCAGAGCCTCCTAGGTACTGAACCAGAATCAGTGCCTAGGGGACTCTAGTTATCTATATAAATCTGAGAAACTTTGAGGAAATTGTTCGACATTTCCTCAAAGTTTCTCAGTAATTTAGTGAGGAATGTTCGTTATCGTGTAAATATTTATAATATATACATGATAACAAACATTCCCCGCTAAAAGATGTAAAATCTTAGTTAGTATGGTTATGTTGGGTATGGTGGCACTGCGTTCCACTTTACCCAATACTTGTGAATTTGACACTTTACAAAACCGTTAACGTATATTTTACAACACAAACGACAACACTAACTTAATCTTAAATATTTACAAAACCGCCACCCACTTCACTTCACTAACGAACTCACTAATGTAAAAATAAACGTTCTCACTATCGTTCTCACTAACAACTTCACTAATGTTCTCATAAATTTTCCTCAATATCTTCATCATCAGTGTTAACCCTATTGTAGTCATACTTGAAGCCATAAACTTTCTCTAACTTCTTAACGTACAATTTACATAACTTACCTTCGTCATCGTATGGTTTAATGATATAACTATTTCTATCTTTATAAACAGTCAATGAAAAGTCAACTGGTCTCGGATGTATTTGAAAGAACATGTTATGCTCAGGAAGGAAGAATAAATGTTTAAATGTATGTTTGTTATATGTTTTGATTTGTATGAGTTGCTTTTGTTCTGTCATTACATCCAAATAAAATAAAAATAAAATAAAAAATAAACTTAAAAATTAATGATATCACCACCCTCACACGTATGAAAACATAGCGCAAAAATAAGCCGCTAGCGGCAAGGGCGAAGCCCATGTTTATGTTAGAATGTTAGATCTAACACGTTTTCTAACACGTTTTCTAACCTAGCCGCAAAGCGGCTCTGACCCTTTGGGTCTGTTGAATTCATTGCTTTATAACTCTCTTCCTTGGTTTCTTTTTAGTTGCTTTCTTCACGTCTGTCTCCAACTTGACTGTCTTTCTTCTTCGTCCGTAATGATACCAGTTACTTCCACCAGTCAATGGGTCAAATGGTCTTTCGTAAGGATTTCCATACATTCCATAGGGACCATACGGAAGAACTACTGGTGGAGAAGAAACATTTTCTTTAGTTCCATCGAATCTATTTAAATGCATTGTTTCACCTTTCATCTGGTCATTAAAGTCTTTTGCGTGTTTTGCAAACTCATCGTCCTTTCCTAAAGCATTTTCTGACTCAGTCGCAACCAAATTGGATGCTTTATTTATGAGCCCTATTTTATTTAATCTTAACTTCTTTGCAACCCAGCCTCCAATCTTCCCTTTATTTGCATCTAATGTCTTCGAAACCCTTCCTCCACTCATTTTATTTACTGCGTCATAAGCCCCAAGTGCTTTTGCTCCAAATGCTAATGCTTTTGTTCCCATTGCGCCTAAAGCTGTCCAAGCTACCATTTACACCATATTAAAATCATCTCTCTTCAATATTATCTCATAAAAGTTCTCGTTACTGGAGAAAGTCAATGAAACATAAACATTCTCATGGACTTCGTCCTCGCCGCGTTGCGGCTTCATAAACTTCTTTCTTATCTCATCTATACGCTTCAAAATGTCTGAACAATTGCTAACATCTTCTACAACAGTATTTCATCATGAATGACCTTCAAGAACAAGCTCATTTAATATGCTATTAAAATCATCTCAATAATGAGTCCATCCTTTCCATCTTTAGGTAGCACAACATCTTTCATTGAAGAAGGTTCGACAAGTCTTATGTTAAACTTACTGACAAAGTTTGTTATACTATAATGCTTCGGCGGCGAATACATGTAGTTTGAAAGACATAATATAGATTCTTCAGCAAATTCACTTATACTGGATTTTATAACAATGTTCTCACGAGACCAAATACCACCAATTGACAATCTTGTAAGCAATCCTGCTGAACCTTCTACTGTAAACGTCGATGGTAAATTCCACGAAGGTCATCTATTGACATCTTTGAGTCACTGAATTTAAATATTTTCTTAAAGCAATCGTCATTATCTAACCATGCAATAGCTTTGAAGTTTTCATTCGAATATACATCTGCTTCATTAAATGTAAAACCTGACTTCTTTGCAGAGACGACTTTAAAATCTATTGCATTTGTTTTAAAATTATATACTATGGTAACTTCTGAAGGTAATGGATGTCCTTCCGCAGTCAGTTGTTCTCTCACTACCGTTTGAAGCTTTGTGTTAAAAACTTTCATGTCATCTCCTGTGTCTAGGTTCACATACACAGCAACAGGAAAACTATCTTGCTTCTTTGTTTCATCATTATACCTCAAAACATTAAAGTTCTTCAATAATATTGTTCTTCCTGCTGGAATACTTCTAACTTGTCTTATTTCAATAGCTTTCTCACCTCCTACATACTCTACCCAGTGTCTTGGATATTCATAAGTATACTGACTTTCTTGAATTTTGGTAGGTTTCATCATAACGTGTTCATAGTATATCTTTATACTCTTGTCAGTTAGACTCGGTGCTATGTTCTGAATATTTCTGACTTGCATTTTTAATGAAGATAAAATGAAGCATTTAATACATGACGTAGATGAAGACATGAATGAAAGCAGTGAAAAGCTCAACAGTTCTCTCATTCTTCCTTTCAGTAAGGACTATGAGTTCTGTTCAAATGGTGTGTATTTCTATTGTGGAAAGATGGGTTCAGGTAAGACATTTAACCTCATTCGTCATATACTCATAACAGAGCGTTTAGGAAACGACTCTTACTATGACCAAATCATTATATCAGCAACTTCAGACTCTATGGATTCAACAGCGAAAACATTTATGTCAAAAGTTCAAGCCTCTGTCGTTAAAGTTCCAGACAGTGAACTCATTGAATTTCTTCAACGTTACATTCGACGTAAGAGAAAATATTATGCTATTGTAGAGTTCATACAGTCAGGAATGCAAAAGACTTCAGAAGAGATGGAAAGAATTATTGACAAACACCACTTACGTCAATACTCAGGAGTTTACGATATGAAACGACTGACAAACTACATTCTATCAAAACTTTCAAAATACCCCTTCAAAAAATATCCTTCAAACACTCTGCTCGTTTGCGACGACTTCGCTGGTAAAGGTTTAGTGTCAAAACCAGACTCACCATTAGCTAACATCATAACTAAAGTCAGACATTACCACTTAACTGTAGCAATACTTATGCAAACATGGCGTTTCCTTGCTTTAAACATAAAACGTCTCATAACTGACTTCGTTATCTTTCAAGGTTTCTCACGCTATGATATTGAACTCATTTGGAAACAGTCAGGTATAACATTACCTTTTGAAGAAATTTGGGAAGCATATAAGTCTCTCATCTCTCCTCGTTCATACCTTGAGATTCATATCATGACTAATACCATTAAAGTCAAAAATATTCCATGGGAACGACCAACATTGTTTTAAAGTTAACCTTCAATTGACTGATGGTAAACAAATTCCATGCATCTCTGTCGCCATTTCTGTTAATATTTTTGCTGTCATTCATATCATCCACTTCCCCATCCGTTAGCTTTTGAGGATATGTGTTAGAATAGCTGTTCTTAAATGAAGGCTTTTCACCTTTGAGAGCATAAACTCTATAACTTTCTGCATACTTTATGTTTGAACCTCCTGAGCCATCATTGACATAAATTTTATAGGCTTCCACCCTTTGTTCATATTCCTGCTTCTTCCCTTAGCTCTTTTGTTCAGTAGTTCTACATCTTTATACACAGCTCCTGTCTCAGTGAATTCAACAATATTTTCATTCGTTAGCTTTACATTCAAACCCTTGTCGAGTATATTGTTCATTTCATACATATAAAAGGTTTTTATTCTATATGAAATGAGAAGCAAATCCATCTTAGCTGGTGCCGTTAATGTTCCAATTGAACCAACATCAAATGTTGACTCACGAACGACAAACAATATTGTCATAAAGAACTATAGTTCAGAGTGTTTGAAAGAAAAAGAACCAGAACTTAAGTCGGGAGGGCTCAAAGAGCCCATCATGGCGCATGGCGCCGTGAATTTAAACTCAGCTTCAAACGCTAACGCTACATCAGATGTTAAGTTAGAGTATCCACCACTGGACCAAATTCTTTCAAGAGAAGCCAACGACAACCTTACACAAATGTTCAAACAAATCCTTCAGATAACGTAGACCATTACCTTCTTCAGTTATACCAAACAATTTTACTCAAAGACGATAAGAAGCTTTTGACAAATCTTATAAGCAAGAACCAAATAATTCTAACAAAGGAGGACCTTGAAAATGTTATCTCACGAATAACAGGGAAACAATGTGTCATTGACTATCTCGACCCTGAAATCGAATGCTGTGGTCAAACTCCACTATTCATGAAAATAGGTAACATCCGCATCATTGAAACACCAGGAACTACAGGAGTTGAGTTTAAGTATAAATATTCGAACGAGTATACAAAACTATCTACTTACTATAAGCTTTGCTTGAAATATGTTTTAGTAAATTAAAGCAGTCAGGAGGGCTCTTTGAGCCCATCTTGGCGCTTTGCGCCGTCAGTCAAAAAAATTCAAGTTAGCAATTTGTAATATCTGTCCAAAACTTCTTCAACAGTATCGAACTCATCTTCATAATGCAAACCTAATCTTATTGACTTGGTGCAGTTTTCACTAACACAATATAGCGCTTTGCGCTCGGCGCCTTTGACGCCTTTTTCTGTTCTCTTGACTGGCATAACTAACTCATTTGTTTCATCAAACAGCAACAACCAAAGTTCATGACCTAATACATAACATTCATACTTTATATTTTTAGCTCTGAGTTCTCTTGTAAGCTGTTGCATTTAATATTTTCTAAAAAGTCAACTTCAACAGTCATTCGCACTGGTGCCTTCAGTTCTACAGGCTCTCCTTGAAAGTCAACAAGTCTGAATTGCATGTCTTTCAAATTATGAGGACTAATGCGAACCCATTTACCTAAATGAGTTGCTATGACAGGAACGTTTGGAATGAACATTGAATTGACTGCATAACAGAAGGATTTATATTCTACTGAACCTTTACTATTAACTCCTGAAATACCTGTGACATTAGCTATTTTTGACTCAACGTACAAACAATTACCATAACATACGTATGGAACAGATTTCATCTCAATCGTTTTGTCAACACTTTTCAAAGGAAATGTCATATGGTATGCTCCCAGAAGAAGTTGTACTCTATGACTCATTCTTGGTATCTTGAACTCTTTCTTGCTACTGAACTTCAATGTTCCCTCAGAAGAGAGTTCGACATCTATGTTGTCAATAGTTTCTTCATTTATGAGAGTATCTATGACTCCAGCAATTTTATCTATTCTGTACTCGGCTCTGTTAGGAAATGTTACAACACTTCTTTTGTCATCTATTTCAATCTCTATGAAATCTGTTTCATCTGTTATGACAAAAGTTGCGATAGTATTGAAGTCAACAACTCTGAAAGCAAGCGCTTCATTCTGAAGACCTAAGTTTGTTTGTAGCTTTACTGTCCCGTATTCGTTTGGGTCTGTACTTTGCAAATAGAACAACATTTTATTCTCATTAAAATATGACTATTGCTGCATATGCGTATGAAACAAATGAAGCAAGAAGAGCACATGAACTAGTAAACGAAAACTCAACTTTAACCATTGAAGGCAATGATTTAGTCATTGACGATGGAAAAACTAAAAAAGTCATTGATTTCGATACTTTTAACACTTATGACCCATTCATTACAACAAGCAAGGTTCCCATCATAAATGATGGAACGGTGCAATATATAAATTCTACAGTAGATGCCTCATTAGTGAAAGTATTAAATGTTCTCATTGAATTGTTAAAGAGCTTTCGATTTGACGACAACATTAAATGCCTAAAGAATTTAGTCATGAATGAGAAACAAATTCTCGGCGTTGCTGGTAGCAGTAATGATGTACACCTTATGACATTAGAATATTATAACGAACATAAAGATGAACTGAAAGGAGAGAAGGGTGACACCGGACCTCAAGGACCACAAGGAATACAAGGAATACAAGGAATACAAGGAATACAAGGACCTCAAGGCGAAAACGGTTTGGATGGAAAGGATGGAAAGGATGGAAAAACTGCTAAATCATGGATATGGGACCTTATAAATACTGGTTTAACAGCTGCTTCATATGGAGTTCTTCAATACCAAATCGGAAAGATATGGGCGGTACTTGGTGAAGAAGTTTTAAATGACGTTAAAAATGCTTTGAACTTCATTTCAAATGGTTCGGATACTATTAAAACTTTATCTGGTTGGATGCAAGAAACAAGGAGTCAAATAGATACTGTAAGACGTATAGCAAACAATGCACGTACGGGATTGGATACTTTACGACAAGCACAAAATACACTAAAGGAAGCAAATGATATTCTTGGCTCAGTATCAGACATGCATGAAGATTGGCTTAAAGGTATTGACAAATCTTTAAAAAATCACAGTCAGTCTATTGCTGACTACAAGAAAAGTATAGATTTTTTACATAGTGCTATGGACGTACATGATGGAAGCATAAGGAACTTACTTAATGCTAACAATAACTTACCAGGAACTATTAAAGCATTTATAAAGTCCTTTGTAAAACCCGGTGCTCTAACATTTAGGTCTTTGAGAGCAAGAGCATTGAAGTCAAGAGATGCAGAAACTCCAACAGAACCTACAGAAGGAACTGAAACAACAGAAACTCCAAAAGAACCACCAAAACCAACAGCTAATGAAATATTGTTCGAATATTTTCCAAGGTACTCTGTTCTCATTGCATACATTCAAGAAATACTTAAGAAAGCAGACTTGACTTTAGGAGATGATGAAAGTTCTGTATATCTTTCGTTCCAGTTTCAAATAGCAGAACTTTTGAGACAGATATGCTTAATGTATGACAACATCTCTGATTTCACAAGATATGATGACGACCATGACCCCGAACATGGTGAAGAAGAAGTTTTACAAACATCCATTAAGACAGGAAAGGTTTTAACTCAAAGTCTCATTATTGACACCAAAGATGGCGAAGTGGACGTTCTTCAAGAGCTGAAGAAAAATACTTCTTCGGGAGGTGGTGGTAGGCATGAACTTGAAATAAATGAGATAGAAGAGAAATTAGCCGAAAAAGCAGATAAAGAACATAAACACAATATCTCCGATATAAATGAACTTCAAGCTACATTAAATAGTAAAGCGGACAAAAATGAACTTGACGCAATGAACAAAGTTTTGAAATCTCATAAACACAACATCTCCGATATAAATGAACTTCAAGCTACATTAAATAGTAAAGCGGACAAGAACCATGTTCATTATATAACTTCAGACGAACAGATTATAACGGACTACCATGGATATTTAACACGAAGTGATGAAGCGAAGACAAAAAATGTTAATGAAAGAAGATATAAATACATTCGTGCTAAAGGTTATGACATAAGCTGTACTGTACAGTATGATGTAGCTAAAGCACCAGAAGCATTTGGTTATACCGGTGAAATTTATGCCTCTACTTTCAATGTTAACGGTGTATTAGTTGAACCAAGATTTATGTTAAGAGTTAAGGCAAAAATAACGTTTGAAGATGCTATTAAAAGTAAAGCTGACAAAGTTGAACTCGAAGCAACGAACAAAGTTTTGAAATCTCATAAACACAACATCTCCGATATAAATGAACTTCAAGCTACATTAGACAGTAAAGCTGACAAGAACCATACACATAAATCCTTCACTACTGTTAGAGCAGACGACATAATATTGAACTTTGACCTTGGTTCAAGTGCACCATTAGAAAATCCAAGTACAAGCGTAAAAGATACTCTTAACAGTTTAGATAAGAGTTGCAGGAACATTGAAAGTCATGCCAGAAACTTTGAAGCACATGAACTACCAACAATGTTAGATAAGAAAGCAGACAAAACTTATGTGGATGCAGAACTAACAAAGAAATTTTCGAAACCAGATACAATGACATTTACAACAGAAATTATAAATGGTGAACCAGCAACTCCATTTGAATTTGTTAGAGGTCTTCAACCAGATACTTTTGAATTTTTCTTGGATAATTCTATTGAACTAACATTACATTATAAAAGTGGAACAAATGCAACATTTCATCCGGGAGATACATTCCAAATGGTATTTAATGACATAAGTTCTTTAGAATATGTTTATAGAGTTATGAGCATATATGATTTAATATATCCTATAGGAGCTGTTTATACGTCTATGAATCCAATAAATCCAAACACTTTATTTGGTGGTAGATGGTATGAAATAGTTGACAGTTTTCCATTCTACACTAATACTCAGTCAATGAAGATGGGAGGTTCAAAGAAAATAGGTATTGAAAACCTTCCTTCACATATGCATAGGTTCAGTGGAAGAACATCTGTGGAAGGAAACCATTCACATTCAATAACAAAAAGAGGTTATACAAATCTTGCAGCGGGTTCGGATAGACAGGGAATGCATAGATATGATATCACAACTGACCCCAAAGATGTTAGCACAGGTATTTTCTGTGGAACTGCAGGAAATCATACACATGTTGTAGCTGGTATTACAGACCCAGCAGGTAATGGAAAAGATTATATGCCTCCTTATATAACAATGCACGCTTGGATACGAGTTGGTTAAAATCTTTAACTTTACATAAATGAGCTTGAAAGAAGTATTCGAACAACATCCATGGAGGTCATTTAAGAAATTCAATGAAGCTGCAAAGAGTTGGGGATTTACTAACAGAGCTGAAGTGAAAAGGTTCTTTGACAAAAATGTTGTACATCAAACAAAAATAAACCCTTACGACTACTTTTTACCAATTTACTCCAACACTCCTGACGCATACCAATTTGACACTCTCATTCAAAGCAGAAAAGGAGGACATAAACCATTCCTCATCTTCATAAATGTTAACACTCGTAAAGCATATGCATATCCAATGAAAAATAAAGGAACTCGTGAAGTGTTAAGAGTTTTACAAAAGTTTGTAGCAGAACATAACCCAAGTACTTTAACATCAGACCAAGACAGTGCATACCTCAGCAATGAAATCACAGAATTTCTCATTAAGCATAACATAACTCACTACACTACTGAAGACCATAACCATAACATACTCGGCATCATAAACCGCTTCATAAGAACGCTCAGAGATTTAAATCAAGAGCGAGACTTTACCGAAGAAACAATGAAACATTTTCTCGAAGTATATAATTCCTCAACACATTCTACAACAGGACATACACCAAATTCAATGACACAACAACAAGAAGAAAAGTATATACAAAAGAAACGAAGCCAAACACAAAATATCAGAAATTCAACACAATTTACCCTCATTCCTGGTACAAAAGTTCGTGTAGTTCTTGACGACAAACCGTTGACAAAGAAACGTTTAAGGTTAAGTAGAAACTATTATATCGTAGACTCTACACAAGGTAATGGATATCTTATAAAAGCTGCTGACGACTCCATAGCATTTTACCCTCGACATAAGTTAGTTGAAAGTAGTAATGGCAAACTTGCTGAAACCATTGACGAAGCAAAGCGAGGAGTGGTTATTGAAATACTTGGCTACAACATAAACGATGACACTTATAAAGTAAGATATGAAGGAGGTGTTGAAGATGTTATACCATCTAAGAACTTGAGAGAGTCAAAGCCAACACATCTGGGACCATTAGAGCGGGAGTACTGGAAAGACAAAAATATGCCAGAAAGAATAAGAAAATTCTTCTAAACTTTTTCATTAGATGTAAATCAGACATGAATGAGAACAGTCATGATATCATTAATGGTTTTATATTTACACCAAAAAATAATGTTTATGTTAGAATGTTAGATCTAACACGTTTTCTAACCACTTTTCTAACATGGTCTAAAACTCTCGAAAATCATGAATTTTTGACATTTCCTTATGAAAGAAAAATAACGCTAATTTTTTTCTAAGAAAAATTTTTATCTTGTATGTAAAGATATGATTTCAACAATCGGCACAACAACAATTCAAAACTACAGCACCAAACTCGTTAGTCATGAATCCAACATCTATGTTAGTAGAGATGAAAAGCTTCATTCCTTCTTCATATACTTTCGAAACAAAAATCCAGAAGATAAAGCAAGAACTTTTAACAAGTAATTTAGACTGTAGTGCGAAAGATGAAACAAATGAACAGTATCTTTATGAAATGCAGGACATTATTGACCATTTACCCAAATTGCCTGAAATCCAACAACAAAAACTAACTATTCCTGAATTCGACGAAATTGAAGTCAAAACAACTGACTCAGTAGAAATAAAGAAGTTCATACGTAAAGTAAATTATGAATTCCTTGGTTTTCATTGCAACCATAAAGTTATGGACAAAGATTGCGACATGGTTTATAAGAATGTTTCTGACATATATAAATCTGAAGAATTTAAGACCTACGATAACTTTGTTTCATTAGTTGCTGAATGTGTTTGGGAAATAAGAGATAAAGATAGTAGAGGTAAGGTATGGAACGAACAAATAAGACCCGCTATGTTCGAGATGAAGAAAACCATTGACGCCTTAGTTGTTTTAGCAGGTAAGGTTTCAGAATATAACGCAAAAATGAATCCGCAATGTTCAAAATGTAAAGCAGCAATGAGGAAATATAACTACTCCGTCAAAGAGATAGAACGTATGCGAAACGACTATGCAGATTTAAAGAAAGAAGTAGAAAAACCAGCAGAAGATAAAATGAACATGTTAGAATTTCTGAACAAAAACTATCCAACCGCTAACGATTTCCTTCTTTCAGATGTCAAGAAGAAGTATAAAGAAACTTTCGGCATTGTTAAAACATTCGATATACTAAAAGAAGAAATAGAAGCTACAAAACTGTTTAAAGTCATGAACCATCGCAACATATACCATGTAAAACGCTTGTAAATAGTTATGTTAGAAAACATGTTAGAAAACATGTTAGATCTAACATTCTAACATAAACATTATTTTTGCTGAATTCCGTATGAAATTTCATGAGTTTTGTATGTTTTAGACCATGTTAGAAAACATGTTAGAAAACATGTTAGATCTAACATTCTAACATAAACATTATTTTTATTGAATTCAGCAACAAAATTCTGAGTAAAATAATTTTTAGGGCATGTTAGAAAACATGTTAGAAAACATGTTAGATCTAACATTCTAACATAAACATTATTTTTGCTGAATTCCGTATGAAATTTCATGAGTTTTGTATGTTTTAGACCATGTTAGAAAACATGTTAGAAAACAGGTTAGATCTAACATTCTAACATAAACATTATTTTTGCTGAATTCCGTATGAAATTTCATGAATTTCCTTAAGACAGAAAAAATAAAGTTAGTTTTTTATAAAATATTTTTTTTATTTTGTATGTAAGAACAGAAATGACAAACATTGAGTTTGAAACAGTTAGAAAGATAGACAATGACACCAAAGTGGTTAGAATAGGTGATTTAAACGTAAGATACTCAAAGAAATACAACAAATATTCTTTGTCAGACATTATATCTCCATCTGGAAAGAAAACACACGACTGGGTTAGAAATGCTTCAACTCAGAAAATTTTGACAAGAAATCCTGAGCTTATGATATCGGTAAGATTCTATGGAACTACAGCATATCTCATCGACAAAAGTCTTATACCAATAGTTTTGTTATGGTTAGACCCAGTTGTTGGATATAACTTCATAACATATGGTTCATTCGATACGGAACGTTGCAGTGAAGGCTTACTTTACATCGTTCAGAAACCGAAGGACTTCAATACAAAAAGATATAAGATAGGAAGAACATATAATATAACTCAAAGATATGACAGTACAGTCATAGAGTCAAGGTTGTGTTTGCTAATGATATGAGAGCTGCAGAAACAGAACTACTTGAAAGTTTGAGAAAATGTATGGTGCTCCCATAAAAGGTAAAGAAACGTTTGAAGTAGATGAGATAGATAAAGCTATAAAATTATTTGACGAAGTTGCTGAAAAATACATGTAAAGCGTTTATTTTTGGTCTTTTGTGAAAGATAGAAAAAATAAAGTTAGTTTTATTTTTTTTTATTTTTTTATCCGGAATATAAAGACAGATATGTCAACAACAGAGAACACAACAACAGTTATAGTCCATGAAGCTATAAATGAAGAATACGAGTACATACAGTTTAACAAACAACTCCGTCTCATTCGTTCGGTCAAAGACGATATGTACCAAATGCAAAGTATTTTGAACGCTCTTCATTCTACAAAGCAAGCATATCATTGGTTTGAAAACCAACAGACAAAAGAACTTTTAGAAGAATTTCCTCATATGTTTGCTACCCTCGGAAAACCGAGGGAAGAGATTCCATTCGAAAATCGCAAGAATTTGGCTCCTTGTTTGAAAGGATATTATGTTCATAGACTTTTAGTAAATGCCGTAGCAATGTGGGCTTCACCTCGTTATGCTTGTTATATTTTCATGACATTTTGACAACAGTTCAGGAGGAAGGTAGTTATGAATTATTTTTGAAGAACTGAAGGTGCTACCATGTTACCATGTTGACAACATGACATTTTGACAACAGTTCAGGAGGAAGGTAGTTATGAATTATTTTTGAAGAACTGAAGGTGCTACCATGTTACCATGTGCTACCAGGTCATTTAACTTCTCTGAAAAAATGAGACAACATGACATTTTGACAACAGTTCAGGAGGAAGGTAGTTATGAATTATTTTTGAAGAACTGAAGGTGCTACCATGTTACCATGTTGACAACATGACATTTTGACAACAGTTCAGGAGGAAGGTAGTTATGAATTATTTTTGAAGAACTGAAGGTGCTACCATGTTACCATGTGCTACCAGGTCATTTAACTTCTCTGAAAAAGTGTGACAACATGACATTTTGACAACACAGCAGGATTAATGCAAAAATAAATTCCAATCATACTTTATAAAGCTAGACCTTCAGGTCTCGCCGCTTAGCGGCTCATTTACAGGTATTTCATCATCAGTAAATGATTCCTCATTATCGTTTGGTTCAACCTGTTTATATAATCCTTTCATTTCTTCTTTCAAAACATAATACCATGTTTGTTTACCGTCTATTCTTCTATGTTTCCTATCACATTTATCCTTAATACTCATTTGAAAGTTTTTGTCTTTCATGTCTGATGGTTTGCAGAATAGAGCATTTTCACACGTCATACCTGCACACAATTCATCATAATGTGTATTTATCCATACATCTAAAGGATTTGATGATAATTCAATTAAATCTTGTTTGGCTTCAGTCATCGGAATGATTCGTACATTAAATGATGAAAGGTCATATTGCATAAAATACGTCAGTAAATTATCATAAAATTCCTTAGTGCATGAATCCATTAAATTCTTGAAGTAATCAAATTGACCCTTGAATTTACCATTAACTCTTAAAACTACGTATCTTCTGTCTCCAACTTCAATTTTGACAGGGTAGACGTTGTTAGTTACGAAAATGAAGTTTGCAACATTCTGAGCAGTTCTTCTGGGTTGATTCTTTTCATTAATTCTTATCTCATTATCCGTAATAATTGATTTCAAAGCGTTGAAGTTTGCGAGTCTGTCTTCACCCACATTCTTGAGTTCATTAAGTACAAGAAACATTTTATTTTCAACTACTGAATTGAAATTACCCGTTAGCTCACTTATTTCGGTAATGTTTTTACATGAATAACCAGCGAGAAGTTCAGAAATAATGTCTGTAAATCTGTTTTTACCTGTTCCCTGAAGTCCTTTCAAAATAATTGCTGTTTCATTCTTGATTCCGGGATGTTGAATCATTGATGCAATCCAGCCGAGAAGGTATTTATACACTTCATCGTTATTATCACAAATGGCTTCTTTAATGAAATTCATAAACATCTCAATTTTTGAGTAATCTGGTTTTTCGAGAACGTTGTATTTATAACCTTGAAACGTTGAGAAAACATCTGGGGAATCAGATTTAAAGCAAACACCCTTAACGGTTAATGAAGACAATTGATTTAGTAGTACATCCCATGCTGTTATGGTTTTACCTTCTTCTTTAAATAATTTAATCATTTTGAGTGACTCTTTCATGTTTGACTGAAGAACAAATGATATTTGATTCATTTTGTCGTGGATATTATAGTCCTTTTGAATGAAATATTTATTTCCACAATCTACAAAACGGATTACACGTGATAAATCCTCAATTACTTCAGAACTGTTTTTATACTGATGATTTTCAGCCTTGCGTCTAATATCTGTTATCAAAAACGAGTCATCAAGTTTGATATCAAATGTTATTTTTGGCTTACGTAATAAAGGTAAAACATATTCATCATAATATTCCTTTTGATATAGTTTTAGAATCTTCACTAAAACAAATGGAGAAGTCATTAAATGTGCATATCTACTACGTGCTTTTTCAAAATTACTTTTAGCATTTTCAGTTAAACTGCAGAAGTTATAAACGTTATCGTAGGCTTCATTAATTAAATGATTAGGTAACGAATTAATTGCTTGAAACAGTGTGAACAATGTTATTTCTTTTTCTAAATTCATGTTTCCACCGTCATTATGTACTTCAAAATCACAGATGCCATCAACTATGCTCTGAGCTAGTTTATCGTCAATGTTTACATCTTTGTTTTCATTCATGATAGTCTTTATTTCTTCATTCTTCTGTTCAACTCTTACCTTAATATTCAAATCATTTAATATATCATTCACTGTTCTAGTTAATGTTGAATCATAACTTCCACGAATGAATGAGTATGTATTGATTGGTTCTGTTGCATTCTTGCGAACTCTTGAATCAGCCATAACCACTAAAGAACGCTTTGAATCATCCATAGAAGTCATGATATCAATATCATAATCATTGCAGGAATAACATTTAATCATTCTGTTCGAAACTGCATAGAAGAAATTAGTGTTGCAATAAATGTGAAGACCTCCTGAAGCGGTTTTAACGATAACATCTTTATCCGAAAGTTTTGATAAAATGTCTTTTCTAACTGTTTCTTTAAGTTCATCATTGTACGATTTATTGATATCAACATCTATAATCGTTAAATTTGATATTTTATTTACTAATAAAGCCATACCAGTTTTCCTTCCTCTTCCTCCATCATGTTTGAGGTAGTTATGTAAATCAATCCTGTTTTCACCAATTCTTTCGTTGAGGGTTTTAGTTTCTGCCACAACTAATTCCTCAGCTAATGAATCAATAACTTTTTCATCAGAAACGATATAGTTGTTGCTGTTGTTGTTTGTTGCTGTCATTTATATAGGAATAAAAAAATAAAAATAATTTTAAAACTAACTTTATTTTTGGGCTGCATCATATTTCCTGAACTGTTGTCAAAATGTCATGTTGTCACACTTTTTCAGAGAAGTTAAATGACCTGGTAGCACATGGTAACATGGTAGCACCTTCGGTTATTCAAAAATAATTCATAACTACCTTCCTCCTGTGTTGTTGTCAAAATGTCATGTTGTCACACTTTTTCAGAGAAGTTAAATGACCTGGTAGCACATGGTAACATGGTAGCACCTTCAGTTCTTCAAAAATAATTCATAACTACCTTCCTCCTGAACTGTTGTCAAAATGTCATGTTGTCACACTTTTTCAGAGAAGTTAAATGACCTGGTAGCACATGGTAACATGGTAGCACCTTCAGTTCTTCAAAAATAATTCATAACTACCTTCCTCCTGAACTGTTGTCAAAATGTCATGTTGTCACACTTTTTCAGAGAAGTTAAATGACCTGGTAGCACATGGTAACATGGTAGCACCTTCAGTTGTGCAAGAAACTCACGTAAAGGCTGTAAAGTTTGTACTTCAATGTTGAACTTTTTCTCGAACATCTCATTAAATGAAATCATACATTGCAACAATGTTGTATCGTCTTTAAAGTATTTGTATATGTGAATGTTTTGGGCGCTTAAAGACTGTTCGTCATTTTCTATCTCGACTTGAAGTATAAAGTCAACCTTTCTGAAAGCACGTGTTATATACATATTTGTTATGCCAATGTACTTCTCTTCATTTATGTTCACAATCCAGTCTGTTGGAAACTTAAACGTTACTCTGTTCCCTTTATTTTGACGTCAGGGTTTTCACTACTGAACGCAACAGTTAAAGGTATTTGTCTATACATTTAATTCGGATAAAAATAAACCATTTACTCTTTCTTTGCTTTTGCTTCTTTAGCTTTTGCTTCAGCTTCTTCTCTAGCTTTCTTCGCCAGTAGTCTTGGGTTCTTTTGTCTTCCAGCAGCTAATGCAGCAAGTTGTTTTTCACTAAGTTTTCTCTTTGGTCTCTCTGGCTTTTGTTCTGGTTTTTGTTCCTTCAGTTCGGATAAAATTTGCTCACGAATTTCTTTCTTCAATGCTTCAACATCTATGACCCTGGGTCTTGTCCGTAGGACTTGTCTGAGTCATTTGACTGCAGATAAAAAACAAAATTAAAACTTTAACCGATGTAAAATGAGCTTGTCAAAATCAGAGCGAGAGTCTATTATATTAAATGACGCAAGAGGAATACAACATCCTTTCTATTATGTAAGTCAGAGTAAAGATGGTAAAATATACGTAAGAAAAAGAAAGGTTCCATTAGCGAATGCAGAGAGTGACAACATTAAGGTGCATGGCAAGGGCGAAGCCACGAAGCCCATATAAAACCTTCTGTTCAAACTGAAAAGTCAATAGAACAAGAAGAAAAGAAGCCAGATGTTCTTTCAATAACGAACCAAGAGCTTATTGCAAAGTTCGTGAATTTCATTGAAAAACAAACCGAGTCAAAGAACCCTGACCCACCAGTGAAAGAAGTTGAGACAAAAGAGAATGTACAGTTCATTGAAAATGTCAAGAAACAACTTCCACCACGAATGCCAAGAAGAAGAGTGAGAATAATGAAGTAAATAGATATTTTTATCCGAAGTAAATACATGCAGAACGAACAGTTAAACGAATTTACTCCAGCAGAGCATATTCATCAGATTCGCTCATATTTCGATATCATAGACAATGCAGTTCAAATTGGTGACACTAATAGAAAATATTCTGACGCAAAGATTCCATCACAACCTGGAACTGCTAAAGATAACACATGGGTAAATTCAATCTCTCACCTCTGGTGAAAATATGTTGGACCTTTACAATACATTCATTACGTATAAAATGGAAGGTCAATTTATTGCAGATAAAGAAATTGGTTCAGGTTCCAATAAAACAACCCACCAGGATTTTGGATTGGTTTCGATGACGCTTTCTATGCAGTTGCTGGATATCAAATCCTTGCAAATGGTCGTATCGTATATTCTCAAGACAACGCAAGAGAAGAAGCATATATAACTTCAAACTCACAAACTACCGAACAAATAAAAGAAAGTAGATGTTTTTTCTCAAAGACTCGACATGAAGATGTATGGAGTCATTCGGGAACATGCAGAACAGGACAAATTGTTAGTGGTCCAA